AATACTATTCCTGGGGCCGGCCCGGTTGCATAGTGGTTAAGTGTGCACCTTCCGCTTCCACGGCCTGGGCTTTGCCGGTTTGATCGGGGTGCAGACATCGCGCCACTTGGCAAGCCATGCTGTGGCAGGCGTCCCACATATAAAGTAGAGGAAGATGGGCAGGGATGTTAGCTCAGGGCCAGTCTTCCTCAGCAAAAAGAGGAGGATTGGAGGCAGATGTTAAAAAAAAGGAAAAAAGAAATGCTATTCCTTTCTTCGTATGTTCACATCGTAATTATGTTGGATTTTTTTTTTTTTTTTTTGAGAAAGATTAGCCCTGAGCTAACATCTGCCGCCAATCCTCTTCTTTTTTCTGAGGAAGACTGGTCCTGAGCTAACATCTGTGCCCATCTTCCTCTACTTTATATGTGGGATGCCTACCACAGCATGGCTTGCCAAGTGGTGCCATGTCCCCACCCGGGATCCAAACCGGCGAATCCCGGGCCACCGAAGTGGAATGTGTGCACTTAACTGCTGCACCACCGGGCCAGTCCCTATGTTGAACTTTTAAGCTGAAGATCAAACCTGTCCATTTTCGTAATCAATTTTGAAATCTGACAGTTATATACAGAAGCCATTTAAAATGTATATTAACATGCAGCCCTTCAATAGTCACTCAACTCCATATTAATCATTCTTCTTTGACTGCTGTATAGTATTGATGGTTCAACTCATCTCTGCCAGCTAGTTTCCATATCCTACTTGCGAAATTAAAATTTTGTTTTCGTGGATTAAAAAAGATTATAAAAGGGGATGAAATGGGTGTCTCCTGAGACCTAAGTAAAGAATTTGATGGTGCCACAGGACCTCTAGTTTACTGACACTCCCCAAGCCTTCCATCAGCACAAGCGTCATTCCCTCCTTTACGTACTCGATGTACGGCATAAATTCGACAAATGTTGAGTGAATACACAAAAAAAGCCATCACATAAACCTGGATTTTAGTTAACTTTATCCCATGCTGTTTACTCCACTTAACATTATAAACTTCTTGAAAATCAGGATATCTTTGATGCCTTTATACCCTTCCTTTTTACCCCCTAATATAATACTGAGAATATAGGAAGTGCTCAATAAGTATTCATTGAATTGAATCAATAGTTTTGAAATAAAATACACCTTTATCAATTATTAATCTCGAATATTAACTGGTAATATTTATATTTTAAAACTACTTTATTAAAGAAAAAATTTAAAACAGAGAAACAGTTAAAGAACAATTCAACAATATTCCAACCACCTAAAAACAACGAACATTTTAGGTTTTATTCATTTTTGTTTTCTATTCCTCGGTTCTTGGTTTGAAAAACAATTGTACTCATTGTACATAAAACTTTGTGTCCTGCTTTTATTCACTATTCTATTTAATAATCATTTTCTTTGCTGTCGGGATGAGTTTTTAACACTGTATAATGGTGCATCCAGAGGACAGCTCCAGCCTCTAGGACAGTGTGATGGTTAGTTTGTTGCGTCAGCTTGACTGGGCCAAGGGGTGCCCAGATTAAACCTTATTTCTGAGTGTGTCTGTGAGGGTGTTTCCAGATGAGGTTAGCATTTGAATCAGTGGACTCAGTAGATTGCTCTCAACAACGCCAGTGGGCATCATCCAATTTCTTGAGGGCCTGAATGGAACAAAAAGGCTGAGGAAGGAGGAACTCACCCCTTTGCTTCCTACCTTGTGGCTTGAGCTGGGATGTCTGTCTTCTCCTGCCCTTGGACTGGGATTTACATCATCTGCTCCCCTGGTCCTCAGGACTTTGGACTCAGACTGGATTTATTCCCTCGGCTTTCCTGGGTCTCCTGCTTGCACACGGTAGATTGTGGAACTTCTTAGCCTCCATAATCATGTGAGCGAATTCCTTGTAATAAATCCCTTCCATATATACATCTGATTAATTCTGCTTCTCTGGAGAACCCTGACTAATCCAGACAGTGCCTGCCACATAGTGGACATTCAATAAATTAATAAATGATGAGCAATATTAAGAATTACATTTTTAAAAAAATTAGTATTTTTGTAGGTGAGAAATGGAAACTCTGATGTTTGAAACTTGCATTACTTTACTATTGAGGATGAATTTTTTAATGTTTATTCATCACTGCATTTTCTCTTTGTTACTTATTTTTATACTTTTTGTCTATTTACAATCAGACCCTTGATTTTAAAGAACTTATTACAATTGCAATTTATTAATAAAATTTTTGTGTTTTGTTCCTAAAATAGATGTCATCAAATTAAGGAACAAACTGGCAAAATAAAAGCAAATCTTTGTGATCACAGAAAGCAAAGTACAAGCAGGAATAAATGTTAGTTCAAATATTGGATGATGCCATCTAGTGGAAAATTGATTTTAACTTCTCTCTCTGGATCAGAGATTCCCAAATTTCAATGCCCCCAAATTTAATATTTATGGGACTTTATTAAAATATATATATTCTAGCCTTTCTCTGACTGGAGATTTCTAATTCAATGTTTACAATAGGCCAAGAGTTATGTTTCAATATTATCTACACTGGAAACTGTAAAAATTCCAGGTCAGTTACAATTAAAGTGCCCAGTTGTATATTATGCTTTCTTTTTTTATCAGACTTTTCACCACAATAAGTAATTTTGCTGCTAACATTCTTTAAATGTGTGGTCTGTGTCAGCCCCTGTGTTAACTGCTTTACTTGTATTATTTTATTTAATCCTCTCAACAGCTCTAATAAGGTAGGTACCATTATTATGCTGTTTTACAGATGAGAAGATTGAGGCAGACAGTTTAACTAACTTCCCCAAGGTCACACAGCCAGTACGGTACCTGAGTCCGGAGCCCCGCATGTCGTTACATGTGTGCACAGGGCTCTGTGATGGGAAAGATCAGTCATGCCAACAGTGAAAAAGGACTAATGATTTACAGTGCGACACTATCACCTATATTCGGCTACATTCAGTATACTACATGTGGAAATAAGTTATATTCCCTAATTACTGAGGGCTGTTTAGGGACATTTTGCAACTTAACATTTACATGGTTTGCACTATATCACACGCTCAGATGTTTCTTAAATATTGGTTGTTGATTTGTGGTGTTATAAATTTCAAGATGTTTTCAATACTCTCCATTTTTCCCCAATACTAATATAAATTAAAGTAAACTCACCTGCTTCAAACCTTCTATGTAGAGGCAACCTGAAACTAATTTATTTATAGCTGGTTAGAAAACCCAGTTGATAGCGATCTGTCCGCCAGGTGAGGCGAGCTGAGGCTAATGAAGCTGGTCTTAAGCACCAGTACCTGCCCCTATCCCATGGGGGCCAAGGCCCTAGCCTGCCCAGCCTGGCGGGGGCCCACTCAGGGCTGGCCGAAGTCACACTTGCTTCCCCACCCCTCGCTGAAACGTATCTTTCCTGTGGTTCACTCCCTCCCTAGGGCCCAAAGTATCAACTAACTACAACTGAAAAATTAATTCCTGCTACTGCGCTAGTAGGAAATACTGTGACGCTCACTTGGGACCTGAACACTAGTCCCTCCTGAGGCTACACCCGTGACAACAGCCCCCTGCTGAAATCTTTCGAGCATTAGTGAACAAAGAGCATCAAATAATATAATGTATTTTTTTTTAAAGAGTGAAGAAACACTATAAAAATTTCTCTATTTTTACATTGCTGAGTGGAAGAGAAATTTGAAAATATAATCCTGTATTTATATCTGTATATCCCTCACTCCCATCCCTACCTCCCAGGAGCTCAGTGTGAAATGATAAAACCCAATGGTGCAAAAAAGGTTCAAGGCAAAATTCAGCAAAACAAAGGGAAAAACTTGACGACTAACAAAGAATCTTCTAGTATATTGAACTGGGAAGAACAGAGGAAATAAAAATGACAATAACATGCATTGAGCATTAATTTGTCCCAGGCACTTTTCTAAAAGCTCTTTGCACATGCACTATCACGTTTTGATCCCCACGAGGGGATTTCACGAGGGAGGTACAATTATGATCTTATCATACAGATCAGGAAAGGGGGTAGTTAAGTCATTTGCAGGCGTCCTACAGCTGGTAAACTATGCACCGGGAACCAGGCGGTCAGCGCCGAGCGCCCAGGCCCTTGTCCACTACAAGGTAAGAAAGGGACCAAACCCGCATCCCTTCCTCGGAGAGTCAGAGGCAAACAAGGGGCGGAAACCCAATGACCGGCTAGCCTACTTCACTAATGGACACCTGCCCCATTAGTCTCCAAGCTCATTAATAGAACTGCATTAGTTGTGCTTTTTCATGCAACTGAACTGACAATGAGTCCCGCAGGGCAAGAATCTGGACGTCTTGGTGTTTAAGGGGCCTAAGCCATTCTCTTCAGGTTCTTACATCTTTTTTTTTTTTTTTTTTTTAGTATTGGCACCTGAACTAACATCTGCTGCCAATCTTTTTCTCCCTTCTTCTCTCCCCAAAGCCCCCCAGTCCAGTTGTATATTTAGTTGTGGGTCCTTCTAGTTGTGGCATGTGGGACCCCGCCTCAGCGTGGCCTGAGGAGCGGCGCCACGTCCGCGCCCAGGATCTCAACCGGCGCAACCCTGGGCCGCGGAAGCGAGCGCGGGAACTTAACCACTCGGCGGGCCCCTTGTTCTTACAAGTTTTTAAATAAAGGAAAAAAAGCGCCAAACAAGGTTACACGACCTGTGGTACAGTAAAGATTTACAAAGGCAAATCACTGCTTCTGCACACCCGCTCCGGCTGCGTTTGAAACCTCATTTTGGAGATAACACGTAGGTCCAAGTCTCACACCGGGTGACTGTGAGGACCGCCCACTGGCTTCCCCGCAGCCCTGCGACAGGTCCTGGAGAAAACTGAGGACGCCCCGATTTAGGCATCGGTTTTGTTTCTAATTTGTAAAGCCGGTAAACAGCCCCCGGAAGCCTCGGAACTAGAGAGCCGGGCGGCGGGAAAACCACTCCGGGCGGCGGGAAAACCACTCCGGGCGGGAGGGCCCTCGGAACCAAAGCGCTAGAGCCCGCCCCGCGGGACTGCGTTTCCCGAGCACCGGGGGCGCGGCCTGGCCGGCGGGGCGGGCCGCGGGGAGCGGTGGGGCGGCTGCGGGCGAAGCGGGGCGGCGGGCGCGGGCGCGGACCATGCTGAGGGGAGCGTGCGGCCGGCTTGCCTCGTCGCTGCGGGGGACGCGCGCGCCGCCGGCCGCAACCGCCCAGAGGCGGCTGCACGCGTCCGGGGCGCGGCCGTTGGCAGACAAAAGCGAGGACCCGGAGGGGCCGGCCCGCGCCTTCGACCCGGCGCTGCTGGAGTTCCTGGTGTGCCCGCTCTCCAAGAAGCCGCTCCGGTGAGACGGGCCGCCGTGCGGGGGGGCGGGCCGCGCGCCGCTGCGGGCCTTCGGGCTCGTCCTGTGTCCTCGCGGCCATTTTCTGGACCCGGGCCCAGCCGGCTCCCACGTACCTCTCCGGGCGGCGAGGGCCGAGCGAGTTACACGGCCGGCCCGCGGGTAGGGATGGAAGCTTTAGAGGGTCGCCGCCGGGGAACCCTTAAAATGCCGATTCCCGGGTCCCCGGCGGACAGAAGCGGAAGGCCTGAGGGCGGGGCCTGAGCCAGTACGTATTTTCTTACAAAGATCCCACGTGATTCAGATTCAGGTTTACGCGCTGTCGGGATTCAGGACTAGTCCAAGGCGGTCAGATTTTTAAGCGAAGATGATGAAAAGTATTGTGGTGGCCTCCATATTCTTGTGCAGTGCCTGGCGGCCTTAAGCCTGTCAGCTCCGTGTGCTGCCCTTGGGCGTTAGTTCTGGACTGGCCGGGTTTGTACAGGCCCCTTCGTCTTTGACCTAGAGTCCCTGGGTTGCGCAGCTCTGCAGTCCGGGCTGCCGACGCTGAACTTTGACGACGCTGGGTTTGCACATCGAATACACTAAACACCCAAATGTTACCAGTCTTTATCTTGGGGGGTAGATTGCTAGTAATTTTTATTTTCATCTCTTTGCATTTCTCTTCCTAGATTCTTCCCATAATGAACGTATTACTCATTCAATGTTCTTAAACCTTGAAATTACCACTTTCTCCACCTTTTAGGTAATTCTGTAACCAGCTCACTGCAGACCCGCCGCTTTCCAGTTTCATTTCTGCCCTCTCGTCTTTCTCAGACTTCTGTTTTGTGCATGTTGATTTTTCGGTGGTTTCCTTCTAATGGATCAGTTAGGTTGCTCTGTTAAGCATGTATCATAACACGAAGAAGTTGAATTTTTCTCTAGTGGCTATTCCGGTAGTAAATTGACTCGGATGGTTTGAGGGTTGACCAGAGTAAAGAAATATTTGGATAAAAGGGGAGATCTTTTCTGACTGGTATAAAAAAAAATAAAGGCATAGCTTGAGAATAAAGTGAAAAAGAAAATATGAGAGAAACTGACTAAAATGGGAAGAATTAGAGATTCGCTTTCTAAGAGAAACAGTTCAGTTGGCTATTACTGCTTTTAGAATTGAAAGTATTTTAATTGTGCTTTTCTGGGATTAAGTCTGTGCCAAGAATTGGATAAATGGTGTTGGTTATTGAATATCAAGCTCTTCCAAGCATTTTGTTTTCCACGATTCATCTTGTTTTTCTTTTTCCCCCTCAGGTATGAAGCATCAACAAATGAATTGATTAACGAAGAGTTGGGAATAGCCTATCCAATTATTGATGGGATTCCTAATATGATACCGCAGGCAGCTCGGATGACACGTCCGAATAAGAAGCAAGAAGAGATGGAGCAGCACTAGATCATAATTAAAAACAAAACAACGAAACACACACCAACTCAATTTTCTTACCACCATCTAGGTTTTAACAAGTCAGCGTGGCGGGTTCGTTTACTAAGTGGGGGAGAAGATGTTTCTCTCTCTTCCTACATTGACTGTCCTTATTCCCCTGGTCTCTTTAGCAGGCCTGTTGTACTCGGCCTCTGTGGAAGAAAACTTCCCACAGGGCTGCACTAGCACCTCCAGCCTGTGCTTCTACAGTCTGCTCTTGCCCGTCACCATCCCAGTTTATGTGTTCTTCCACCTTTGGACTTGGATGGGCATTAAACTCTTCAGGCATAATTAATGCAGCCAGAGCCAAGAGGGTGTATTTATTAATGATATGTCTCGAGCATCTGTCAATGAAAGCTCAACTGCGTGGAAATACTGGAAACCCACTTAATTTGCAGGAAAGATGCTTTGCCTCGCTTCTCTCAGAGGCTTGGGACTGCAGGAGGTTATGCTGCAGAAGCTTCTTTTATTGTACTTGGGTTCTGCCCTGTTTTTTGAAGTTCTAATTTATAACTGCTGTAGCAGAAGAAAAATTTCTACAAAGTGTCTTGGAAATTAACAGACCCAACCATCATCTGATGACTTTATTTCTTATCCCATTCATGTAAAAGTTAATAATCAAAATTTTGTTTGTTTAGATTCAAAATCTTTGGTAAAGTCACATGTTAAGGATGACTGAAGTAATTCCAAAGGAGCTGTTTGAGTTCTAGAGAAATGCGTTTCAACTAGTATGATATAAAACTGTACAATAAAGTGGAAATTTCAATACAAGTACAATAAAATGTATGTGAAAAATTCTGAGTTCGTAAGATTTCCTTTATTTCTTTGGCACCAGATGCATACATTGGTAATGATAAAATAAGGTGTTGATACTTTCCATAAAGAAAGTTTGTGGTACAGTAGTCCCCACTTATCTGCAGTTTCGCTTTCCATAGTTTCAGTTACCTGAGGTCAACAGTAGACCTCGTATGGTCCTGACATCCAGCCTTCGTCATGGCTCAATGATCCTCCTGACTAATCGTCAGAAGGTCAGTAGTAGCCTAATGCTGTGTCATAGTGCTTAGGTCATTCACCTCACTTCGTCTCATCTTGTAGGCGTTGTACCATCTCACATCACACGAAGGGTGAGTACAAAAAGGTTTTGAGAGGCCACATTCACATAATTTTTATACAGTATAATTGTTCTATTTTACTATTGTTAATCTCTTAATGTGCCTATTTTTAAGTTAAACTTTATCATAGGTATGTATGTATAGGAAAAAACATGGTATATATAGGGTTCGTTACTCCCCGCGGTTTCAGGCATCTGCTGGGGGTCTTGGAACATATCTCCCACGAGTAAAGGGAGACTACTGTTTTTTGGTTTTGTTATTTTTGTCACAAGAGTTTGGTGTGGGAGAGAAAATGTAAAAAATATTCTAAATTTTAAAATGTAGGCTATGTTTAAAGAGGCACTTAATACCCCAAATAGGATAATTTCTCAGCAAAGTGTGTACCTTTTGGGGTAGAGGTGAGGTTGGAAGTCTTGCAGAAAGCTGGTTGTGTCCTGTTGAGCTTAGAGCTATGTTTTGAGCCACAGATCAGTTTATTTTCCTGCTTTAGGAGATTATTTAGCACTACTAAAGGCATAAGCATTTGATGCAGTAATAGTTCCTGGTTTTCCAGAACTTTCAACAAGACTGATTGAGAATAGTACAATAACTATTTGAGGTAGACAAATGTTTCAGTAGTTACCCTAAAGAAACCAAAGAATTGAATGTAAATTTAATTAGTAGAATCTTAAGGTAGTTTAATAAAAGCTTTAGACAGCGATTCTTCTCTTTTAAAAGAAAATTAAAACATGAGGTTACAGGTGTTTTATATTGCATTAGTTCAACGTATATACTGTAGAACAAATCACATTTAAAAAATTACCCTATGGCAATATACAGATAACCAAGAAGACTATAGATGTTCCCATCATTTCCTGAATGGAATTATTGTTCTTTTTAATTTACCCTAAACCTCGCTGTGGTCAGTGTAAACAAAACAGTTTTGCTGATAAAATAAGCATTGTATTCTGAAAAGACAATTGCAGCTTTTGCAAGCATTTTATCATTGTAGAGGAAGCTGACAGGCATACCCCTGGGGGAGCTGAGTATGAACTCCATCTTCTCACTAGTAAAATTTATTTAGCAATCACTTGTATATGATGTATAAGCTGTCCACTAGGTACTCTTCTAAGCATTATTACACAAAATCTTCTTTACTCTTATAACCTAAAGGGTAGGGTCGGTAGTATTAGCACCATTTTCCAATTGAGGTAGCTGAAGCACGAAGGTGAAGTGATTTACTGAGGGTAACGCAGCAGTAATTGGACTGGAGTGGAAACTGCCTGGCAGTGTGGCTTCAGCCTGCCTTCCTAACCACTATACAGTACTTCTTTACTTTGAGCAAACTCTTCCTATTTACAAGAAAAGTAGACTTAGGACTCGAAAGGCTTGGATTCAAATTCTTACTCAAGCCTTACTGTTTTCCTAAGGCATCATATATTTCATCTCTATTCTAGCACTTAACCTTGTACTGTGATTGCCTATTTTCTGTCTCGTGTCTGGACAGTAAATTGTTCAACATTTTTTATCTAATGCTTAGCGCAGAGCAGGCAAAAAGCCCTGCCTGACTGCATGAACACATGGCTCTGACAAGCCTTATAACTTTAGACAAGTTTCCTAACATCTCTGACCTTCATCTTTAGGGCTGGAGATCCTTCCTCTGTTTCTTTCATAAAATTTCGAGGAACAAATTAAAGTTTACATGTGAAGGCACTTTGTAAAGAACTAAGTGATACTGATACTGACTTATGGAATGGCAGCAAGCGGAGCTCTGCAGACCCAATTCCCCGGTGAAACAACCCTAACTGGTGAAAATCATAAACAAAACAACTATTTAAAGTCTCTGGAAATTGTCCTAAGAGCATACACCCAAATGAGGAAACATATAAGAAAATCTAAATATTGGTAAGTACAGCAGAATTTGTGGCATTTGAACCACCAGCCACGTCTTTCTCCCTGTCAGCTCAGTGATGGCTCCTCCAGAAGGGTGCGGCCAAGGATGCAGGGCTCCCTCTCCCCCAGCTCCTAGCTGAGGGTTGTGGTATCTTCCCAGGAGGTGCGGGCCACAAGCAGAGTAAAGGTAATTATGTAATTATAAAAGCCAGTGTAAATGCGTATTTCGTCTTTTTTCTTAACTGATTTGCAGAACAACTGTATAAAATAAAACATATGTAATTGTATTTTGGGGCCTGTATCATATTTGCCATTAACAGCACAAAGGAACTGGATGGGAACAAAGCTATATTGGAGTAAGGAAATGACACCAGATGGTAACTTGAATTCACAGGAACAAGTGAGAACCAGGAAAGGTAAATAAGAAAGTTAATATAACTAATGCTACAAAAATATATTGTTCTCTTTTCTTCTCTCATTTTCTTTAAGAGACATTAAATTCCATAAAGTAGTAACAAAGTCTTGTTAGGTTTTAACATGTAGGTGAGATATGAATGACAATAATAGCACAAAAAGGGGGAAAGAGAAATAGGGCTACCTAGAAGTAATGTTTCTGTACCTCATGGGCACTCGTAAGAACAGATCTGCAGTTTTAGAAGATTTCTCAGGCCCTCATACACTGTTGGTGAGAATATAAAATGCTGAAGCTTCTTTGGAAAACAGTCGGCAGTCCCTCAAAAGGTTAAACACAGAGTTACCATATGACCCAGCAATTCCACTCCTAGGTATATACTCAAGGGAGATGAAAGTATGTCCACACAAAAACCTGTGCACAAATGTTCATAGCAGCATCATTCATAATAGCCAAAAAGTGGAAAACCATTCAAATGTCCATCAACTGATGAATGGATAAATAAAATGTGGTATGAATACAAAGAAATATTTGGCAATAAATAGGAATGAAGTACTGAGACATGCCACAACATGGATGAATTTTGAAAACATTGTGCTAAGTGAAAGAAGCCATTTATAAAAAAATCACATATTGTTTGATTTCCTTTACGTGAAATGAGCATAATAGGCAAATGTATAGAAACAGAAAGGAGATTAGTGGTTGCACAGGGCTGGGGGTGAAGGGGAGAGTGTGCTTATGGCTAAAGGTACAGGGTTTCTCTCTGGGGTGATGAAAATTTCTAAGATTGATTGTGTCAGTGGTCGCACAATTCTGTGAATATACTAAGTCCACTGAGTTGTACACTTTACATGTCTGATTTATATGCTGTGTGAGTTATATGTCAATAAAGTTGTTACCAAAAAAAAAAAGTATCTAAATGTCCAGCAAAAGGCTCAGTGGTTCCAAGTCACTTGCTGGAGGTCACGAGGCATGGTCAAGAGTGGAATGTAGTCTTAAGCCTTCTGAATTTTGTCCACCGCATTGTGCTACTTCTAGTGACCCTCTCAGACACAACGCTGTTTCCTGGGCATTCTTCACGGGCATTCTCCACCAGCGTTCTGGTGTTCCTCTCCCAAGTTCCTGACTAGCAAATCATCCTGGCTTCCTATCCGTTATGGGGACTCTCCTTTACTAGCTTCCCTTTACGAGCTTCGCACACACTCCATGACCCTGGCCTCACCACTTCGGATTGTTGCACTGTAAACCCACCGTGAGAAACACTGTTTCATTCTTTCACTACTTGGGACTCTTCCCCACTCCCCGATTATTAGCTGACTTCACAATGACAGGCCATCTGTTGCCTCCTCAGAGCATCTTAACAAGGTGATCTTCCTTAGTGTCATCTGCACCACTAACAGGCAGCATCTTTAACTACCTTGTGAACAAGATCCTTCCCACCAGCTTTCTGAGTGAGAATTTCCCATTCTGAGGGATCAAAAAAGGACTTGTCATAACCTGCTCTCCCTCTTCAATCTCTTCCAGTCCTGCAGAGTGGGCTGTTAAGGAAGCATCTCTGCACTTTAGATTCTGCATCTGTAAGATGGAAATGATGATACTTACTGCCAGACCTGCTGGGAGTTTTAAGTGAGGTAGAAAATATGAAATTGCCAGCATAGCCAAGAGTTAAGAAAGTCTCACTACTGTGTGCAGTTGTGGGGAGAAAGGCCTGTCCCCTTTGCCAAGTGCTGTCCCTCTTGGTGAAATGCTCCACTTGGAAGTGGTTGCTATCTTGTGCATATGCCACCAGGTGGCACTTCTGGCTAACTCATGGGGCCACTGGCAACTAAGCACTCAGGAAGCAGGAGGACTGCACTTGTGAAATGCTGGGCCAGGGACCATAGCTCACAAATGCTTACTAATGCGTCATCATGGCATCTCCGAGATAGCCATGAGAGCTGGCGTGAATCCCAGGAAACAAGTGGGAATAACCCAGGTGGAGGCAGAAGTGGAACTGAAGAGAGAGGAGGTGAGGAAGGGGGAGGGGTGGGGTGGGATGAGACAAGGGTTCCAAGCAGAAGTAAAAGCATGTGTGAAAACAGGAGACTGTGGCCCACTGAGGAAACTGAGACAGTTAGAAACTACTAGAATGAAGTACACTGTGTGCAGGGCAATGGCGGGAAATGAGGCTAGAGCTGTAGAGGGGGTGCCTCAGGAAGGATTTGGGAGCTGTAATCACAGTGTTAACAAAATTGGACTTTATTTGCCTGATGTTCAAATCATTTGATTTGTGCAGCTGAAAAACACTATGGCTCTCATTCCCAGAAAAGGAAAAAGAAAGCATATGCAAAATTACAGGGGGTTTGTATGCTACAGACCCCTGCGGTGGCAAGTGCTCATACTTCACTGTCCAGTATAGTGGCCACCAGTCACATGTAGACACTGAACACTTGAAATGTGGCTAATGTGACTGAGGAGCTGAATCTTAAATTTTAATTTTGATTAAATAGCCACATGTTGGACAGCACAGCTCTAGACTGTTTTTCCCACTACGGCCAATGGAAGTTTTGTCTTCAAAATTCCTCAGACTAAACCTTATCTACAGCAGGTAGATAAGGCGTCTACCTTAGTGCTCAGTGCAGATATGAGATTTCCAGCCTCACAGAACATTCCGTTGGACAGTGTTGGTCTAGATACAAGGAGACCAGTTGAGAGGCGATTGCAGTGAGGGGCCAGGAAATGATGACTGCTTGAACTAAACCACTGGCAGTGGGGTTAGAGAGAGAAGTAGAACCAGGATCGGCAGGACTTGACTGACGTTCTGAATGTGGGGATGAAGAAGGCGAGGAATGGAAGACGATTGCAGGCTTCTCCCTGGAGACGCTGGAGGTACCACTCCAAACTGTGGAATACAGGAAAAACGATCATTTTCTTTTTGAACATGTTGAGATTAAGGAGCCAAGGGGCGTGCAGGTGGAGACACAGACTACACAGAAAAATGGTTGTGGTTCTGGAATGTATCAGTTACGGGAGGTCAGAGAGAGAGATCTGGGTACCAGTAGCATGGAAGGAATAAGTGAAGCCATGGAGTTGATAAGGAGGATGTGTAGGTGAGAGAAGATGACCACACTGGCACTTCAGGTCAGGGGAGTGTCAGAGTAGCACGGAAAGAAAATGGGAAAGAAGCCAAGAAAAAGAAAGCCACAGTCTAGCAGTTGATGACAATTTTGAGGAGAAAGTTGTCAGTGTTTTCAAATGCAATAGATATAAGATAGAAGTGGACAAGTTTCCACTGAAATTTGCAACAGGGAAGTCACCTGTGACTTTAATTAGAGCAGTTTGAGTGGGAGAAGCACCACTTCAGCTCTGGACAAACTACCGAGACAATTATGAGAGAGAAAGAAACTTCCGTCTTATTTAATGCACTGTGTTTTGGAGGTGCCTTGTTTTAACAGCCTAGTCTGAACCCTAACAGCTCTCCCTGCAGTAACAGCGAGTCTAAAAGAGCAGGGAGACACCCGAACAGTCAGCAAGACTTTTATGTTAATTTTTGAGTTCTTCATTTTATTTTTGAAAATATTTCCAAAAAGGGGTAAAGAGTGTGAAGTGGGGTCAGCCAAATCCTCTGTTGTTGTTGATGGCTACTTGAAGTGCTTCTTCGACTCTTTCCATTGTAGAATATTTAGGGAGGTAGAGGACACTAAAACATGTTTGTGCTCTTATGGGATCTTTTTCATCCAAATGTTCAGGACAGCAAAATGTTATTTTCATGTTCTTTACACCTTTCACTTGAAGTCTGTCAGTTCCTGTAAGAAACACTGAAAAGAATAAAATTGAGTGATTTATTAGAGAAAAAAACATGTTTATTCAAAAACATTTATTGAGGGCCCACGTGTGGAGTCCCACATTAGACAACACTGGGGACCATATTAGGACAAAGTCTGACACAGTCACTGCCCTCAAGCAGCTTAGAGTCTGGCTGGGAATATTAGATTCTCATGCAGAAAACGACAAACAGCAAGAGAAAAAGGAAAGGGTGTAAGACAGCCAAACAAGGGGCCCTGGAATTCAGTGCCTCCTGAGCGTAGATGAAGTGGTGCAGGGCAGAGACGGAGAGAATCAGGCTGGGATGATGGGGAGACTCCAGAGTTGCGAATCAAGCTGGACCTTTAAGGAGGGAAAGCCTTCGAGAGGCAACAGGAGGTGGGTGAGGGTTCAAGGCAGGGCAAGGAGCTTCAGAGAAAGCCTGAAGGTGGGAGGGTGCAAGGTGAGCTCAGGAACGTAGAGACGAGGGAACTGTTTGGCTGGAACAGACTTCTTCTAAGAGGTAAGATTGGAAAGTTAGGTTGGGCTTCTGGAAAAGTCTGAATATCTTCCAGCGTACATATTACCTACAAAAATAATAAGATAAATGTTTCTCAAAATTACATAAGAAAGTGAGAGAGAAAGTCATTAAACAAGTCTCAGGAAAACCACTGAGTAGGCATGAAACTGAGATCAAAATCTGGAAGGTGAGGTAAAATAGCTTGGAGACAAGGGACATTCTACAGCTTGGCTAATCCCACAGGGCATAGATGATTGAATGATGACACGACTACAGAACAAAGTCTCAATAGTTAGCTTGGATGAAAAGAAAAACTTTAAAGCAATAGGCAGGGTTGAAGTCACAGGAAAAAAGACCTATATTAACATTTATTTATTTACTTTTATTTTGGTGAGGAAGATTAGCCCTGAGCAAACATCTGTGCCAATCTTCCTCTACTTTGTATGTGGGATGGCTCCGCAACATGGCTGATGAGTGGAGTAGGTCCATGCCCAGGATCCCAACTGGCGAACCCAGGCTGCCAAAGTGGAGGGTGCAGACTTTAACCACTTGGCCATGGGGCCAGCTCCTAACATTTATTTTTTGATGTTGGGACAACCAGCACTGAGGACATTCAACTGGATTAGGAATGCCTCTTACAACTATGATTTGTCGTGAATGGTGCCTATGACAAACCAGATTTTCTTACCCCATAAAAAAGACCTAAGATTATAGATCTATTCCTAATGTAATACTCACCAAGGAATTTCTTCTTTTCCTCCAAAGTCAATTTGTGTAAAGCTTCCCAAAACATCACTATGGTGGGATGTGAACTGTCATATCCTCCCGCATAACGTGCATTCTAAAGGAAAATGCAAAAAAAAGGAATTCAGGAAATAGAAAAGAAATTTAAATTCAAACTACTTGGTCTTTATGATGTACCTTTTCAAATGTTTCCCAGTCATAATCTGTATTTCCAATAATCACATCCTTGAGTTCTGCAGGATGGAAAAATCCAATAATCTCCTTGTCACACACTTTGTAAAATCCTCTTTGAAATTCTTCATAAACTGCCTTTATAGAGATGTTGAAGATGTAATTGACACACTTAGAAACATAGTCTCTCCTTTAATGAAACAAGAAATGATTTCAGCTTACTGCAACACCCTGGGCAAAACTGGGGGAGGGGGTGGGAAGAGGATGATAAACAGAAAAGAAGAGCTGGAACCCCTAACAATTGAGTGCTGCGCACATGCCAGGGATTGTTACAGCTAGTTCTCATATACTATCCAATTTAATCTTCATAAAACTCTCTGAGGCAGAATCTTATGACATTTTAGAGAAGGGGAAACTGAGAGAGTAAATTATGTGATTGCTCAAGGTTACACCATTAAGAGAATTGACACAGATTAGAATAAAAAAAGTTGTGAAGAATAAAACCTGACCTGCCGACAGGATTAGCTCTGGGGAGTGGGCTTGGAGTTGGGGAAATGTCACATTTTATTTTATACTCTACTGTAGGCTCTGAATTTGTCATAGTGAGTCATTAATATTAATTGTGGTTCAACACAAATAAAGGGGGGATTTAGACCTCCAGCTATGATGGACTAGCTTGCAGCAAATTCTTCTCTCAGTGAGAAGAACTAAAAAAGCCAGATAATATACAAAACACAGCCAGCTCCAGGCTTCCAAATCTGAGTCAAGGCTCTAGAGGCCTGAACAGAGGAGAGAAGGGAAGCTCACCGAGCTGAGCCCAGCATTTGACCTGCCATTCTTCCCTTTGCGCATGTCCCGGTTCTTTCCAGGACAGGGCCAGGCAAAAAGTAGCTGTCAGGAGGCAGAGAACCTTATTACATCCATCAATAATACTGTGGATAAATTGGGATATATTCATAAAATATACTATAAAGCTGGAACTCTATTTCTTGATCTGTACATTTATGATTTGTGCACTTTTATGTATGTTATACTTCAATACAAAGTTTTTTAAAAAAAATAATGATTAAAAAATTTTTTTGAAAAAAGGGCCAGCCCTGGTGGCCTAGTGGTTAAATTCAGCATGCTCCACTTTGGTGGCCTGGGTTTGATTCCTGGGCGTGGACCTACACCACGCTGTTAGCAGCCATGCTGTGGTGGTGGCCCATATACTAAAAAAAAAAGATAGAGGAAGATTGGTGCAAATGTTAGCTCAGGGCAAATCTTCCTCAGAAAAAATAAAAACATTTGGCTTAGGCAAGAATGCTCACTAGAAATCTCTTTGCTACTCTGACCAACTATCAAGGGAACGTTCCCTTGATATGGCATCCCATAAGGTGCTGGCAAGTCAAGATACCATGGTAACATCTAATAACGTTAACAAATACTAAGTGCCTGCTATGGTGCAGGCATCACTGTGACTACTCCAGGTACTGGATACACAATGGTGAGCTACACAGACCGGGTCACTGCCAGCATGCAGCTCATGACTGTGGGGAAAATACTGACAAGTAAATAAGCAAATAAATCCTAAAGGTAGGTAGTGTGTGATATGAAAAGAAAAAGTAAAGCAAGGTACGAGGATAAAGAGAGAGGTCAGTGGTATCATTCTAGACAGGAAGCTAAGGGAAGGCCTCTCTGAGAAAGCTACTTCCTTCCCTACCAGAATAGGAACTCCAGGAGACACACTATGCATACAACACGCACAAACTTCTCTGCCTTATTGGAAAATTATAATAACTACAAGGAATTTTCAGAGCCCAGTGAAATAAATATAGTGTATAAACAAAACAAATATTTCATTTCTTTGTACCTACTTGTTAGTCTGGTCGACAATTATGTCACTTCCATTAGGAATTAATTCTTCTGCATTTCTGTCCCAATGCACCTGCAACGACAAATGAACTCAGATAACTATCTCCAAAATAATCCTCAACAATCTCTCATCAACAAAAACAGTTTAAAGCATACTTCTTTTCCTCAAGAATTTGCAGAAACGTCCATTTTTGTCATAAAAACTAGCAAGGAATGTACAAATAAAAAACGACCACTTTATGTCATGCAGAATGAAAAAAGAACTTAAAGAGATAGATGATCTATTTTAAAACTACTGAAAAAATTGGAAGTATCTCAGGATTCACTTTATAAAGTATAGACCTAGTGTGGCAGACTTGCAAAAATGACCCCAAGTTCCTCCCATCTCAGTATTCATGCCCCTTTGCAATGTGACTCTGCAACACCTCCCATCATGAAGGAGAGTCTATTTCTTCTGCCCTTGAATCTGGGTGTGGCCACGTGAACTACTTTGGCCAGTGGGATCTGACAGAAGCAAAGCTTGAAAAGAAGCTTGTGCATTGGGGTTCATCTTCTCTCTCATCTCTTTATAACCCTGAACCATCCTGTGAAGAAGCCTTAGCTAGCCTCCTGGAGAATAAGAGACCACTGGAACAGAGACAAGCTGTTCCAGCTGGCACTCCATAAACCAATCAGCCTGCCAACGACCACGTAGGTGAGCGAGGAGGCCACTGGAGACTATCCAGCCCAGCCAAGTTGGTCCAGTCCAGAAACCCATAGAATTATGTTTGTTGTTTTAAGCTACCAAGCTTAGGTGTTGTTTGTTATATAGTAAAATCTGACAACACCCAGCTCATGAAAAATAAGGGAATAAAACCTTTTGTGCTAACTAATTCAGAAGTTCATTTTTTAATGAAAGTAAAGGGTGACATGTTTAGGTAAGTATGTAAAGGGTTTATCAGATTAAATCTGATCTGTAATCTGGTTTTTATTGTTACTCACAGTAAAATGGATATAAAATACTTCTCCAAAGTCTTCACCTTCATCATCCAGAAGTGTTTGCAAACTCCTAAAGAACAAATAATTTTGTTTTTCAGAAGTCAGTAATCATGATCATTAGATATATCATCTGAAATAAATGTCAAGCGCATGACTGTTGTGAAGGCGGGAGGTCAGGTCCTTAAGAACGCCCATTTCTCTGCACATTGACAGTCTAAATAGGGCCAGACCTCAACTATTTGTGTGAGGTTTAGAAGATTATTTGCAATTCTGCAGGTTCTCCACCTGGTTCCCACTCTCTTCCCGTCATCCTAAAGTCCTTTACTCAGTGACTGTAGGCTTCTATTTAGAAAAGGATTGATAACATATTTACTGGTACTGAAACATTCAAATTGGTGTTACCTTTATTTAAGCTTTTGAACTTTACCTACAGAGTAATAGATCTCTTTTAAACATGGGGTATCATGCAGGAAACATGAGGAGTGGGTAGGTCCAAGGACCTTCTCTGTATCTCCCGTTCCAGTATCAAGCTTAAGACAGACTGTAATCTGACTACCTTAATTGTTTCAAGGCATCTGTGAGAACAGAGCTTATAGCACAACGGATAGCAGCCAGTCTTCTCGTGTCTCCATCCTCCGTTGTCCTATGGTGCTTTACGCATACTTTTTAAGTACAGTCATGTGCTGCATAACAACATTTCAGTCAACGATGGACCACATGTATGATGGTGGTCCCATAAGATTAGTACCATACAGCCTAGGTATGTAGTGGGCTATACCATCTGGGTTTGTGTAAGTACACTCTATGATGTTCTCACAATGATGAAATCACCTAATGACACATTTCTCAGAATGTACCCCTGTCATTAAGCAACATATGACTGTAGCACATCTCATATTGTATTATTTGCTCATTCACTCAACAAACATTTATTAAGCACCCCAGTGGCAGACATAAGGATGTAAAGTTGAGACTAAGACATTACCATCAATGAGAACAGTAGGTAAGATATGCTAATGACAGTCTCAGCCACAGTCCTGTGAGATATGTGCAGCTAGAAACTATGTAAATGGTACAGGTATGACTTGGAAGAGCCTGGTTAACTCATTCCAAAGGGATATGTGTCACTGGGAAAGAAGGTGGAATCCACGGTGACTTTTTCCCCACTGGATTTTTTCTTCTTTTCTGGGAAGGATTTGCCCTGAGCTAACATCTGTTGCCAATCTTCCTCTTTTTTCTTTTTTTTACCCCCTCAATGCCCCAGTACATAGTTGTGTCTAAGTCCTTCTAGTTCTTCTATGTGAGCCGCTGCCACAGCATGGCTACTGACAGACAGCTGGTGTGGTTCTGTGACGGGGAACCGAACCTGGGTCACCAGAATGGTGAGAGCGCCGAACTTTAACCACCAGGCCATCAGGGCTGGCTCCCCACTGGACTTTTTATTATGGAATTGTGATAAAACAGACCATGTTTTATTCATTGCATTTTTTCCAAGGGTGTGGGAGAGCAAAGGGAACTCAGCTGACAAAATTGGATTCATCCTAATCCTTGGTTCGTGATCCTCTCTCATTATATATCCATGGATGGCTTATTTGCTTATTTATGGGTGTGTTTATGAAGAACACCTGGGAACTTGCCTCCAAAGCAAGAGCTTAAACACTGATAATACCCTATACCTACCTACAGGGGATACCTCCCCACTCCCACTTTTCTACCACCCCCTAAACGTGTTACAATTATCTACCAGTTTGAAGAGTGTCTTTTTTCTTTCATTAAGTTATCTCTTGATGAACAGAGAACTTTACTCTTACTGCAGTTAAATTTATCAATGTTTCCTTTAATGTTGGTACTTTTTATGCCTTTCTTAAGGAATTCCAAAGGTGAGAGAGATATCTGTCCCTATTTTCATCATTTTTGCATTTAATATTTAAGTCCTTCATCCACATGGAGTTGATTTTTGTATATGGCATAAGGTATCTGCTCTCATTTTTTCAGTACTCCTATTAACTGAATAGCACTCCTATTCCCATTGATCTAACATACTGCCTCTAACAAAGCTCCATAGGTGTATGGGTCAGTTTCTGAGCTCTCTTCTGTTCCACTGGAAAACCTACGCCGATACCATACTGTCCTAATTAATACGGCTTTCCAATAATTCTTCATATATGGTAGGCCAAGTTCCTCATCCGTTTTCACCTTATGAATTATTTCTGGCTATTCCTGGCCCTTTGTTCATCCAAATAAATTTCAGAGTCAGCTTGTCAAGTTTTATAAAAAGCCTTCTGGGATTAAAATTGGAATTTTGTTGAACACACAGATCAGTGCTTCTCCAAGTGTGACCCAGATGAGCAACTTCTGGGAATCCCTGAGGCCTTTACAGGGGTCCATGAGGCCAAAACTATCTTCATAATAACACTAAGATGTGACCTGCCTCTTTCACATTCTGCCATGGGTATAGAAAAGAGTTTTCCAGAGGCTATAATGATAGCTAATACAGTGAGTATGTGTGTATTCCTTTACTTAAAACATTTATGACTTTTAATTTCTAATACTGTAAATATTGACAAATGTAACCAACATAAGTAGAAGCTCTTTGGGGTCCTCAATAATTTTGAAGAGAGTCTGAAGATCTGGAAGTGTGAGAAATGCTGACACAGATGTAATGCCCTTCACCTTTGCTCAGTTTATGTGCATTAAGTTTATTGTCGTCTTAGGCAGAAACGTCAGGTCATTTTCAATGTTTTCAGTAAAAAGTAACAACAAATTTCCAACCTCCTTTCCAAATCTTGTGCTTTTGATATTTTTTCCTTATCTTACTAGTATAATTAGTATAATGATTAATAGTTGGAATGGGAACCAGTCTGTCTGTGTTCAAATCATGGTTCTGTCCCTCCAGGGCCCGGGGCGAGTTACCTAAGCTGTGCTTCAGTTTCCTCAGCTGTAACATGAGGATAATAATAACAGGATCAGACTACTGTTCTCATTTTTTTAAAGAATACTTTAAAGATTTTGAAGTATTGCACTGCTATGAAATAGTATTCCATTGAATAAATATACCAAAAATATACAATTTCCTTACTGAAGAACATTTAGGTAGTCTATATATTATGAATTGTATGACACAATAGACATTAGTATACATAAATCTTTGCATGGTTGTGTATTTCTGAATGTGAAGTGTCTAGACATTTCACAGGTAGAATTGTGGGGTCAAAAGGGTAAACAAATTTTGATTCTGGTAAGTCCTGCCACATTGTTCTCTGAGAAGGAGTTACCAGGAGTTACCAACTTCCACTTCCACTAACCATACCTGAAATCAGAGTGAACCTTTTCCTAAATCCTCGCTAACACCATATAGCATCAGTATTTCTAACCACTGTCAATTTGAAGTACATATTAGCCTCTCATTTAATATGCATTCCATGATCACTAGTGAGATTGATCATCTTAATATTTATGACCCATGTCTATTGCTTCTTTTGTGGGTTGCCTGCTTGTATACTTTGTCAATTTTTCTTGCGGATATGTAGGAACACTTTATACAGCAGGGATCTTAACCCTTTCTATTATTACACCAATATTTTTTTGTGAGGTGCCAGCTTGTCTTTTAATTTAGAATGTTTTAAAGTTTTCACTTTAAAGATGATAATATGAAGCAACATTTAAAATAAACATCACTTGCAGATTTTGCAGCAAGATGTAACCTGTGCTCTGTCCATGACTGTTTCTACATGAAGTTCAAAGATCAATGCAAGCATTGAGGATTAATTATAGGAACAATCAACTTTTCTTAATTTTAGAAAGTTAAATTAATATCCAACAATTCTTGCCAAAGTTAAAAATGGGTTAAAGTTCCTAGAATGCTACTGTTGAGCATGAAAATATTACTGCGGTGTGTGTATGTTTAAACATTTATCTAAATCAACATTAGATGGGGTTCTGAAAAGGAACTACATTTACTAACCTTCCGAAAACAGGACTGAGTTCTTTTAAGTCTTCCAATGATGGCGTCTGGTCCAAAAGTTTCTTAAACAGAGCCAGTGGGAAAGGGATGTTGGCAACATTGCAATTGAACAGGCAAAGTCCACAGAGAACCCCAAAGAAGAAATAGCTCTTCTTCTCAAATTTAGGCTGAAAAGAGAGAAAAAAAATCCTAACGTATTATGAATTTTTACTAGTACCTTGGAATATTTATGTTAGGTAAACCTTTTTTTTCCCTTTCACAAAATCAAATCACAAATTAAAACCAAAAAGCCTGAGATAGGAATATTTAGGGTTTATATTCAATCATTAAGTCGATCTAAATCCTTGCCACAGTTTTGATTACTAAAAACATTAACAGGATTGGGGGGCAAGGGGATAGGAGAGATGCTGCTTAGGGGGAAAAACTGCAATGAGTAGTAAATAAGTCCTAGAGATCTAATGCACAGTGTAATGAATATAGACACCAGTATTGTATTGTAATCATCGAATTTGCTAAGAGACTAGGTCTTAATTATTCCAACCACTAAAAAGAAATAATAATTACGAGACGCAACAGAGGTGCTAGCTAACACGACAGTGGCAATCATATTATAATATATAAATGTATCAAATCAACATGTTGTACACCTTAAACTTACACAATGTTATATGTAAAATATATTTAAATAAAAAATAAATAAAAGCATTAACAGAAAAAGAAACACATTAGGCTCAGTAATCCTCACAAACTAAACTTTTCACAATTTCTCTTCATAGCCTTTGTCTTCAAATTCATCAGGAAAAACAGAACTGAAACACAGAATGGGCACCTGAGAAAGGAAAGGTTCATTTTTATCTAGACCTTCTATAAATGGTCAAAAACATATATTGCTTAAGTTCTCCTGTGTCGGCATGGGAACTGAGGGAAAGCAGACCCCATTTTAGAGAAAATAATCACCTTTTTAGAATTAAAATTTATCTCCACAATTATATCAATAATTCCTCTCCTAATATAAAACAGTCTAGACAACCTAATTTTCGATGGAACGTGATACCTTTTCTGTCAGGAAATACCATAAGCAAACACGACTTACCCTGACAGGAAACCACATGTAGGAGGCCTCCTCGGGATATGTGAACAGCCCATATTCTGGCTGGGTCAGCTCTTCAAATAGACAGTGGAAAAACTCGGCCCTCACTCCTCCATAGTCAAGTGGAATTTCTCCACTAAATGAAACCTGAGGAAACAGAGCAAATAATGCATCACTTCTGGAGTTCTGTATTGCTATGTATTAAATCTCAGTTAATGACAGTAAGAGCTCACATTATTTGTGGACCCAAGTAGGCACTGTGGTAGGCATCTTACTCATACTATCATATTTAAGATTCCCGTTAATTCTATGAGGGTGAAGAGGCTTCAAGAATTTAAATAACTTTCCCAAAGTTATACAACTGCTAAGCGGAGCAGCCTACCTTTAATCCTATGTCTGTCAAACCTCAGAGCCTGAAGTCTTTACCACTAAATTGCCCTCAAATGGCATCATTATTATAGTCATAAGGTACATTAAATATAATGAAAAGAAACACTAAAAAATCATAAATATTAGGATTTTCAAAAAACTGAAAAAACAGCATGTGTAAAACATTTATCGGCTTGGTTTTTTACTCCTTCAGGAGGCGGTATCCCACCTGTTGACATCAATCCTTCCCCAAGACGATTCTATCCTAACCCATCTGCCCCTTCAATCACTCACTCTGTTCCTGCCTTTTCTGCTTGGAAGGCTTCCCTTCAGTTTACAAATGCGTTATGGTCTCCCTTATTCTTAAAAGAAAAAAAATCTCAACACCATTGTCTGAGATATAGGCACTACTGGCTCCTTCTACTCCAGGTTGCCAAATTCTGGAGAATGTACACCAACTTCCAAACCCATTTCTCCACTTAAATGGTTCTCTCCAAGAGGACCAAAAGCCTGCAGAATCCCCAATTCCAAAGATTTTCCTCGTGTCTCATCTCCCCGATTTCACTAACTCATTCTACACTCGGACCACCTTCTCTTTCTTCACACTCTTTTCTCCTTGATTTCTCTTATCAAGCACTATTTAGATTTTTAGTTCTCTCCCCCTGCCCCCCCACCCCTTAATACCAGAAATTCCACAGTTCTATGCCGGCACTTCTGTCCTTTCTCTCTGCTCTTTCCCCAGATGCTCATTTTCTTTTTCAACTTCATTTATCGCTTGCAGGCATTTAACCTTCATATCCATTTTATCTTCTCTCCTGATTGACACCCACTCATTTTCAAAGGCCTGCTCCACATTTCCATCTCCATGGATCACTAACACCTCCAAAAAGCTCCTTTTACTGACTTCTTTATTTAGATGAACACCTCTTCCATTCAATTCACGTTCAGTGAATTAGCTAAAACCTCTTAATAAGACCAGTGTCAAACCTTTACTTTGCGCTGTCCTGTGGGCAGCTCCTTGAGCTCACAAAGCCTTTTTCCCACAAGACTGTCAGAAAGATTAAATGGGATAACACATGTAAAATGCCTCACACAGTCTAGAATATGGTAACTGCTCATCAAATGTTACCTACATTTTAAAAATAGATGAACGAAATATAAAAGTGGAACTAAAATAACTGAGTGGACCGGCTGGCTGACACAGGTTAGAATCACATGAGTTCATTAGATTTTAGCTTTGTGCAAAAATATGTAGGATCCACTGTTACATTCTTCCACGTGTTCCTTCTCTCAGCAGCAAAAACACTAAGTTTATCCTTTATTATACTTTACCAGTAACTCCCTCCTCAGATCTTCATTCTCAAATCGGTTTAGGTGATTCAAGACGTCCTCAATCAGGTGACTCCTTCTGACGGTTAGACTAAAGGAGGACGACAGAGCTAATTCAGGCTCTCCTGGGTCCACATTTCCATCCAGTGTCATAAAGCGTCTTTGTTCTTTCTCCTAGGAAAACAGACACGTTTCACTTCATTTCACCATTTGCTCTAAGGAGAAATTTATAAAGTGGAATAAACTGGTTCAGTTTAAGTGCATGTCACAAACATTTATGAGAAGAGCCTTATTTATACCGCTAAGCTATACCTTCAGGACTCGCCCCCAGGGAGCAGAAGAAACAGGAGACCTAAGGAGTGGGAAGCATTGCAGAGCCACCTTGGGAGAGGAGGAAAAACTGCAGGCTCCATTGGACTACTTTATCCTGTAAACACAATTACTAACACTTCAGGAGCCAAAGCTAAGGACCACAACAGGCAAAGAGACCCATCAGTAAAGAGCAAAGCAGTGCGCTGAAACACAATCTTCTCATTTGGAAAGAAGTTCAGAAGTTTAGAAAGGAAGTTGCTGCAGGAAAAGTTCCAGCAGGAGAGACCTCTCTACAGACATCCTATTCTAGGAGGAGAACCCAGACAGCAGAGTTTAGGCGACAGATAATCTAACAAGTTAATCTGAGAGAGAGACAGACAGACACACAGACTGTCCCTCTGAAACCAAACGGCAATGTGGTATCATTAAAGTCTGTGGCTCTTAGCAAAACAAGGAGTAGCCAAATACCAGTTCTATAAAATTATTACTGGAAGCCTGCTTAAAATCAGGAGAGAACAGTCACGAGAGTTGAAGCAAAATAAAGTTCTTATGTCTTTCCTCCTTTTATTTTCCTTTGTCAAATATTTCACTAACGGTCATACTTGGAAGTCATAAGTCAATTTTCTATTTTATTACAGTAACTGCATTATGTGAAAGTATCTGCTTTTATGACATATATTGCAATATTATTCATACATATACAGATGCATATTAAGAGTAAAAATGATAATAACAGCTAATGCTTTGGGGCACTTACTTCATGCAAGGCACTGTTCTAAATGCTTTACCTATGTTAACAAATTTAATCTTTATAAAAAAGGCAATAAGGTACGTTTCCCAAGGCCTTTTCAATTGTCCAATTTTAAGTTCAAAACCACTTTGCTGGATATGCTGACAAACAGAACCAACTCAGCCAGTGACAGTACACTGAAAGGGGGATACTTGCTACACACGTTTATTATGGCACCATCACAGGGCACCAGTCGTTTATCTGGGTCCAGATTTCAAGACTGCCGTCCCCTCTATTCTCACTGCTCATTTTTCCATTAGATGGGCCCTCCTTCTATCCTGGAGCCTACCCCAGTCAGGCCCACGTCTGCTGTGCCTCCTGAGTGCCATTCAGAAGACCACAGGCACCACCTCCAGGGAAAAGCCCCACTGCCAGGCCAGCTGCCCAGGCTCCAGGTTTGCTACTGAGGCCCTCAGATGCCTCAAGGCCAACCCACCCCAAATTTGAGAGTCTTTCTTGCCTTCGTCTTTAGCTTACAAGCTCCTTGAATGCTATGACCATTCGTTTCACCATTGGGTGGCTCCCTTGTCACTCCTCAAATATTGTACGCTTCAGAAGGCGTTTATTTATCATTTGATTTGGTAATGAAGACAAAGCAATAGGCATACGTACCCATATTTTTAAAAGCGAGTCTGCATACAGTAGTTTAATTTTCGACAGAATATTAAAGATAAATGGAAAATGACTGAATACGACAGGAGAGTCTCTTGAAGTGTCCTAAAAACAGAAATGACAACGATTCTGACAAAGGAAAGGAGAGAGAAATCTTACACCTTTCCCCACAGCCTTTAATCCCTGATAGTTTAAGGTCTCAGTACTTAGAGCCAAAGCAATCCAAACTGCTGGTCAGTTGTACTTAGGCATATAAAATTCTAAGACGCTGTTTTACATGTTGTTAATGAAAGGTATATAAACCTAGCATTTTCAGTGCTCATTTAATTTAGTGGTTAATTATAAACTCCAAGCACTTTCCCAAAGAGTCTGTTCCTGCTGCAGCCTGCACTTCTGAAATGTGCATTAGTTCAGATGCATTTGATAAACAGGGGAAGGAGACAATGTGGACAGCTGCTTAGCTCATACATGATTTTTGCCAGACAAGGATGGATGTGCTGGGAGTAGAATTATAACCTTCAGGGAAAAGGAAAAATCCCTCAGGTAGGTGCTGCTGAACTGGCGGCAAGAGCCCTTTAGATTTATTTTAAGAAAATAAAAGAGGAGTACTTACACCCAGGGTATCCTCCCCAAAGGGCTGCCCCAGAGGGCTGGCTCTGGGTGAGTCACGCTGCCCTCTATGCCACCTGAGGGGCAGAGCTCCACTCCCAGCTGTGTTGTCTCGGGACCACCAGTGCTCTAATCAGAGTGTGCAAAGATTTCTACCTTTGGTTTCTGGGCAATTTTCATGTTCTCGTGGCGCTCTCCACGAGCTGCCGGCCTGGCTGATCCCAGCTAGTGCCCCAGGGAGCAACCACTTTTCGGCTGGTGCTCTGGCTACAAAGCTGCATAGGTTTTGAGGGGGTCTGTCTTGTTTTTCCCACAAGCCTTGCTATTTCTACTGGACCATTCTGCAAAGTGCAAGGAGTTGTGGAAACTCATGAAAGTGTTACAGCACAGCTGCCTGCATTAACTCACTGATGATCAATACCCCCTGTAAATACGCCACACTTACTGAGTTCATTTTCCAAGCAGACCTTTTATACACGTCTCCATAGAAATCAAGCCAGTGCGTGAGTTCGCTTACTTCGAAAATATTTTCAGGCACTTGACAATTACTCTGGTTTACCTTAAATAAAATATGACCGTGAGGAAGTTTTATATATACAGTTTTGCTTAATGGCTATTAATTAGATTATCAGAATAAATAGCAAATGAAACAGTCTTTTAACAACCAGAATAAAGTTCTATTCAATTCCTCCACTGCCAATGCCCCAGATTTTCAGGAACATAAAGAATACCTAAGATTTAATAGAAATTGACGATAAACTTCCAGTTATTTCTAATTCATAGAAAAGTTTTAAAGAACTTTAATTCAAAGAAAAACACAGTGCAACATGACTCCAAAGTACTCTAAGGCCCAATGCTTCATGTCGTTCTTCAGAGCTTAACGAGAGACCATTTACAGAATGTTCCCTCTGGCAAGGCGTATATTGGACATTCTCCTCTTAAACCATGGGGGAATTTTCCAGCGTTCCATCCCAGGATGCCCAGGGTTATTATGACATGCACGCGAACCCGCTGGCACAGCGCTAACCATCAGTCATGGAAGACACTGATAATGACACGAGATGCTCTGGTCATGAATGGCCATCAGTATTTGACCCGGATGGGCACAGTCCTGGTATAAATGACTAACTCTCAGGTGGTCTTCTAAAGGCCCTTCTTGGTTGTGTAAGTTAAGACATTTATCTGGAATATTCTTAGTGACTCTGGCCCAGAACACCAAATGATCCAGGCCTCCCAGTCCCACCGCCCGAAGCATGCTGAAGCTGCTTCACCCCTGTGACTACGGCCCTCTGGACCCTGCTGATCTCAGCCTTGCACTGTCAACAACCTCAGTGTCCCCAGAGTCACGGAGAAAGTGGGTGCTGCATCCTCGTGGCTTCCTGTGGTCCCCTTTCAGAGGTGGTGGGGGCAATTCTGATGTCACCTGTCAGAGTCAGAGGACAAGGCAGGATCCCTTGAGGACTTCTTTCGTTGCTGCTTCAGTATTTCTCAGGATTCTCTTCCTAAGTGGCACAAGCTCACTAGAATACACTTTCCCCGAGTTCTTCAGTAAATTTCTCAAAACCCAAATTATTACTTTTTACAAATCTTTCTATTTTGTACAAAACCTTTAAAAATAGCCAAGGGTAGGCACTGGTCTTTAGCAGTATGGCAGACTTTTTTTTAGCAGTATGATAGATTAGGCAACTTGATCCATTGAAAACAACCAGAAATACAAGATAAACCATAAGCAAACATTTTTTAACGCAATACTGATTTTGTAAGTAGATATGGAATAATTAGGTCAAAAACTAAGTGAAGGTGGCATTTGCTTTGAGAGTATTTGCCAAACCTGGTGTACATGAACTTCAGTTTTTAATGGTTGGGCCTTTAGAGAAAGGAGACAAAGCTCCAACTCCCTTCAAATTAGGGAGCCAACAGTAGAACCTCACCTCGTCAATGTGGGACCCAGAAGGGCTAAACCATCAGAGTGAGGGGGAACCAGAAAGAAACAAGCTCTTCCCTCCACTCCTACATCAACCCACCCCACCTTGACTCCAAGACAAGGCAAATTACAGCTGGTTATGGCGCTGAGTTGGGGAATAAATGTCGCCTATAGGATTTGTGATTACAAAAGCGCTCTCCTGAAAATTTGTACACCAAATTCATACCACCCAGAGATCTAAAAAGCTTCAAGCCAAGAATTTAATTCAAAGTAGTACCAGGCGCTGGCCCCATGGCCGAGTGGTTAAGTTCAAGCGCCACACTTTGGCAGCCTGGGGTGCACTGGTTTGGATCCTGGGCGCAGACTACACACTGCTCATCAGGCCACGCTGTGGCAGCGTCCTACAGAGAATGATTTACAACTAGGATATACAACTATGTACTCGAGCTTTGGGGAGAAAAGAAAAACCAACAGCCGGATGAAGATTGGCAACAGATGTTAGTTCAGGGCCAATCTTCCTCACCAAAAAAGTATACCTTAAAAAAAAAATGCAGTACCAATCTGGTGGTGTCTCCAGGGGCCTGGGAGAAGCAAATTCTCCCTGGAGAAACCCACCCCCCAAAGAAATCCAAAAGATAAAGTTCCAAGGAAAATGGTCAGCTCACACAGATACTCACACACAGTCACAAATCACATAGTAATGAAGGCACTATGAGGAAGATTCAGCAGGAACAAGAGATGGCAAAACCTGACCTGCAGAGACTTCAGATACCAGAGTTATAAGGTCACTAGATTTATAACGTAAAAGGAAAGCTTGAAAATAAGAGAAGGATGAAGAAATCATAAATAATAACGAAGAAAATAATTTAAAGAACCAATAAGAACTTTTGGAAGTGGAAAACATAATACTTGAAACAAAAACTCAAAGGGCAGTTTTTTATTTTTCCTTTCTTCTTTTTTTAATTTTTATTTTCTTTTATTGCTGTAACATTGGTTTATAACATTATATAAATTTTGGGTATACATCATTATATTTTGATTTCTGTGTAGATTACATCATGTTCACCACCCAAAGACTAATTTCAATCCATCACCACACACATGTACCTAATCACCCCTTTCCCCCTCCTCCCTTCCCCTCTGGTAACCATCACTCCGATCTTGGTTTCTGTGTGTTTGTTGTTTTTATCTTCTACTCATGAGTGAGATCATATGGTATTTGACTTTCTCCCTCTGACTTATTTCGCCTAGCATAATACCCTCCAGGTCCATCCATGCTGTCACAAATGGCCACATTTCATCATTTCTTATGGCTGAGAAGTACTCCATTGTGTATATATACCACATCTTCTTTATCCATTTGTCCCTTGATTGGCGCCTAGGTTGCTTCCAAGTCTTGGCTATTGTGAATAATGCTGCAATGAACACAGGGGTCCACAAATCTCTATGCATTCATGTTTTCATGTTCTTTGGATAAATATCCAGCAGTGGAATAGCTGGATCGAATGGTAGTTCCATCCTTAATTTTTTAAGGAATCTCCATACTGTTTTCCATAGTGGCTGTATCAGTTTGAACTCCCACCAGCAGTGTATGAGGGTTCCCTTCTGTCCACATCCTCTCCAACAGTTGTTATTTTCTGTCTTGTTAATTATAGTCATTCTGATGGGTGTGAGGTGATATCTCATTGTAGTTTTGATTTGCCTTCCCTGATAATTAGTGATGTTGAACATCTTTTCATGTGCCTGTTGGACATCTGTATATCTTCTTTGGAGAAATGTCTGTTCAGATCGTTTGCCCATTTTTTAATTGGGTTGTTAGTTTTTTGTTGTTGTTGAGATGTATGAGTTCTTTATATATTTTGGATATCAACCCTTTATCAGATATATGGTTTGCAAATATCTTCTCCCAAGCGTTAGGCTGTCTTTTTGTCTTGTTGATGGTTTCCTTTGTTCTGCAGAAGCTTTTTAGTTTGATGTAGTCCCATTTGTTTATTTTTTATATTGTTTCCCTTGCCCAGTCAGACTCGGTACTTGAAAATATGCTGCCAAGACTGATGTCGAAGAGCGTACTACCTATGTTTTCTTCTAGAAGTTTCATGATGATTCAGGTCTTAAATTCAAGTCTTTAATCCATTTTGAGTTAATCTTTGTGTATGGCATGAGACAGTGGTCTACTTTCTTTCTTTTGCATGTGGCTGTCCAGTTTTCCCAGCACCATTTATTGAAGAGACTTTCCGTTCTCCATTGTATGTTCTTGGCTCCCTTGTTGAATATTACCTGTCTGTAGATGTGTGGGTTTATTTCTGGGCTCTCAATTTTATTCCATTGATCTGTGTGTCTGTTTTTGTGCCAGTATCATGCTGTTTTGGTTACTATAGCTTTGTAGTATATTTTGAAATCAGGGAGTGTGATACCTCCAGCTTTGTTCTTTTTTCTCAGGATTCCTTTGGCTATTTTGGCTTTGTTGTTGTTCCATATAAATTTTAGGATTCAATTTCTCTATTTCCTCTCGATTCAGTTTTGGAAGGTTGTATAACTCTAAGAATGTATCGATTTCTTCCACATTATTCAATTTGTTCACATATAGTTTTCATAGTATTATCTTTTTTTTTTTTTTAAAGATTTTATTTTTCCTTTTTCTCCCCAAAGCCCCCTGGTACATAGTTGTGTATTTTTTTTCTTTTTTTAGTTGTGGGTCCTTCTAGTTGTGGTATGTGGGACACCGCCTCAGCATGGCTTGATGAGTGGTGCCATGTCTGTGCCCAGGATTTGAAGTGGCGAAACCCTGGGCCGCCGAAGCTGAGCACAGGAACTTAACGACTTGGCCACAGGGCTGGCCCCCATAGTATTATCTCATACTCTTGTATTTCTGAAGTGTCCCTTATAATTTCTCCTCTTTCGTTTCTGGCTTTATTTATTTGAGCCTTCTCTATTTTTTCTTGATGAGTCTAGCTAAAGGTTTGTCATTTTTATCTTTTCAAAGAATTAGCTCTTAGTTTCTTTGATTTTCTGTATTTTTTTTCAGTCTCTATTTCATTTATTTCTGCTCTGATTTTTATTATTTCCTTCCTTCTGCTGATTTGGGGTTTTGTTTGTTCTTCTTTTTCCAGTTCCTTTAGATGCACTGTTAGATTGTTTATGAGTTTTCTTGTTTGTTGAGGTAGGCCTGTATTTTTATAAACTTCCCTCTTAGAACCACTTTTGTTGTGTCCCATAGATTTTGGCATGTTGTATTTTCATTTTCATTTGTCTCTAGGTATTTTTTTATTTCTCCTTTGATTTCTTCACCCAATCATTGTTCAGTAGCATTTTATTTAATCTCCACATATTTGTGGCTTTTCTGATTTTCCTCCTGCAGTTGATTTCTCGTTTCATACTGTTGTGGCCAGAAAAGATGCTTGGTAATATTTCAATTTTCCTAAATTTACTGAGTCTTGTTTTGTGGCCTAATACATGGTCTATCCTGGAGAATGTTCCATGTGCATTTGAAAAGAATGTGTATTCTGTGGTTTTTGGATGGAAACTGAGAGGGGAATTCATGAATAGGAAGATAAGGTTGCAGAAATCATCCAGGATGGGGTGCAAAGAGACAAAGTGATGGAAAATATGACAGAAAGGTTAAGAGACATGGAAGATAGAATGAGAGGGTCTAACAAATAAATATAACTGGAATTTCAGTAATAAAGGAGAGAGAGAATATTTGTTTAGATTTAAAATATATAATAATTTAGAAAAAGAACATCCTTTACCTACAAAGGTTATTTTCAAAAACCCTGTAGTAAACATCCTATTTAATAGTGATATCAAAATTTTCCTTTAAAATCTCAAACAAGGTAAGGTGCCCACTGTTACTCCCCCTTCTATTTCACACTGTACGGGAAGGCCTAGCCAGTGCCAGACGGCAAAGGAAGTAATAAAATGTACAAGGATGGGAAAGAAAAGAAGTTACTGTTTTCAAAGATATGATTGTCTGCACAGAAAACGCAAAAGAATCCTCAAATAAATTAGATTTAGACAAATTTAGCAAATTCACAGGCTATAGAAGAAAATCAACATTCAAAAATCAATGCATTCCTACAAATCAAAAACAGATAATATAATTTTTAAGATACCACTTACAAAAACCTGAAAAAAAGAAATAACTTGGATAGATTTGACTAAACATATCCAAGACTTTCCTAGTAAAATAAGAAAACTTTGTTGGAAGACTTTCAAGATGATCTACTAAGTGGAAGAAATAAACAGCACAAAGATTCACAATAGTAAAGATGTCAACTCTCCCCAAAGAGAAATACAGATTCAATGCAACTCCAATCAAATTCCCAACAAGGTTTCGTGTGTGTGTGTGTGTGTGTGTGTGAAATGTGACAAACCAATTCTAACATTTATATAGAAGAGCTAAGCGCCAAAAATAGCCAAGACACACTTCCAGGACAAGGTAGGGGTACTTCTCTTACAAGATATCAACAATTAATGCAAAGCTACATAAGTAAACGACAACTCCTCAGAAGAGAGTCCACAAATGAATGCCACACAGCAACTTGTTTTATGACAGAGTTTGCTTTGCCTGTCAGTGCACAAAGGACAGGCTTTAAATAAGGACAGAAAGGACAGCACCACTTTACATAAGCGATGCAAGGTAATTGTTTTCATGCGGAAAATAATGAAAACAAACTTAAATTTCCAGTTGGCTTAAACACAAACTGAGAAAGGCAGAGCTCAAATCAAGACTCCCTTTATACCTGGACAAGGGTGGCCTCTGGCCGAGGTCTATGATTTCAAGGCCTTTGCTCCAGACAAAGGGTAGGTGAGGGGTCTGCAGGGCCAAGGGGACCTGCCTGCCTGCAGCCTACACATTCCCTTCTAGATTGAGCTCCAGACACCCCAGACCTGGAAGTCTCTGCTCAAATGGCTCCAAGCCAGCTTCCAGGACCTGCCCATGCCTCTGCTCCTGCTGGATCTCTGGAGAACGGACCAGGTTGCAGGTGAGCCCACCCCAGGCTTCAGGGCTCCAGGGTTGGCTAAGGGGTACCTGTTGTGGGGATGAAACACAGACACATGGGCTGAGGGGTCCACACTTGGGCATGTGTCCTGGTGTGGGATAAAATTGAGGTAAGAAAGGAGGCAGAGGACTCGGGGAGGCCTCTGTCTGAGTAGTAGAACTTCTTCAGTGCAGAACTCTGTAAGGAGTCCAAGACTTCTAAACGCAAACCCGGCCTCCCCTGTCATTAGGAAGGTCTACTTGTCAAGCTGGGAGGATGGAGCATGTTTTATTTTAGAGTATATTTATTCACAGTTTGTTAGCTAGATTTCTAACCTTTTACATATTAGACATATGGTACATGGGCGTCTCTACTCTTCCTCTGGTCCTGGCTATCATCTCTGTTAGCAGACTATCTGGGGCAGCGTTCAGGGCCAAACTAGGCCCTCTGCTTATTTTTGTAAAGTCATACCGCAACACAGCCACGCCCACACATTTTCCTATTGCCCATGGCTGCCTTCATGCTACCACTGCAGAGCAACAGAGTTACAGCTGCGACAGAAACCACATGCCTCGCAGAGCCTAGAATATTTACCCTCTGGTCCTTTCCAAAAAGAAGCTCTACTGATCCCCGATGTAGGTTAATAATTTAAAACCTTGAAGGGAAAAAAGCTTAAAGCAAGATACAAGGAGTAAAAATTATAAAGAAATGGTCTGACAAATTTATCTCCGTTAAAATTAAGAATGTGAGTTCATCAAAAAACACCATAAAATGAAAAGACAAGCTATAAACTAGGATATGATATTTGCAACACAATTAATTGACAGAGGACTAGTATCCAAAATAAAATGAATTCCTATAATCAATTAGAAAAAGTCAAACAACACACTTAAATTGACCACAAGTCAAGGACAGGCATTATACAGACGAGGAAACAGGTATTGCAATTACAAACATGAAATTATGCTCTAATGCGTTAGAACCAGGGAAATATAATTAAAATCATAATTTGGTACTGTTTAATACTGCAAATATTGAAAATATTTTCCAAATGTTAAAGTCAGACATGGAGCAACAGGAATTCTCCTCATCTCCTGGAGAGGATTCAAACTGGTCCAACCACTTTGGAAGACAGTTTGTCACCCCCAATAAAGAACAACACACACACATCCTACCACCTCTCAAGTCCAGAATTAGGTATGGAAACTAAAGACCAACTCCTGACACGTGAACACCAGGAGATACGTACAAAAATGCTTATAGCAGCATGTTTCCTCATAGAGGAAACATAGAGGACCCCCTCCCCAAAATAAAAATAAGAACTGCAAACAGCACATATACACATCAATACTGGAATGGATAATTATGGTAGATTCATGCTATAGACTATGATGCAGGAGTGAAAATGAATGAAATACAGCCTAAGTGCTAATCTGGATGAATCTATAGAACAAAATGCTGTGTAGGAAGCATTCACATAAATTTTGAAAACAGCAAAATTAAACACAGTGTCTAGAGATATTTATATATATATATATATGGTCATAAAATAATAAAGAAGTGTAAGGGAATGACGAATCTAAAATCCAGGATCATGGCTACTTCCAGGAGGTGAGGGGTGCAAACTATGAGAGAGACACAGACATTTCTACAGTACTGGAAGCGTTTTCTTTTTTAACATGGGCAGGCATTACACTGATATTTGTTTTATCACTTTTCTTCAAACAGTACATAGATACTAATATGCTCCTTTATATGAATGAATTAATTCACAAAAAACACAATTAAAAATAGCAATAGAAACTTTGTGTTTCATGAGTTTGCTTAACATTCAGGACATTGAAACCAAGGGAATTTTCATGGCAAAATAAAGGCATATGGGTTTCTGAAAGAACCCTTACCCTGTGCAGCCTTTTCAGCACTTCCAGGAGAGCTCTAACGTGACAGTTACTGTCCACACTTTCCGACCAATAATGCAGCTGGGCACCCATGGCTCTTTTAAACATCTGGACCAGTTTGCTGAAAGCAGATTCTTGCAGAGAAGCCCAATACTCCTCTGAGGGATACAAAGGTAAATAATTACTAGCACGCAATTTCTCTTGGATCCTTAACAGTAAAAAGTGGCCAATATTTTCCCAAACTGATAGAATATTTTCATATATATCATAGTTACAAAAACACATTTGCAATAAATGTTCACTAAATACAATGCAATTAAAAGTTTAGGATTTAATGTCCTAGAAAAAATTCCTTGACAGTAATAGAACCACAAACTTGATCTAATCAATTTGCGGGGGGAAAAAACCCCAGATAAAATTAGTCACTTTTTGCCAGATGAAATAGCATACTGTACTAAAAGTAGATTAAGATCTATTCGTGATTGTGCAACTTTCTTTTTGCGCTCCCAGCATGAGTTTTTAACTCTTGAAAACGTCTTTCAGGGGCCAGCCCTGTGGCTGAGTGGTTAAGTTCACGTGTTCCACTTTGGCAGCCCAGTGTTTTGCCGGTTCGGATCCTGGGAACGGACATGGCACCACTCATCAGGCCATGCTGAGGTGGCGTCCCACAAGCCATAATTAGAAGGACCCACAACTGAAATATACAACTATGTACTGGGGGTATTTGGGGAGAAGAAGCAGGAAAAAAAAAAGATTAGCAACAGTTGTTAGCTCAGGTGCCAATCTTTAAAAAAAAAATCTTTCAGCATTGTAAAAAACAAAACACTTTAAATTAGCTTTTCGTCACTTACAGTGTTATCTCAATTTAATAAAACATAAGAAAGAATGGACTTCCTTGGGCCGAATACTCTGTTTGTGTCCCAAAAAAACCCACCTCATTAAAATCTAACCAAGCCCCTAGATGTAACTTCCAAAGTATTGGAAATACAGGGAAAGGAGGAAACAACCAGACAAATCCAGATGTGGAACTTTCTACAGGATACCTGACCTAGCCTCAAAAAAAAAAAGGATATAAAATGCTTTTTGGGACAAATGTAGAAATCTGAATATTAAATAATATTATGGAATTACAGCTTATTTTACTAGGTGTGGTAATGATGTCGTGGTAATGATGTCATAGTAATGTAGGATTCCTTATTCTTAGGAGATGCATGCTGAAATAGTACGGGTAAAATGTCAGGATGTCTCCAACTTACTTTCAAATAGTTCAACAAGAATAAAATGTAATGTGTACACTGAGAGAGGAAGCACATATGGCAACATGTTCACTGTTGTTTCTAAGGTAAAGAGAATACGGGTAGTCACTGTCCGATTCTTTCAACTTCTGCGTATGAAGTTTTTCATAAGGAAAAGTTTGGGACAAAGGACCTTATGACCAAGCCACACATGTATTATTGTAAGAACTCTAAAAAGGTATTAGAAACATCCATTTTGGACGACCACAGTAATTATTACAGCATCTTTAGAACATGCTAAGAATATGAACTAAAAAACATGAATGTGTTTACAATTATCCACCTCAGTCTTGCAGTAACTTTACCAGGCATGTCTTTCCATTAAGAGGATGGTAAAATATTCTCAAATGTAAATCATCAATCTTACCTAGAACCCCTAGAGATTGGTTGCTCATTTTACAAATTGCCTCTGCAAACGGAACAACTAGGCTCTCCCAGTTGTTGTAATCGTGCATCACAGGACATTCTGGGAGAAGGAAAAAAACTTCTAAAGCTTCTCGGTGTGGAGAATGAAATGGAAGATTTTTGATCAGATTATCCCTGAGACATGTGGTTATCTGCGGTCAAAAAGGATCAGGGAAAAGACAATTACAACACAGCAGGAACTGGGTGCAATCTGTTGTAATAAGATAAAGTGTAGAACTTGGAGTTTCATCCCACCATGAAACTGGAATAATCATTTAGTCTTTCTAAAACCCACATTACATCCCATCTCACCTGGTCTCCCAAATACCAGATACGTGTAGATATGTGATGTGTTGTCCCCACTGAATTGTTGGGGTGCATGAAGGAGATCAACAAGAAATCACATGTGTAAGAGTTAGGCTGGGTGAAAGGTGGACTCAGCCCTCCAGTAATGAATACTACAGTCTACCCTCTGGTTCCACTATCACATCTCATTGCTTTTAAAGAGAGAGAATGTGTCAAAACCCAAAAAAGCAAAACAAAAATAAAAACCCAAACCAAACGAAAAGCAACAAGCCCAACAAAAACCAGCATGGTTCCCTGTTAACTTCTAAGACCACCTGTTCCATCACAAAAGCCACCACAAACTCTAGTTTCTAGCCCTTCCCATCTCCTTATAGTTTCCCCAATTCAGAATGCAAGTGTTCAGGAGAAATGAAAATGCAATTCCGAGATTTGTTGTGTGTGCTCAGTTAATAGCGATAATTTGCTTAAAAATCCACCAAGAAGATAAGCCAGTATTTACGGAGTACTTATTTGTCAGGTACTGTGCTAAGTGATTCACATATATTTATCCTTGTAGTTAATCCTTGTAGTTTTAATCCTTGTAGTTTTTCTGTACCATAGATGACATTAACCCCATTTTAGATGAGAAATCTGTACTTCAGAGAAATCAACTTGCTCAAGGTCCCACAGCTAAGTGGGAATCTCTCCTGGATCTTTCTGACTCCAAAGCCCAAACTCTTAATCACTAAATTATGGGATATTAGCTAAATGATATCTCTAAATGTACAAATTCTTATAATTATCTATTTTTATATCAAAACACTATCCTGTGCTCCTAGACGGGGTTCCGTCTTTGGAGCTACACAGAGCCGACAGCTCTACTTTGACACATCTCAATAGCACACAGACCTCCCACCTCTTTGCTCTTCATCAGCCACATCCCCAACCTCCCGTCTCACTCCCAATCGTTTAAAACTACTGCAAGACTCTCAAGCCACTTACATTGTTTCATACACTGTGCCTTGGGGCACACTGTCCTGACTGCCAGGACACACAGCAACCTGCTAAACTCCTACTTCCCCAGGGCACCTCGTTTTGAATATTTAAGTAGAGCTGACCATCCACTGCCCCAGTAATGACTGAATCCATTCATCCAAAAATATCTATTTTACACCCACTATGTTCTAAGCCAGGTGTTAGGGAAGACAGCGGATGTAACAGTGGTCCAAACTCTTCCCTTCACAGATGCAGAAATGGCCTTCTATTTTTGGTGCTCTTTCCACTGAGTGCTGCAGAGCACTGATAAAGGTGCATAATTGGAATCTATTTTACCTCAGACCTCTAATTGGGCTGTGGTTCTGGCCAAAGTTAACAGAATTGAACCTTCCATCTTCTCTTGAGAGAACGTAGTGTGTGAGAGAGAACTTGCAGCTAAGTATAAAGAATAGTGATTATGGCAGACAGAGGAGCAGAGCACGCGAGGGAGCTCAGAGGAGGGACAGAGAGAGACGAGAACAAGATTGAAAGGGAAAGAGAATGAGAGATAGAGGAACAGAGGGAAAGATCAAATGATAAGAGAGGGAAAGAGGCGAGAGAAGGAGAGAGGAGGAGAGGAGAGGGGAGGGGCAGGCAAAGAGAAGAAAAGTGAAGGAGAAAGAAAAAGGAACCAGAGTGAGACCCAGAAAGAAACAGACTGAGAGAAGAACGTAGAAAGAACCACCCCTGGATCAACCAGTACAACAGAACAGGGAAATAAATTAAAAAAGGCTGCAACAAGAAAAACTAAATAAAGGAAGCTTGTTTGGAGCATCTGTAAGTGGGAAACCTACAGATAGTAATAATAGTGTTGAAACAAAGAAGCAACAATCCCCCCAAAACAAGAACATTCTAGAACCTAGAGAAGAGAAAGTGTAATGAAACAGAGAGCAAGAATCCAGGCAGTCCTTGGTGAGAGGGATGTTATAGGAGAAAAAGTGCTCTCATTTCCATACTTATGTTTAAAATAATTGCAAATAAAATGTTGTTCTTATTCTACTGTATCAATTTCAACAAATCCGTTTGTCATCTCCCTAAAGCCCTGAGTCGAAAATCTTCCCTCTAGGAGAGTGTGCACGTGTGTGTGTGTGTGTGTGTACAGATGAACCATTTAAACTATCTGTGACATATACAACTACTATGCCACCATTTTGCTCTATGCTGGCAAACTCTTGCAAGCTATCTGAGTTTGACTTCATCTAGATATGCTACAGGGTCTCAAAGAATCTCTCAAAACAAATGCTTCTCCTGAAATTTTGAGTTCTTAGAAAAAATGTTTCAGTGTATTTTCTTTTTCCAAATAACAATCTAAAGAATACCACCATGTTGGTAATCCAGTCCTTTTGGGTTAACTCCTTAAAGGTGTCTCTTGCTTTATTTATGTTCAAATGAACAGACATCGTTTCTGCAGTTATTCTGTGGAAGCAAGATAAAAAAAAAATAGATGGATAAGTAATGGAATAAGGACATTTCAAAATTAAATATTTTATTAGATTATCTATCCAGATGAAAAGTTGCTTCTAGAGCTTGCTTTATTTCAATAAAATTATCTTTTTTCCTCAACTTTATAATAACCACAATAATTTGGCTAAATATTAAGACAATTGAAAAAGTAGTTGACAACATATGACTATTTCTAAAATGCCAAAGATTATCAAGGCTGCATTAACAATATATACACTATGAGACTTTAACTCAGATATTGTCTTATCTTAAATGAGTAATCAATAAATATTTATTTTCCAGCAAAAATAATAGCTACAGTGGCTGGCCCTGTGGCCGAGTGGTTAAGTTCACACGCTCTGCTTTGGTGGCCTGGGGTTCGTTCGCCAGTTCAGAGCCTGGGTGCAGATCTATGCACTACTCATCAAGCCATGCTGTGGTGGCCTCCCACATAGAAGAGCTAGAGTGATTTACAACTAGGATGTACAACTATATATTGATGCTTTGGGAGGAAAAAAGAGGAAGATTGGCAACAGATATTAGCTCAGGGCCAATCTTCCTCACCAAAAAAATAAATAAATAAATAAAAAGGCAAGTTCTTTAAAAAATAAAAATAAATTTAAAAAATAGCTACAGAAAAAGGTAAAGGTTTTCCTGTTCCTGAAAAAAATGACCATTTCTCCCAGTTACATGAACTGAAAGTGGAGACCAAAAAAGGGGGCTTCAGAGCAGTAAATTTTTAGTATTCCAATAGATAATTACTAATGAAATGTGTAAGTATCTTAACCCATGATTTATGTTTATACTGAACTGAAAATATTATCTAAAAATAGACACATTCTATATGCCAACCAACTGGACAATCTAAAAGAAATGGACAAATTCTTAGACTCTTACAACCTCCCAAGACGGAATCAAGAAGAAATAGAGACTCTGAACAGACCAATCACAAGCAAAGAGATTGAAATAATTATCAAAAACCTCCCCCAAAATAAAAGTCCAGGACCAGATGGCTTCTCAGGAGAATTCTACCAAACATTCAAAGAAGACTTATTACCCATTCTTCTCAAACTATTCCAAAAAACTGAGGAAGATGGCAATGTTCCTAACACATTCTACAAGGCCAACATTACCCTGATACCAAAGCCAGATAAAGACAACACAAAGAAAGAAAATTACAGGCCAATATAGCTGATGAACATATATGCAAAAATCCTCAACAAAATATTGGCAAACTGAATACAACAATACATTAAAAAGATCATACACCATGATCAAGTGGGATTCATACCAGGAACACAAGGATGGTTCAACATCTGCAAATCCATCAATGTGATTCACCACATTAACAAAATGAGGAACAAAAACCACATGATAATCTCCATAGGTGCAGAAAAAGCATTTGACAATATCTAATATCCATTCATGATAAAAACTCTCAACAAAATGGGTATAGAAGGAAAGTACCTCAAGATGATAAAGTCCATATATGACAAACCCACTGCCAACATCATATTCAATGGGGAAAAACTGAAAGCCATCCCTCTGAGGACAGGAACAAGACAAGGGTGTCCACTCTCACCACTCTTATTCAACACAGTACTAGAGGTTTTGGCCAAAGCAATTAGGTAAGAAAAAGAAAGAAAAGGAATCCAAATAGGCACCGAAGAAGTGAAACTCTTGCTGTTTGCAGATGGCATGATTTTATATATAGAAAATCCTAAAGAATCCATTGGAAAACTATTAGAAATAATCAACAACTACAGCAAAGTTTCAGGGTGCAAAGTCAACTTACAAAAATCAGTAGCATTTCTATACTTAAATAATGAACTAACAGAACAAGAACTCATGAACACAATCCATTCACAATTGCAACAAAAAGAATAAAATATCTAGGAATAAATTTAACCAAGGAGGTGAAAGACCTATACAAAGAAAACTATAAGACATTACTGAAAGAAATTGATAATGACATAAAGAAATGGAAAGATATTCCATGGACATAGATTGGAAGAATAAACATGGTTAAAATGTCCATACTACCTAAAGCAATCTACAGATTCAATGCAATCCCAATCAGAATCCCAATGACATTCTTCACACAAACAGAACAAAGAATCTTAAAATTCATATGGGGCAACAAAAGACCCTGAACAGCCAAAGCGAGACTGAAAAACAAAAACAAAGCTGGTGGCATTGCAATCCCTGACTTCAAAATATATTACAAAGCTATAGTAATCTAAACTGCTTGGTACTGGTACAAGAACAGACACACAGATCAATGCAACAGAACTGAAAGCCCAGCAATACCACCACACATATATGGACAGCTAATCTTCGACAAACGAGCCAAGAACATACACTGGAGTAAGGAAAGCCTCTTCAATAAATGGTGCTGGGAAAACTGGACAGCCACATGCAAAAGAATACAAGTAGACCATTATCTTTCCCCATGCACAAAAATAGACTCAAAATGGGCCAAAGACTTGATGGTAAGACCTGAAACCATAAAACTTCTGGAAGAGAATATGGGTAGTACACGCTTTGACATCAGACTTAAAAGGATCTTTTTGAATACCATGTCTACTCAGACAAGGGAAACAAAAGAAAATATAAACAAGTGGGACTTCATCAGACTAAAGAGCTTCAGGAAGGCAAAGGAAACCAAGATCAAAATGAAAAAATAACCCACCAACTGGGAGAAAATATTTGCGAATCATATATCCGATAAAGGGTTAATCTCCATAAAAATAAAGAACTCACACAAATGAACTACAAAAAAACAAACAACTCAATCAAAAAGTGGGCAAAAGATACGAACAGACATTTTTCCAAAGAAGATATACAGAGGGCCAATAGGCACATGAAAAGATGCTCAACATCACTAATCATCAGGGAAATGCAAATCAAAACCACACTTAGATACCATCTTACACCCATTAGAATGGCTATAATCACCAAGACAAAAAACAACAACTGTTGGAGAAGTTCTGGAGAAAAGGGAACCCTCATCCACTGCTGGTGGGAATGCAAACTGGTGCAGCCACTGTGGAAAACAGTATGGAGATTTCTCAAAAAATTAAAAATAGAAATACCATATGACCCAGCTATCTCACTATTGGATATTTACCCAAAGAACTGGAAATGAATAATTCAAAGATACTTATGCAGCCCTATGTTCATTGCAGCATTATTCACAATAGTAAAGATGTGGAAGCAACCCAAGTGCCCATCAACAGATGATTGGATAAAGAAGTTGTGGTGTGCAGATATATATAACGGAATACTATTCAGCCATAAAAAAGACAAAATCGTCCCATTCGCAACCACATGGATGAACCTTGAGGGTATCATGTTAAGCGAAATAAGCCAGACAGAGAAAGACAAACACCATATGATTTCACTCATATGTGGAATATAAACAAACTTACAGACAAAGAGAATAAATTAGTGGTTACTGGGAGAAGGGGGTGGAGGGTGGGCACAAGGGGTGAAGGGGCATACTTATGTGGTGTATGACAAACAATAATCCACAACTGAAATCTCACTATGTTATAAGCTATTATGACCACAACAAAAAATTAAAAAATAAAATAAATAAAAGCATTTACGAAGAGGAAAATAAAAAAAATAGACACATTCTTTGTAAAATAATACATACTTTATGTATTAAAGTGTCTATTGTCTGAAAATAGCAAAAATTCTTTTAAATAAATAAATATTATACAAATATTTAGGAAAAGAAATGCAAACTTGTTCTTTCATAATATTTAAAAATCCAAAGAAACTTTACTATCTTACAAGAAGGAAATGATTAAATAAATTAAGGTAGGTCCTTCCCATGGAATTCCACGCAGCCATTAAAATGACGTTATAGAAAAATACTGAGGAAAATGGAAAACGGACAAATATATTAAGTGTAAAGCAATGTGTAAAACAACGTAATCCGACTTTTTGAAAAAGAATACTTTTACCTAGAAAAAAGATTTATACATAAATGCTAGATTACTCTTAAGTGGTGGATTATGGGTGATTTTCATTTTCTTTCTGTTGCATGTCTGTATTTTTGACATTTTCTACAGCGAGCACATACTTGCTTTTGTAAAAAAAGTAATTTTTGAAAAGAGATAAGGATATAGCTAATTATTTTACCCTCAAATCATTTTCTTCACAATCTTTCACAGTATTTTTTTATTGAGATAAACTGACATACAACATTATATCAGTCTCAGGAGTACAACATCATAAATCAATATTTGCATATACTGCAAAGTGATCACCAGAGTAAGTCTAGTTAACAGCCACACTACACATAATTACAAATTTTTTTCTTGTGATGAGAACTTTTAAGATCTACTCTCTTAGCAAGTTTCAAATATACAATACAGTATTATTATCTATAGTCACCATGCTGTTAATAGTTATTTAACTGTTATTTAAGAGTTAATAGAATTTTAAATTTATTATATATCTTATAAATATTACCTTTCTCTTAAAAAACTTCCAGTCAGACAAGCGGGAGATGAAAATATCTCTTTGATTTCCCTACATGAGGAATAAGATGGTGGTTAAAACAAATCACAGAGCGTGCCTCCACATAGCGTGAGACACGATAAAGAAAACGTCTTAGAATTGTCCTGCAGACTTCTCCCTCTGTCTCCGATTTGTTTGCTTACTGCCTTGGGCATCTAAAGATTTATTCCATTTGCTAAATCTCAAAATCTGAGTGGCAAATACAGGAAACAAAAAGATGTACTCCGAGAAGCCACAGGGAAAGAGGAAAAGGCTTGACCTCGGCTCAATATTTTCTTGGACAAATAAAACACTCTCAACCCACCCAGCTTTCCAAACCCTATTTATTTCAGTGTCATTGAAGTGGAAACAAAAAAATTACCAGAAATTAAATGGTGGGAATGGGAAGGAAGGTATGCTCAGTTCCATCTTAGAAGTAATCGCACAAGCAGCTCTTGATCGTTTATGCTCTGCAAATTATGATGCAACTATTTTGTACAATTACTTTCGAGAATTAGAAAGCCATATCTAAAAATATCTCTATGAGGAGATGTCTGTAAAAATGAGCATACTCTTTACAGATGGTAGGAGTTCTATTGTTTAGATCAAGGTTGCCCAGGCTGTTCAGCTGTGAATAGCAGGTCCACAAACAAGTGGTTCAAAGGTCAAAGAGGGTTAGGAAACTGAAGATTATCTTTCCTGCTCAGAGAGTCACAAACACATTAAAGGCCCAGAGAAGTCCTGCAGTAAAGAAAGCTGCCCACATGGAGTTTATATGCTAGTCGTGATGGTTAATTTTATGTGTTAACTTGGCTAGGCCACAGTACCCAAATATATGGGCAAACACCAATCCAGATGTTGCTGTGAAGGTATTTTTTTAGATGAGGTGAATATTTAAGTCAGTAGATTTTGAGTAAAGCAGATTACCTTCCATAACGTGGGTGGGCTCAAACAATCAGTTGAAAGCCTTAAGAGAAAAACGCTAACATTCCCTGAGGAAGAGAGAATTCTCCCTCCAGACTGCCTTGGAACTCAAGCTGCATTATCAGCTCTCCCCTGGGTCTCCAGCCTGTTGGCCTGCCTTACAGATTTTGTGCTTGCCAGCCAATTCCTTAAAAACATGGGCCAATTCCTTAAAATAACCCTCTCTCTCTCTCTACACACACACACACAGACACAGACACACACAGACACAGACACAGACCCTATCAGTTCTGTTTCTCTAGAGTTCTCTGATGGACCAGTAATGGACCACAAATGTTCTAATGGACCACTAGTGGGCCACAAAATCTTACACCTCTGTATTGTGCAGAACCAGTTGGGGAAACCTTACTTTTGAGAGCTATATAAGCAGACAGTCAGACATGTGGGATGTACCTTTTTGTATTTTGCCACTTTTTAGTACCCACATCAGCAATCCATCTCTTTACAGTCCCTTCATTCAGTGTAGGAATTTTCCTCCTCAGATTAACATAAGGATTCTGTAAGCAAACAAAAAAGTAAAACACAGTAATTTAAACACAACAGAAATAGGTGTCCAACTTTTAGGAACATTCTATGGACAGAGGGTAATATTGATTTTGAAATATGGCCAATATAGCTCTGGGAAATCATAAGGTGAGATTCTACCAAGGAGTAATCAATCATTTGCCTGGTGGCCAATTTCTTGTCCACAGGGGCTTGGATCCAAAGCAAATTTCTCTGAGTGCCCAACACTTCACACAGGCATGACTGGATTCCACTGAACGCCAGACGGTCTTGTGCACTGGGTGTGGAAGTGGGAGGAACTTGGTTTGTCTTGGTGAAGTAGCGTGAGGAGGTTATGGCCTGATTACCTATGAGCCTACGAACCTCAGGTCTTTTCAGCACTGGCTGGCAGACTCATTTTAGAACGTCAACCTGTTGGCTCGCTGGGACAGTGACCAAATGCCACTGGCAGGAGGCCTCCCAAAAGCTAAGCAGAGTCTAAGGACATCATGCTGATCAACATTCGCCAGGGACAAATCTGCTGATTTTTGTGGGTAAATATTTATGTAGTTTAGACAATAAAGAATCAATAATGTCTAGCTATTTCCCAAAAGTCAGCCTAGTAACCTGATGATTTTGGAATTCACTAAACCTGGATTCTGGAACTCTTTGTTTTGCTTAAAATACCAACTTACAGAACCTCTAGAGATCTATTTTTACCTCTTTCTCCATCCAAAGCAAAATGCTTTGATTCCCTCCGGCAATCATTATTAACTCCTTTTCTGAGGTGTGGCTTTCTGGAAGGGATACACAAAAAGCAACAGTTTAGAAAGTCATTTGGTGCAAACATACACACTGGATTTAAATAATTTCAGATTTTTCTTAAACTTAGTCCTTTTATCTTTCTGATACACAAAGGCTCAGCACATCTCCTACCCATAAAGCAGAGAGATGTATCTACTTCAAGGTAAAGTCTAGTTGGCAAACACAGGTGATCTGCAAAGCTGACATGTGGCATCAGTTTAACAGACATAATTAATATAAATGCTTATAGTCATGTGCCGCATAATGACGTTTCAGTCAATGACAGACCACATATACAACAGTGGTCCCAGAAGATTAGTACCATATAGCCTAGGTGTGTAGCAGGCTGTACCATGTAGGTTTGTGTGAGTACATTCTATGATGTGCACACAATGAAACTGCCCAATGATGCATTTCTCAGAACGTATCCGTGTCGTTAAGTGATGCACGACTATATATAAAACAGTCAAACAAATATTTCATTAGTCAACTGTTCCCTGATTTAATTTGGCTTCTATTAGTAAAAACCATGTTCTACAACTGAAGATTTAACCAATGACTGTTGGCTGTGAACAATGTAAATAAGTACTTCAAGTCCATGTAAGTGGCTACAAGAAGTCAAATATAATACATGAAACTGCTTAAGGAAATAACTCTGTTGTTCATTTCCCTGAAAAACTGAGAGAATTTTGGTGATTTAGGTCACCACTAAGCTTTCAAAAGCGAGTAACCAAAGTGCCCCGAGGCCCTTCCATAGTAGGAGCTCTGAGGTCACGCAGGGCACAGTTCAAATCTAGCCAAACCACTCAGAAACGGCTAACCCGTCGCTCCCCAGGCTCTGTACCCTCCAGTAAAATGGGCCTGGGAGTACATATCTCTCAGAACTGTTTAAGGATTGGTGAGATAAACACCTAAGTGTCAAGCGCAGTTACAGCGCCCAGCATGTCAGCTGCTCATCATTCTGAGGGTTTTACATGGTTGAGTCAATTTAACCAGGCAGGAAAACCCTTCACTGTGGAATGAACGAACCTCCTGCAAACTGGAATCAGAGCTGCACATGCCTCTGAATCCACAGTCTATTTTATGTTGTGTCACTTTAAGTCCACATTAATCTTAATCTGATGGGGCAAGAGAAAACTAATGGCTATTCTGACTTGATAAAGTTAGATTGGATATTTTAAACTGTTTACAAGTGAAAAAATGAAACCCATGTTTAAAGAAACTCCCTTCATAGTCATACATTTCTTTTCTTGCCACCTTACACACAGAAAAATCAGTTTCTTGACAAAGGTGTTTATCCCAAATCCTGTGCTCCTACAGAATTTACCAAATTTGAGTTCTTCATTTGATGGCAATTTCATGGGAAGTGGTATCAGCTGATGATGTGTTGCACCATTCCCCAGTTGTCCTCCTTCTCCAGAACCAAAAGAAAAGACCTTCCCCAAATCAGAAACATAGGCAAGTGTGTGCCGCCTATGAAATAAAAGCACAGAGTCAATTCTCAATTATCCGCAATGATGAGCACATGCACCAACAGGGTAAACTGCTGAACTTACGTTACCCAGTGAGTGAAACTAGTTAACCAACTCCCAGTGGATGAAATTAGCCATCTGGAAACTAAACAATTATTAATATGTGGCTGAGAAGATTCTGCAAGCCCTAAGTCTGCCCAAGGCCATGAGGAACCCCCTGGCAAATGGAGGTCCCTTTGGCAGCAACGAGCATCTCCCCTTGTCTTCTACCTTTTCAAGCCTTGGCTTGAGAGCCACCACCTCTTGGAAACCATCTCTTAGTCCTTTCTCTCCCCATCCTGGAGGACAGAATTAGGTGATCCTCTCTGAGCTCCCACTTTATGTCCCAAAGACCTCTGTCACACTGATTTTCTGACCCACTTGCTGGATGGTCTCTCCCACTACACAGAGGTGTAAGTAAAGAACCTGGCCTTGCTCAAACAGAGGTCCAGACTTTGTCCTCAGGTCCTGGGAGGTAACCTCTTAACTCTTAGAATCTCCCAAGTGATAGCAGTGCTGTGTTATTCATGGTGGGCCCGAGACCACACCTAATAGCATACCCAGGTGGCTCACAGAGAGCCCCTCTGGCTGTGAGTAAGCCCAACGTACAGGGAGGAAGAGGCTGGAGGCTGAGTTCAACCGTGTGGGCCATGATTCACGTAGGCCATGCCTAACTGTGAAACCCCTTTGGACTGAGGTGAGCTTCCCTGGTTGGCAATACTCTAGGCATTGTCATGTTTTGGGCCAGGAGGAGGTAACACCTTCCACGGTTCCAAGGGGAGTGGACACCAGAAGCTCCTTGTAGGGACCCCTCCCAGACTCTGGCCTATGTGTCTCTTTCTTTAACAGTTCTAATTTGTATCCTCTTCTTGTAATAAACGTGACCGCAAGTATGACAGCTTTTAGTGAGTTCTGTGGGCCTTTCCAGGGAATTCTCCTGTGTTATTAGGGGTACTGTCCTGGTTTGCATTAAGACCTATCTAACTAATGTGACAACTCCTCTTGTAACGCATGCCGCTCAGAGGAATGTGTGCTATGAAAAATCCACAGCAGTGATGTTTCTTCAGTTAACAGAGAGACATGGAACGCAGAGAATCATACCATCCTAATAATCTGGTCTACCCAATAATATCCATTTATGTAATTTTACTCCAAGATCATAAGAGAACATATCTACAGACTGAAAGCACATAACCAGTTTTTTATAGTAAAGGTTTTAGTAAACAAACAAATGAGCCAAATATTCAGATAGGGTCTGAATTTGCTTATTTTTAGTGAGGAAACAATTACCCAAAAGAATAAGTGTCCCTGGCTGAAAATATTCCTTAACCCCACCAAGACAGAGAAACGTACTGATGAATCTGATGTTCAACGAAGAAAATAATTAAGCAAACCAAGGAGTTTGAGCAAGTTTTTCTGCTTTAGTTTAAAAAAAAAAAAAAAAGAGCTTTGAAAATCAAACTTCTCCGAATATTCCACTCAAACTACCACTGACTTTGTCTTATACCTTACTGTGGTCACTCTCAGAGAACTATGGTAACAAGGTATGCTGACCCCCTGAGGGGTTATGAGAAAGAGTGATTACATCAATGAATCCTTTGTGATTTGTGTTTATTTTTTCCCAAATAAATGTTGACTTATTTTTCTTAAAGATAAAAGTGCCTTTGAACAGTTACAAAGGTATTTCAATAAAGGGGCACCAGAAAATGAATTATATTTGTTCATTTAAAAAAAGTCAAGGACAACAAATATCTATACTAAAATAAAGATTTATTATGATTATCTAATAACGTAAATTAAGCATTTTCATCTATTTGAAAATGTTTGATACTTTCATCCCAATCAAAAACTGATGGCAATTTTATTAAACTACCTATGTAGATATATTGTACTGATTTTATCAATTTTCATCGACACTTACCTTCCACATGCTATCTGGGTCACTCTCTTTCCAACAAGCTCAGTCACCAAACAGGGTGTTAACTCATTCTGTGTTGAATTGTGACCGAGTTGCCCACATTTTCCAGCACCAAAAGTAAACACCAGCCCATCCTAAGGAAAGGGAACTTCATGTCAGATTCTAAAGAAACACGATACAGACGTAACATTCACCGAGGCAAAGGCATCAGTGAATAATTAATAAAAACCCCATCAAAGCAAAGCCCCCAGATTCTCAGGAGGACAGTCCTGCATGCGGGAAGTGACGACTTTTCTTCTCTCAGAAACAATGACTGCCCACACCATGTTCTAGCGCTTTCCCCGCTGCAAAGAGTTCTTCCAGAATTACAGTCAAGAAGAGACAAGGTACACCCACCTTTGTGAGCAGTGCAGTGTGAGAGCCACCACAAGCGAGAAATTCAACTTCCTGATTGTCCAGTGCTTCAATAAGGGAAGGAGAATCTTTATCTGTGCAAGGGAAAGAGCAGCTGAAGCGACCAAAAGGAGCCGCTGGGCTTTACACCGAAGTCCGTGCCGCTGGTCAAAACCTGGACTCCTTCTCTCAGCCCAGCAATAACAGTCCCAACTCGTGCTGACAAGAAAGGCTGGACATTTTCTATGTAGGCCTAAAAGGGGCGGTGAGGCAGGGGTCAAAGGGCCACACTTGGGGGCACCCTCCTGAGAGAGCGTCAGGCCGCTTCCCAGAGCCCGTTCTCTTTTTAACCTGACTTATCTGATATTTCCAACTCCCATCTAGAATTATCCTTTTAATGAACATAAAGATTGTTTGTTTTAAATTCTCTACTACAGTATCCCTGCCTCACTCCTTCTCCTACCTCCTTCCTCCTTCACGATTATTTTCTTGTCAAAGCACTTGGAGATTCAGCAAAAATAGGTTAAGTGTCCTTTACTCCTTTCCTGCCTTTAAATATTTTTCTAACACTGACTTATGGGTCCTCCTGAGTAGTCAGCACTGGACCATGTTGGGGAGAAACGCAGCGTTTGACCAGGAGTCCAGGGGTAATGTGTGTATCACCACAGCAGGCAAAGCAGCGGAGTCTGCCACCCCTGAAGACTCTAATAAGGTGTCTGGGATCGTGAGAAATCTTGCCATCTGCTTTGTGGACGTAGCGCAATAATGGGAATTACATGTTTGTTCATGTGTGTGTATGTACAGATGTAATTAATACCTTATAGAGTAAGATTAGGATATGTGTGTTTTGAAACAGAATTTCAGTTTCCTTTCATCATAATATGTATAATTATATTAATAAACATTTAAGTGCACTGGCACCTTGGAGATCATTTCATCCAAATTCATCACTTCACAGAAAAAGAAAATAAAGCCTAGAGAAAAGTTAAGTGACTCAGTAAGGCCCTGCAGTTAGTTAACTCGAACAGCGGCAGTCTAACGCGGTTTTCCCTTTTCCCACTCAGCCCTGCCACGTGTCTCATTTACAGCACCCTCTTCCACACTCTGCACGTCTCTCATACTGATTCCGCCCTGAAGACAGACAGAACCAGGAAGAACAGTGCAAAGCAAAGCAAGGATCTGAACCTCTTTTCACAGGGAGGTCTGTGTTAAATTCACCTCATATCTAACAAATATATTTGTTGATAATATCAATTTGAAAATATGTTTCCATACTGTTGGTGTGGCCCAGGCCTAGCTGTCCGCAATCATTTCTTCCCCACGAGTAAACGTTTCTGGACATGGATAAGGCCATGCTGTGGGCTTCTCCGGCAGAAATCTGAACCAAGGGGACTCCTGAGAGGTGCTCCACAATCTGCGGGGTGGGGGTTGATGCAAATGTTCTTCCAACTCCGAGCTGGCCGTATGTGTTCTGTCCCCAGGCAAAAAGCTCACCACCTTGACATAACCAAAGAGAATGCTCTCTTATTAAGTTTAACAAGCAGCAGACATTACCCTAAGGGCATTGCATATGCTAGCCATAGTATAATATCACAATCTCTCCCATTCAAACTGACAGGACTCTATTCCATAGACCGAGTCAGAAAAACACAGAAGAATCTCTTTTATTATACTTCCTTATCTCCTACCTCAAAGGGTAATGTTATGGATTGAATGTTTGTGTCGCCCTACCCCCCCAGATTCATATGTTGAAATCCTAACCCTTAGTGTGATGCATTAGGAGGTGGGGCCTTTGGGAGGTGATTAGAATTAAGTAAGATCATGAGGGTGAAGCCCTCATGAATTCAACTAGCGCTCTTATAAGAGACCCCAGAGAGCTCTCTTGCCCTCTCCACCATGTAAGAGGACGGGCCCTCACCAGACACTAAATCTGCCAGCACCCTGAGCTGGACTTTCAGCCGGCAGAACTGTGTGAAAGAAATTTCTGCTGTTTAAGCCACCCAGTCTGTGGGTTTTTTTCCTAGCAGCCCAAACAAAGACAGGTAGAAAGAAGCTATTTGAACATATTATAATCAAATTCAACAAATTCTTATTTTTAAAAACCCACAGGAGGAGCCCATGAAAAACAGAAACATTCTACATCTAGGAAAATAAAAGCTAAAACTACTGCTGCCTCCTCCCACCCCCCACATGTGCCTGAAGATCCTAAATAAACAACTGAAAAGCACATTTGAAATTGCAGCACAGTATCTTGAAAGTCAGCATCTTCTTCCATTAATTGAATATATGGAGCAGAGTTTGCAAGAAAAGTTCTTAGATATTATCTAATGGAGTTGACAATATCTAATGGAGTCTGGAAAAATATATCAGAGAATTAACGCTTACCGAGCATCTCTTTGCAAGATACTGTGCAGGATCTGGTGGGAGGCAGAGCCTTTCCTTCAAACATAATTATCATGTGCCTACCAGCCACCAGGAATATAATGATGAGCATCATCAGTTCCTTTCTTGCTTCCCCAACTTTCATCCTTCCCAGATCATGATTTACCAGTAATAAACCCTGCCCATCCCCTTCTCCACATCACTAGACCCTAGGGCTTCATGAAGACACAGTGTGTCTGTTTCATCTTTATAACCTAAACATCGTAGATACTCAATAGGAAATATCTGTTCATGAATGGATGAAGTCAAATGACCAGGCCAATTTTTTTTCAATACTAGTTCATACTCTCAAACCTCAACAGAGCCTTCAGTACAGGTCAAAGAGTTGATTATTTATTTCCCCTGAATCCCAGTTTCCATTCAATTTATGTTTATGTCTCTCCTATATATTAAAAAAAAAAATTTCCTTGACCCTGAATTTCCCTCTATCACCCTCCTATCTTAATTATTCCTCCCATGGTCAAATTTCTTCAGGAAATAATCCATATTCACTGCTTCATTTACCACCAATATGGTGTCTGATAAGAAATAGTAAATAATAAAGGGCTGGAGAGAATCCCCTAATTCAAAATGTTAAAACACATCAGAGACCTGCAAACTGGCCACAAAAGCAGACCCTGAGCTCCTGCCATGGGAGGTGGAAGAGCCCTAGGAAAAGGGAAGGTGGTTCTGGAAAAAGGTTGCCCACGCCTGGTCCTGATTCGAGAAAGAATGATTTTAATTATTCAGAATATTTTCATGTTTCATATGTAAAAAATAAAAACATGGAACTGTTGAAATAAATTTCCAGGCCCAAAACGGAGCCGCTGCTGCCCGGAGTGCCATGTCAGCAAACGGAACTTTCGAGTCCCTAGAAATGCTCTGCTGGACCAGAAATGCAGTAGGTACATCCAGTCAGCCGTTGATGCCCAGACATCAGGACAGTTCCGGGCTCTATACTTCCTTCCTTTGTGTACTTGCTCTATACTTACTTCCTTGTTCCTTGATCTTTCTATAGAAGATCAGCCATGTGCCCCAGCCAACCATGCCCTGTCTGCGGGTTGCGCTTCTAAAGCTCTAGAGAACCTACTCCTGCCCAAACCCGTGGGAAGAGCGCTCCACTGCTCGTGAGGCACCCACTCCCCGCTCCACGGACTGTTTTCTCTTGTATAAAGGACATCAAGCTCATTACTAAACGGTTTCAGTTTTGTCAGCTGACAGAACAAAATGTAGGAACAGTAATGATGGAAACCTGGCTGGACCTACAGGCCCAGGATTCTCTCTCATTTTGTACCTTACAGCGTTCCGAGCCATATCAAATTCAAAACCGTATTTGTGTCCTGTTACAAAGTGAAGCACACATTCTACAGATAAACACATTTACTCCCTCTAAAAAACAATTAATATTCCAGAGAGGTACCTTTTGAAAGTGCAAGAGAATGATAATCTCCACATGTGATCTGAATTATATTTTTTTCTTGTAAAACGCATTGAAACCTGATGAAAAAAAATATTTTATGTTGATCACCATAATGAAAGTCACTACATCGATGTTAGAATTATTAACTGTACTTAATAAGGACCGAAGCACAAGAAAAAAATTTTAATTTACTGCTTCACATTCACTACATCTAAAATTATAAAAAATACTATATATTTAGGTTTTCCTTTTAGGTTTAAAAGGAAAATAATGTGCATTATATAATTGTGATAAGACGATTCTAAGACGCTTTTGCAAACAATAATTTTATGATGCAGGAATAATACAAGATGAAAATAAGTTGTAATTCACATGATCTACTAGGAAAAAGTCTCACAAATCATTCCAAGATAATACATTATTTTTTTCTCTAGGTTGAAAACTTTTATTTCTGGAAATTTAACTTGTAGGATTATTATGAGGATCAATGAGTTAATGAATGTGAAAATCCAACTTGGGGCTAGGCAGACTAACTAAGCATTTCCCTTAAATGTCCAAGCAACACATGACACGTGCCCTAGGAGACATAAACTGCTTTGTAGTTTACTGACGGATTTCACTGGTCAGTTCAGAATCCATGGTTTATTTAAGATGCCACTAAATAAAGCAGAGGACAAAAATCATATAATGTTACATTTTCCTACAAAAATTATGATTGCCTTCTGAGTAAAATTTAAATAATTTTTAACAGAAGAAAAAAGTTCCCTACCTGGCATGTTCTATGCTATAGTTGTACTCAAATGGTTTTCCATCTGAGGATAAAACCAGCAAGTGCTCTGCTCCTTGGTCCATGGAATGGATCTTCATTTTTCTTCCTAACTTAATGCACTCTGCAGAGCAAATCCAACCAGACAGCTATCGTCACTCTGATGATTGCACACTATTATTACTGATTTCATACAATACACTTCAAACAACTGGAGGAAAATTTCAACTAGACAACTTTTGACTTAACATGAACTTTTCTTTAAAGAAAATTCAAGTCCGGAAAGCAGACAAATTAGCAATGACTATTGTCTTGACAATGGATTTTTTTTTAATTTGGGAAACCATTGATTCATACTTTGTTTTATACTGAATATACTTTTAAAATAGCCAGTTAAATATTTGCTTTTAGATTCATGTTTACTGAGTTGAGACAGAGAAACTAAATTTGAAGTAATCGAAATTAAAAAGTCAGTAAGAAAATATAACTTAATTTTTGGGCAACAAAGCTCATTTTAGGAGCAAATACATTGTGTATTCTGAAATATACTCTTTCCAAAAACAGAACAAATAACAGTAACAAGCCCCTTCTGACTGCTCCTTACAGGAGCCAAGGCCTATATTCTTAAAACGAAGAGTTGTGTTTGGAGGATCACTTTAAAGAAGATGCTGTTAAAATAGTTTTTACTGGCATTAGTGCATATTTAGCCCCTTCCAAAAGTTAACATATTTAAATTCGTCCACTACTTACCATTTACTTTTATCTCATTTAATTTGTTCACAAAAATTAAAGTAGGTTAGATTTGGGACTTTCACTTTTCAGTTATAATGAAATAGCATCCATTCATGTAAAAATCTCAAAGCAAAAGCCACTTCATACTACAAACGCTAGGAGAACCAAAACAGTTGGGTAATAAAGAAGAAATGGCCCAACAGACTAATGTTTTTTACAGACTCAGCATTTCAAATCAGTTGAAAAGAAGAAGAGTTATTCAAAAAAGGTATTGGGACATGGGGCTAACCACCTGGAGAAACAAATAAATCCAGATCCCCTACCCCACTCCTTAGGTCAAAATAATTTCCAAGGGTATCAAAAATTTTAGCTTTAAATGGCCGGTGGTTAAGTTCGCGTGCTCCGCTTTGACGACCCAGGGTTTCACCGGTTCGGATCCTGGGCGCAGACATGGCACCGCTGGCCAGGCCATGCTGTGGCAGGCGTCCCACATATAAAGTGGAGGAAGATGGGCACAGAAGTTAGTTCAGGGCCAGTCTTCTTCAGCAAAAAGAGGAGGATTGGTGGCGGATGTTAGCTCAGGGCTAATCTTCCTCAAAAAAAAAAGCATTCGCTTGAAAAATAAAAGTTTAAAACGACTATAAAGATGAGTACATTAAAAAAAAAAACTTGGAGTGTGGACAGCCTTCTAACAACACAAAATCCACAAACCTCCTTAAAAGAAAAGATTGATAACGGAAGCCGATTATAAAATAACATCAACTAAAGGCACGTTGGGAAAAACATTACAACGTATATGACCGACAAAGGGCTATTCTTACTCAATATTCAAATAACTCTTCCAAATAAATAAGAAAAAGACTAATAATTCAATTCTTTAAAAGCCGGGCAAAGATATGAACAGGTAGTTCACCTCAAAGGAATCCAAATGACCAACCGAAAAAAGAAAAGATGCTCGACTTCGTTCAAGTTAAAAGCAAAACGAACAACTTTAGGAAAATATCATTTCCTTCACTCAACCGATGGGCAAAATTTTTAAGATTAAAAATGTGGCCATTTGCTTTCCCCCACCTAAAAGTTCCGAGCCACCGTGCCTGACCTAATCTCTACGGAGATGACCTCCTTGGAGAAGCGCAACTGTTTGTTTAAACTGCTTGCAAATGTAAGATATTATCACTGAGAACAAGATAACTCTATTCTCCAAAGGTTCACAAAATCGGAGCAGGTATGTTCTGACAAGGAGTAAGTGAAAAACCAGACGGGGAACAGAAACCAACGATAAAGGCAGACTGGCTAAGATGAAGATGCTGCCTGGACACCGCCTCCCTCCGCGCGGCAACCGGAGGAGCCGACGATGGATTTCTCGCTGCCGTCCCGCCAACTCCGCGCCAACCAGCAGCCGGGATAAAGGAGAGCTCAGGGATGCCGCACGCGCCAAACGCGAAAACCATTGCCGCCCGGCGCGTTTCTGCGGCCACCGGGGACTGCTGCGGCCTCGGGTCCCCTCTGAGCCTTCCTTCCCGTTTAGAGGAGGACTGCACACCCACAGCTCCGGCCCCTCTGGACAGAAGCGTCCGTGCGGGCCCCAGCTCCAGCCCCCATCCTCACATCCCCAGCCCAGGCGAAAGGACGGAGCGGGCGCTGCCCGGCCCCACTCACTGGGCTTCCTGGCGCCGTCGCTCCCCGCCGGCAGCTGGTGGACAGCGACGCCGGCCCCGCCGCGCTCCAGCACCGCCAGGCGCCCGCGCGTGCAGCACATCTGGCGCGTCGCCTCGGTCCTCTGGGGCAGCGCGCTGCGCAGGCCCGCGGCGCTGGGGAACAGCCAGAGCTGCGCGCCCGGCGGCTCCGCGGAGCGGGACGCGGGGGGCCGAGACGCGGGGGGCCGAGACGCTGGGGGCCGGGATGCGGCGGGCCGGGACGCGGCGGCCGGCCTGAGCGCCGAGCGCGCGCCGCCCCGCGACCTCCTCCGTGACCCCCGCTCCATCGCCGCTTTCCCGGGTTCCACCGCCGCGCCTCTGCTCTCAGGACCTTCGGAGGAGAAGGAGCTCCAGCCGGCCTCGAGGCAAGAAGAGAGCGGGAAACGGCCGAGGCCGAAGCGCGCCCGCTGCACCCGGAGCTCGCGGAGCGCGCCGCGGCGTCGAGGACCGCAGCCTGCCCTGCTGCGTCCCCGCTCCGCCGTCGGCTCCGAGTGCGCTGTTTGGGGGCGGAGCCGGCAGTTTAAATGAGAAACGAAACTGATTTTTTTTTTTAAAGGGGCAGAATCGAAGTGGAGAAGGAAAGAGAAATTGGAACGATTCAAGAAATGGCTTGGGAGGCGGCCAGAGTAAACAAGGGCGCTGGCAGGTGACGAGGTGGGTGGGCAGGGCGGAGAAGATGTCCCCAGGCGGGCAGTGGCCACCTGAACTCCCGGACCAAGTGGCTTTCAAGGAAACACAGCAATTCCACTAGGAGGAGCCCTGACACAGGCGGACTTGCAGAATTTCCAGGAACTGTTGCGGTAAGTAAAGTTCAAGTTTGCTAAGGATTCTCTGTTGCAGGCTCTGCCTCAGGATCGCGGGGAAACTGAAAAAGAGAACTAAGCGGCCAGTCTCTCCGCCTACACTGTGTTTGCCGGGCAACCAGTGATCGGCTTTCTGTCAATATAGTTTTCCTTTCCTGGAATTTCTTACAAATGGAATCAAACCTGTGCAGTCTTTTGTGTCTGCATTTTTCCACTCGGCATAATGCTTTTGAGGGTGATCTTGGGTTTCATCAGTAGTTCTTTGTTGTTGTCGTTATTGTTTTGTGATTGTTGAGTGGTATTCCGTCATATGTATAAAGCACAATTTGTTTATCCATTCACCAAGTGATGGGCATTTCAGCCCTTTCCAGTTTTTGGCTACAACGAATAGAGATGCTATGAATATTTGTGAACAAGTCTTTGAACGGATAAATGTTCTCATTTATTTTGGGTAAATACCTCAAAACAGAATTGCTGTCATATGGTAAATACATGAATATCATTATAAGAAACTGCCAAACTTTTCTAAAGTGATATATCATTTTGCATTCCCTTCAGTTTATGGGAGATCCAGTCGTTCTATATCCTTGTCAACATTTGGTGTTGTCAGTGTTGTTAATTTTAGCAAATGCAGTGGTCTATAGTGGTATCTTATTGTGGCTTTAATTGCCATTTCCCTAATGATTAATGATGTTGAGCATCTTTTCTTGTGCTTATTAGTGCTAATCTCTATCTTTTCTTTGGTGATGTGTCCATTCACATCTTTTGCCCATTTATTAATTTGATTGCTCATTATCTAAAAGTTTTTTATATATGAGTTCTTTATGTTATGTGTCAAGTTCTTTATTAGAGATGTGTTTTGAAATGTTTTCTACCAGTCTTTGCCCTGCCTTTTAATTTTATTAAAAATGTCTTTTGAAGAGCTAGAGTTTTTAATTTTGATGCAATTTATCCATTTTTTTCTTTTGCATAGTTCATGCCTTTTTTTGGTCTTACTTAAAAAAAAATCAGTGCTTAACCCAAGGTTACAAAGATTTTCTCATGTGTTATCTTCTAGAAGTCTTATAGTTTTAGATCTTTGTTACATTTCAAATGAATTGCTGTTCTTTATGGCGTGAGGTAAGAGTAGAGGTTCATTGTTTTCCTTAAGGATTTCCGCTTGTTCCAGCCTGCCTTTCTCCCATTGAATTGTCTTGGCATCTTTGTCAAAACTCTGTTAGGTGTGTGTGATTGGATTTATTTCTGGATTTTTTTATTGTGTTCCATTGATCTGTGTGTCCATTCTTACTCCAGTATCACACTGCCTTGATTACTGTGGATGCCAGTTAAGTCTCAAAATCACTTCATTCAAGTGCTGCCCCATTGTCCTTCCTCAGTGCTGTTTTGGCTATTTTAGGTCCTTTGTATGTCCGTATATACTTTAGGATCAGTTTATCAATTTCTAGCAAACAGAATGCAGGGATTTTGAGATTGCACTAAATTAGAACAATTTGGGAAGAACTGACATGCTAATAATATTGATTCTCCTGTCTATGAGCATATCTCCCTATTAATTTAAAGCTTCTTTAATCTCTTTCAGCAGTATTTTCTAGTTTTCAGCGTACAATCAAACGTATTTTGTTAGATTTTTGTTGGTGGCGCTGTTGCATTGATTCTGACTCTTAGCGACCCTGTATATAGCAGAGGAATGCTGCCTGGTCTTTTTCGCAGTGCACTGCTGCTATTCATAGGATTTTCATGGCCAATTTTTTGGAAGTGGGTGGCCAGGTCCTCCTTCTTAGTTGATCTAGTCTGGAAGCTCCACTGAAACCTGTCCACCATGGGTGACCCTGCTGGTATTTGAAGTCTCAGTGGCATAGCTTTCAGCATCACAGCAACACGCAGCCGTTGCCACAGTGTGACAACCCACAGAAGGGTGGTGTGGTTCCCTGACCGGGAAATGAACCCTGGGCCATGGGAGTGAGAGCGCCAAATCTTAACCACTAGACCAGCGCTGTTAAATTTATCCTTAAGTGTTTCTTATTTTTTGGATGATACTACAAATGGTACTTTTTAAAATTTCAAGTTATGATTGTTGTGAGTATATAGAAATACAATTAATTTTCATATATTAACCTTGAATCATAAGACCTTTCTGTATTTATTTAATAGTTCTAGTAATATTTTTGTAGATCCCTTAGAATCTTCTACAGATGACCATGTAGTCTATAAATAAGATAGTTTTACTTTTTCTTTTCCAATCATTACGGCTTTTTTTTTCCTTTTCTTTGCCCTATTGTATGAACTCGTACAGCATTGAATAGAAGCGATAACAGACATCCTTGCCTTATTCCCAGTTTCGGTAGGAAAGCATTCAGTCTTTCACCATTAAGTATGAAGTTAGCCGTGTGTAGGCTCTATCAGGTGGAGAGAGTTCCTTCTGGTCCTAGTTTCCTAACAGTATTTATCATACATGAGTGGCTATTGAATTTTGTCAGGTTTTTTTCCTGCCTCTATTGAGGTAATTACATGATTTTTCTTTGTCAATTACAGTGAAATATAATGGATTTTCAAATGTAGTTCTGGACCAAACCCCTCTTGGTCACAAGGTATTATGCTTTTTACATTTTGTTGGATATGTTTGATATGTTAAAATTTTGTAAAAGATTTTTGTCTGTGTTCATTGGAGATATTTATAGTTTTCTTTTTCTGTAACGTCTTTGTCTGGTTTTGGTATTAGGGTAATATGCTGGCATCATAGAATTAATTGGGAAGTGTTCCCTCTCTCTCTGTTTTCTGAAAGAGTGTGTGAAGAATTGGTACTGTCTTTCCCTTAAATGTTTAGTACAGTTCACCCATTTGCATTAGAAAAAGTAATGCTGGAGTTGAAAGGCCTGAGAAACACAACCCACAAGTCAGGTGCCTAGGGGATGCCTCAGATTTAGAGGCGACCTTTTCCCTTAAAATGCAAATAGAATACATCTGGGCCTTCATTCCATTTGTTGTAGAAACCAGACATGTCAGAGGTAACTGAGGATTCGCTGGGGGCTCCAGACCACCTCTCGTTCTAATGTCCTTGGTGAATTCTCTGTCTCTGTTCTGTCTGTCCTCAGGTGATCCTGCCCTCTTTCCACATCAGCACCCTGAAGTGGGGAACCTGAGGGTTAGTGTAGATATTCAATAAGAACATGCTTGTCTTTCAACCTTGTTCCCAACACAGACATATTGAATCTTGTCAATTTGCTGTTTTCTTGTTTAACTTGAGGGGTGACTCAGAGGTCTCAGGGGTTTGTGAACTTGATTTGCAGATGAAAGAGTGCCTTTGGGGAGGGTGTGATCACAATGGCTGGCCCCCAGCTGCTGCTGATGCCTGGAAGTCCAATTGCCCAGGGGCTTATTGGGAGTGACCCCTTCTTTCTCCGAAGCTCCTCCAGCCAAGGCCCTTAGCTCTATAAAACCCCGTTTTCTGTTCCTATTAAGGTGGATTTCAGCGGACTCATGCTCCCACCTTCTCATTTTGGCCAATTCAAATAAACCTTTCTCCATCTCCAAGCATGGATGTCTCAGTGATTGGCTTACTGCATATTGGGCACATGAATTTGAGATTAAGAGGTTCAGTATCAACCCCAGTGTGGACTTTGTCCAAAAGGACCACCAACACAAGGCTTCTGTATGTGGTTTGGGATAACAGCAGGCGTTTAGAGAACAGCATACAGTTTGAAATTGAATATGAGATAGAACTGGTCCACAAAGTTCCTTGGCCATTTCCGTACTTATATTTCTCTTTTAAATCATTCTATAGCCAAGATGCTGAGACATAGTTCATGTTCTTCCTTTTCCCCACTTACAATTAGACAGGAGCTCCTGGTTGGGTTCAGTGTTTAACCAAAATAATGATAATCTGCATTTAGAATGATTCTTGGAACACAGTATTTTGCATAAGTAATTATTCCATGAATTACTGAATCCCTTAACATTTAATTTTCCAAATAAATTATTCATCAGTTGGCTAAAATCAAAACTCTAGAGTCATTCCAGAATATAAAAAGTACTTCTACATGTCTCAAAAACATGTTGAATGAGTTTATATTTTTACTTTTTCAAACTTCAGGATGACTTTCATATTTGCAGACAGTGTTTATTAGATGTGCAGTATTTTAAAAAAACTATCCGGTAGCTTTTAATACTCAGTTTATTTTTAAATGATTATTGTTCAGGAAATAATCCAGTAAAAAGCAAACATTCTCATAGCAAGTTTAGGGATCAGGAAATGTTGATTCGTTAAATATCATCATTGATTCATCACTTTATTGTTTATCCCAACATTTGTCCACTAATTCTAACTAAAATCCATCAACCCTTTGTACTATTAGACCTAGAAAAAATCAGAGGAATCCAAGGGTGGGAGGACCTGAGAAGCTGAGGCCTCAAGCAGACTCTCACAGGTGACCATCACTGTGTGACCACGGGTGAGACAAATCCTCTGTTGCTGTTGATGGCTACTTGAAGTGCTTCCTTCATTCTTCTCATTGTAGAATATTCAGGGAGGTCCAGAATGTTATGACAGGTTAATGATCTTGGGTGATCTCTTTCACTGAAGGTTTCAGGACAGCGAAATAGGATTCCCACTTCCTGTAGGCCTCTTATAGGCAACCTATCATTTCCTGTAAGAAAAACTAGACAGAAATAAACTTTGGTTAAGATATTTCATAGACAGAGCAAAACTTAAAATAAAAAGGAAGCCATTAGTCACTTCATTCAATTAATATCTATTGAGAGTGCCCTTGAGCACAGAGAACTGCACAGGACCCTGCGGAGCATAGAAAAATCATGACATTTGGTCTTTGTCCTCAGTGAGTTCATGGTCTAGCTGGGGAGAAATTACATACATGAAACGACAGTAGCAAGATACAGTGAAGTTTAATGTGGCTCAGCTGCAAGTCTGAGGTGACGAGCCTAATGAAGCCCCGAGACTCAGGTCGGGAGAGAGGCGCCAGGCTGGGGTAGCAGGGAGACTTCACACGTCACGTCTGCCTTGTGACTTCTCAAGGAGAGGAGATGGGTGAGCTTTCAAGGCTGGGGGAAAAAGCCAAGAAAAAGCCAGAGGTAGGCAGATGTCAGTGCACTCACTGAATGTACAGACAGTAGAACCACTGGGCTGAAGCAAAAGTTTCCCGTTAAGAGAAAAGATTAGAAAGGTAGTTTGGGCTTGTGGAGAAGTAGGTTGCGTTTGTGGAAAAGTTGGAATTGTCCTCCAGCATCCTCAGGAGCAACAACAAATAGCAAGAAAAAAGATGTGTATGTCAGGAGGAACTGAAAACTGGGATGAAAAGGTAAGATAATAAGTCAGTAAATCTGTCCTAGGGAAACCTCAGGGTTTCCACCAAGAGAAGTTCTCACACCACAAGGCCACATAGCTTAGTGGCCCAGAGCCTGGGCTTCGGATCAGCCTGCCGGGTTCAAATTCTCGTTCTGACACTCACCAGCTGTCTGAACACAGGCAAGCTACTAAATGCCTCCTGCCTCTTTTTCCCCATATCCAAAATGGGGAAAAATAAAAGTACCTACTTCACAAGGTTGCTATGAGGATAAACGGAGGCAGCAGACATAAAGTGATCAGTACAATGCCTGGCAGGGAATAAGTACACAATAAATGCTGTTATTATTATTACCAGCAGTGGTCATTGCTATTGATATGATTTCTAAAATAGTATTAGAGACAGTTTATGTTGTCCTAATTCCATCGGACTTAGATAATTAAATCAAGATAGGAATGTGCGAGAAAAGGCTTGATTAGGAGCCAACAAGAGTGAACAAAGAAGATACAAACTAAAATTGGAGGTGGGATTAGAGTCAGTGTGGAGACAGTAGTAAAATGGCAATATCTTTATTATTATTATCATTTTTTAAAAAAGAGGACACAGGCTTATGTCATAGAAAGAACACTGGTCTACAAGTCAAGAAACCTGGGTTCTAATCCTTGCTTTGCTATTAACATGTGTGACCCACCATGAATAATGACTTCATCCCAAATAAGACATTTATCTTTTAAAAAGATGAGTAACTATAGATGCATTTATAAATAATACTTACAAAGGAATTTTTTCTTTTCCTCCAACGTTAATGCATGAAAAGCTTTCCAAAACATCACTATGGTACGATGTGATTTGTGGTAGGGTAGAGTATATTTTGAATTCTTGAGAAAAAGAGGGAGAAAAATTGTTTTTAGGGGGAATGTATAGAAGTTGTTTGGAAGAACGGGGGGCACGTTAGTTATCACCTACCTTTTCAAACTGTTCCCAGTCATAATCAGTATTTCCAACTATTGCTGTCATTAGTTCTTCAGGCTGGAAATGTCGAAGTATCTCCTTGTCACAGACTTTATAAAACCCTCTCTGAAATTCCTCATAAACTGCCTTTACAGACGTGTTGAAAACATAATCAACACACTTAGAAACATAGTCTTTCCTTGAGGGAAGTGAAAAAAAAAAAGGCCATTAACATACTTTGCCAGTGACTAAAATAGTCTCTACTTTGCCCTTTTTACCATTTTTATTGAGAAAAAAGTAAGTTACTTCTGCATAGTACACAACCCTGTACTACGCAGGGATATAAAATCATCTGGTCAGCTAGAAAAAGGAACGTTGGAGAATACAGCAGAAGGATTAAGACTTTGGTTTGCTCCCATTTTCTTCACTTCAGTCAGGATGGTATTTTAGAAACACTAAGGTTACCACACCAGGTTCGTTTTTGCCCACCACCCGGAAAGCCAAACACCGAGACGACAAGAGTGCAGCAGAGAGAGGGTTTAATCACAAGGCAGCCACGTGAGGAAGTGAGAGCTTGAGTCTCAAATCCACTTCCCTGAAAATGGGGACTCAGGGATATTTATGGGGTAGGGGGGCAAGGTGGTCTGAAATGTGGAGAGAGGTGATTGGAGGTGAGGAGAGGTGAGGTAAGGTGATGGGAGGTGAGGAGAGGTGAGGTAACTGATGATCTGTGCAAGGGCAGTCAGACTCGTGTGTTCACAAAATGGTAGCATTAACATGATCTGAGGGTGGAGTCTTTAGCCTCCTGACATCAAAAGGTCTCTCATCAGATATGTGCATGGGCCCAGTTGATGAACTGGTGGTCTTAACTGGCCTGAAGTGGACAACAGGTTCTAATTCCTGAAAAACAGCTCACATGCCCATTACCATGGTGACCTAGGCTCCAGGAAGATGTTATGTCTAGCAGTCTAGCGGGAGTCAGACAGCATATTGCCTAAACAGCACAGTTAACAATGGGTGGATTAAACAGCTAAAAGCTATAATCAGTAATTGGAAACAGGAAAAAAAACTAGTTCCTAGCTATTTACTCATCAATGGCTAAGTGTTTGCTGGTTTTAACCGCCCTATACTTTGGTCATTCCTTATTCTTGAGGGTTTGGGGCAGCGACCCATCTGGCTACTTCCTGCTGAACTGGGGCGTAGAGCTGGGTTAGAGGAATGAAACCATTTAGCACTCATTTGGAAATATTCTCTTGCTCCCACCTTTAGGTTGAGATTTTGCATTATTAGAATTTTGTACCTTGCTCAACAGTTTTGGAACAACATCTAAGGGCACACTTTATAATCAAGTATCAGACCGGAAGGATAAGAAGTATAGACAACCCAAATTTTAACAGTCCCTGAAAAACAGACCTAATCCCAGTGGGGCCTCCATCTGATCTCCAGGAGGGGCTAGATATCTGGTCTTAGTTCCTGACAGTCTTTTGTTTTACTCGATATCAGAGACTGGAGCAATGCCTTATACCCTGATCTTTCAGTTGTCATTGATGATGTCTATCAGCATAGACTCTGCCTGGAAGTCATCACATTCCTAAGGAACTCGAAAGAACAAAGTTATCAACTTACAGCAGCTGGGAGGGGCCATAAAATCTACAGAGCATGTCTGGGTTAGTTAATCAGAGGTCATTCAAAGTGACAATATGGTTTCTTTTCTATGATATGGCTTCCTGTATGTCAACCTTGTGTTGAGCCAGTATCACTAATCTGAATATGTCCTGCTTAAAATCTTCAAAGGCTTCCCACTGCCCTTAGGGTAAACTCCAAACCTCCTTAGCAAGATCAGAAAGCCCTCCACGATCTGACCCTTGCCCTACTCAGCGGCCTCTTCCTATTTGCATTCAAATCTCTGGCCATACTGACCTTCAGCTCACCAGCCTCACTGTTTCTTTTGTAATTAGGCCATAGCATGAAGTGTTTCCTCTTACCTGGCAACTTCTATCATTCATCAGAGTTCAGTATGAACATGACTTTCTCAGGGTTGGGCCTCAGTTCCTCTCTCTCTCCCCTCTTACAACGTCACTGTGTGAAAATTATTTCTCCAAAGTCTCTGTCTTCTCCACTGCATGATGAATTTCCTGATGGCAGGGTTACTACTGGAGGTATTTCTACCAGAGATCCACCAGAAACTCGATGGTCTCCCACCTTCCGAGCATCCTTCCTCGACTATCCCATCTAAATCAACCTGTAGGGGAGCAGAATTTGCCACCCCAGAATGTGTCTCTTTGGCATGAGGGTTATTTTAGGCTGATCATTTTTAAGAAACAAAAGACTCAGGAAGAGCTTTTACCTCCTTAACTGCCTAAAAGAATTTAGATAAAGGGCCTGTTCCAGGAAGAAGAGCTATCACCAAGAATATCTGCAAAGAATATGAGCCAGGTGTGGTCGACTGGGGGCAACTTAGCAGGGCCTGTTTGATGAAAGTGCTTTCTGTGTCCCATTGTCTCTGCAGAGCATGGCAAACATTTGTTTACCAAACACTTGCTCTTCCCATCTTTCTGTGAATTATCTTCCTTCCCTTTGAAGCCCCAAACCCCCACCCCTTTCTCCTTAGCTCTGGATGGCATATAAGCCTTGGCTGCCTGACTGCCAGGGAGCCTCATATCTTTGAGGTTCCCGTGTGTACCTAATTAAATTTGATTTTCTCCTGTTAATCTGTCTCATGTCAATTTAATCCTTTTTATTATTATTATTACCCTCCAAATCCATTTCTCAATTTCATTCTTAGACCAGCCAGAAAAATTTAGAAAGGGGAAGGAAAAATTTCTTCCCCTCTCTGTCCTCCCCCTGTAACCAGTGATGTGCTGGTACATGTTGAACAGCCAGCTCTCTCAAAAGGAGAGAGAAGAAGAGGGAACTCTCACTTGCAGCATTTGCCAATTTCTGTGGTGTAAATATTTCTACCACGATTGATTTCGAGCTACAGTGTTTCTGAAAATTTAACACTTGGCTCTCACAAGCTAGTACGAGCTGACTCCAGCATACTTATAACTCTCTAGTCTCTTTTTGTTTGTTTGTTTTTGAGGAAGATTAGCCCTAAGCTAACATCTGCTGCCAGTCCTCCTCTTTTTGCTGAGGAAGACTGGCCCTGAGCTAACATCCGTGCCCATCTTCCTCTACTTTATATGTGGGACACCTACCAGAGCATGGCTTGCCAAGTGGTGCCATGTCTGCACCCAGGATCCGAACTGGTGAACCTCGGGCTGCTGAAGTGGAACGTGCGAACTAACTGCTGCACCACTGGGCCAACCCCTTCAGTCTCTTAATTGGTTTTAATTTTCTTCAGAGTGCTCATCCTTACCTGACATTCTATTACATAATAATTTATCTGTGTATTGTCTTTCTGCCCCACAGGAATTTAAGCTCCAGATTTTGTCTGGCTTTTTCACTGCTGTATCCCTGGCCCCTAGAATAGAGTCTGGTACAGAATAGGGACTCAAAACTAATTGTTAAATGAATAACTAGTGAAAAGTGCTGCAAAGGAAATGTTTAATCCTGACTCCTGTCTCCCCCTGTGTCACCCCGTAACCTTTTTATCTTTGTAAAAGCTGGGGAGCTAAACGATCATCTGAGAAGCTGAAATACATTTATAAAGTATAAGAATAGAAACATTTTCTGTAATTCAAAGCAGATATCCTAGGTCTCAAACTTACTTGTTGTTTTGGTTCACAAGTACAGAGATCCCGTCTGGAATTAGATCAACATCATTGTGGTCCCAGTGTATCTGTAACCAAAATGTATTCAGGTACCAAACATGAGAGAAAGGCTGAATAATCAACCATAATACCGTTATTGCCAGTACATTCTTCCCTATAAAGTTTTAAATAACTGGGAGCTAAAGAATTATTTGTGAAGTTCAGCCTTTTAAATACATTTAAAAATAAAAAACCTACCCTAGTATCTGCTGTACACTGCTTTTAAGCATACATCATTCCATTTAGTTGTTTACATGAATTCATACGGATTGAATAATTGCTCTGTTTTCACTTTATTTGAGAGTATATAGACATAAGATATCAAATGAGGAGCAGGTGGGGAAAGTCTTACAGTACAGAAGTAAAATACTCTTCAAAAAAGGAATCCCATATTTAAGATACTATAATAAAAATTATTTTAAAAAAACAAATTAAAGGTAATTTTATAATCTGGCTTTCATTAGTACTCACAGAAAAATATATGTAATCTTCTCCAATGTCAGACTGATCATTTAGAATTTCTTGCAAATTCCTGATAAAAAATTTGGGTTTAAAAAATTGTGCTTATTGATCTTATAAAATGTCAGAAGTAATGTTCAATGGAAAAAAGTTTAGACAATACAGAAATGTATAAAATGCCATGTAAGTTTTCTCTCCTCCGTCCTCCCACTCCAGCTTCCTAGAGTTAACCTCTATTTAGAGTTTGACTGGTTGAACCACCGCCAATACGTAGACGTTGCTGTGTCTTGGTGGAAATTACAGAAAGGAGCCCCTTCCTCTGGACCAGTGATTCTCGACCAGGGGTGATGTTGCCCCCCAGGGGACATCTGGCAAAATCTGGAGACATCTTTGGTGGTCAAGATGGCATCTTGACAGGAAGGTTGCTACAGGCATCTAGTGGGTAGCGACCCCATATACTGCCAGACATCCCTATGATGCCCAGGACAGCCTTCCACAACAAAGACTCATCCACTCCAAAATGTCAATACTGCCAACATTGAGAAACCCTGCTCTAGACTGGCAGGGCATCAAGGGTGAATCTAGCCAGTTTATTCTTCTACTAATAGTATATGAAGAGAGAATCCTTGTCCCCAATCTGTTGCCAACTCTATATTTTATTAAAAACTTTGTAACAGTTGTCAATCTGTAAGCAGAAAAATGACATCTCATTTTCATTTGTATTTCCTCAGTTACTAGTAAGGTTGAGCGTATTTTCATTTTTTGATTAGCTATATATATACATACACATACCCACAGATACAGCCATATATATTTATATGTGTGGTGATACACACTCACATATATATGTATACATCCGGGATACTAATCCTTTGTCTATCGTATATGTTGCTAGTATTTTCCTCACAGGATATAGTTTGCCTTTTAACTTACAAGAAGTATTTTTCAATCCCTGAAAAATTCAGTTGATGACATGCTGATGTATTTAAATAAATTAAATATGATTTATTTAAAATAAACATAGCATGCCTGATTCTCATTAAGAATACTATGGACTGCCCAAAGCAACTGTTTCCATCTGGATAAAGTCAAGAGGCCAGGCCAGAGCTCAGTTTATTGTACTGGTAGATACTTAGAGGAGCATTTGGCTTTTCTCCATTTTGAAGCCTTACTTGTTTATAAGTTATGCTAAAATTCACATTCATCTAAAGAGCACACATTTATTGAAACTGAAGACCTTGTGTGGTGTCTATGTGTGTATCTGTGTGTGTGTGTATGTGTGTGTGTGTGTAACATCATTTATGCCTAAATAACTGAGACTTACCAGATATAGTCCTGAAAAAGCATTTACTTACTTTCCCCAAAGAGGACTGAGTTCTTTGAAATCTTCCAATGATGGCTTTTGGTCCAGAAGTTTCTTAAACAGAGCCAGCGGGAAAGAAAGATTGACAACATTGAAATTGTATAGGGAGAGTCCACACAGCATCCCAAAGAGGAAATAGCTCTTCTCCTCAAATTTAGGCTGGAAAAGGAGAATAAAAAAATCCATAATGTATTGGAAAGAATCAGTAATCCAAAGGGACAGATAAGTAAAAAAAAGTTTTTGGTCCCCTTTTCTAAAAGTCACAAATTAGAAACAAAATGGGTTCAGGAAAATAAAAATTTAAGGTTCTTACATAGGCTATAATACAATTTAAATTTCTTCCATAAGTTAAAATATAAATTAATAGTCGCAAATATTAAATAAATGAATTTACTTTTTGTTACTAACAGCATATCTAGAATATAAAAAAATAAGCTCAGATGACCTTATAAGCCAAGGTTTTCACTATTTAATTTTATAGTCTCTCTCTTCATGTTCATGTAGAAAAACGACACTGCGGAAGGAAGGGCGCACTTTATCCACACTTTCAGTGGGTGTCAGGCATGTCGCATGTGTGTCAGATGCATGGTGTCCCCTTGGGCAATACAGCCCTCAAGCTCGGTGTGCTTACAGGGACAAGCATATGGGTCAGGGAACGGGGACTGAGGCTGCTGACCGTGGAGGTGGGTGGAAGAAAGAAGGAAAGAGTCCTGACGAAATTGGCTTCACTGTCCTCTGCACTTTGTAGTCCCAGATGAGGGAAAACACTGGCCACAGCTGGCCAGGCCATCACCACAGCCAGCCAGGAGATCACTAGCCTGAAAATTCTAAGATTTCCATTCCAGTGCCAGCCTTGCTGTTAGCAGGTGCATGACTTTGGGCCACTGACATAATAGTCTGTGCCTCCATCTACTCACCCTGTTTACTTCTTAGAGTAACTGTGAGGATAAATATTAAAAATGCATTTGAATTTTGAAAATGAATTAAAAGTACAATAGATGGACTCTATAAAGGTGGCCTCCTCAAACCTAATCAGTCTTCTTGCCTGTATTTGTAATGTGTCCCATGGTTCTAGTTGATTTTGTCTCTTCACGGAGCCATATGCGAATCAGACTTTTGTCTCTGTGTGTTCCCTCCAGCAGCATAGCACAGTGCTTAAGAGTAGGGGCTCTGGGGTCGGACAGTCCTGAGTTCCTCTCCTGGCTTGGTCACTTGCTAGCTGAATGTCCTTGGACAGTTTATTTAATCTCTCTGAGCCTCAGTTCATTTATCCGTAAAATGAGGACATAGCACCTACCTCACAGAGTTAATGTCAGGTTTAATTTTCCCCTCTCCATCCTCCACTTGCATCTCTTTGCCCTATTTAGCCCCTGTCCTTCAACATCAACCTGTGGTCTCCACTTTTCCGTGACACTTTCTCCAATCACGTTCAATCCCCCTTGATTTCTTTCTGTCCTAATTAAAGAATGCCTGAAATTTGTACAGTCCCTAAAGTTCTCCTGGCACTTTCACACTTTGATAGGCCTCATCTTGCTTTATTCTCACAAGAGCCCCGGAAAGCAGGCAGAGCAGAAATGATGACATCCGTTTTATAGGTGAGGACACTGAAAACTCAGAGAAGCGAAATGACATCCACCATCACTAAAGATGAGAACTTTGGGCTTCTAATCCCACATCAGGGCTTCTTTCCCCACCCTACCATGCCTCTCAATAACTGTTACACATGAAGGCAGCAATCCATCGTTAAGAACCAATGCTCAAGTTCCCTGTGTTTTAGTCTTATTGCTCCATCTACATGCATAAAAAAGTTTCAAGAGCAAAGGGATTGTGTTGTATACTAATTTGAATCCCCCACAATATTTAAAACAATGTGGGAGGATTCTCAGATTTCGATTCCAGCGCCAGCCTCGCTGTTAGCAGATGCATGACTCTGGGCCACTCAATAAGTGCTTGTTGATTGACTGCTAAAAATCCTACTCCTGGCACACCTTGGCCATTCCTGTCTTTTAGAGGTTCATTCTTTCTCAAAAAGATACAAAACACCTTTGAATATTTGTTTTAAAATTAAAGACTGGCCCTGAGCTAACATCTGTTGCCAGGCTTCCTCTTTTTTTTTCCTTCTCCCCAAAGCCCCCCAGTACATAGTTGTATATTCTAGTTGTGGGTCCTTCTAGTTCTGCTGTGTGGGACGCCGCCTCAGCGTGGCTTGACGAGCGGTGCCATGTCCGGGCCCAGGATCTGAACCAGTGAAACCCTGGGCCGCCGAAGCGGAGCGCATGAACTTAACCGATCGGCTATGGCCTGGCCCTTCTTTCAGTATTTTTTCACACGCATTCATCTTTCTCCTCCTCTTCCCTGTCCTTTTTGGGTTCCAAACCTCCACCCTTTGGAAGTTTTTATGAGAAAGTTTATGGGAAAGGGGATCAACAAATTGAAGCTCCACGTGTGATTCCGTTTAGAATTATTGGCTCTGTGTTACCAATAGAGAAATGAAGACAAGTTTTTTGTTACTTTAAGAAAATGTTTACATTTCGAGGATCTTTATAAAAATATAATCATTACAGAAATGACTCGCCTTATTAGAATTAGCGATTATCTCTAGGATTCTAGGAATAATTTCTCTCCTAATTTGAAACACTCTAGTTTACTGCTTCTCACAATTTAGGAAACCCCCCAAATCTCCATCAGTAGAGACTAGATAAGTGAAGTGTAGTACGTCCATACAATGGAATACTGCTCAGCTAAGAAAGGGAATGAACTATGCTGCATGCAGCAACACGCGTGAGTCTCAACAGAATTACGCTGCGCAAAACAGGACTGACATAAAGACTACTTATGATTCCATTGATGTAAAATTCTAGGAAAATTCAAACCACTCTAGAGTGACAGAACTCAGATCAGTGGTTGCCTGTGCAGGGGGCAGGGGAGGAGTAGAAGCAGGGGAGGAGAAGGGCTAGAAAGGGACACGAGGAAACTTTGGGGGATGATGGATATGTTCATTATCTTGATTATGGTGACAGTTTCATGGGTATATACATATGTACACCAAAACTTATCAAATTGGACACTTTGAATATGTGCAATTTATTGTATCTCAGGTATACTTCATTAAAGCTGCTTAAAAATTTAATGTGCATATGAATCACCGGGGATCTTATAAAACACATGTTCTGATCCGGGGCAGTGCCTGAGACTCTGCTTTTCGAACAGCTCCCAGATGACAGTGGAGCTGCTACTCTGTGCACTATATTTTGAGTAGCTAGACTATATATGACCTAATTTTACATTATTATGTATGGTTTTCATGTTGCAGTATATAGTATACTTTTTCTGTTCTGAAAAACCATAAGAAAATAAAGACTTACGTTGGCAGGAAACCACATGCAGGAACCCTTTTCGGGATATATGAACATTCCATACTCTGTCTTGGTCATCTCTTCAAATATACAGTGGAAGAACTCGGACTTTACCCCTCCACTCTCAGGACGAATTTCTTTAATAAATTCAATCTGAGGAAAGAGAACACACTCCCAGGTCCAGATGTAAAATATAATGTCTTGATCTTTATGGGAAAGTTTCAAACCTCCTGCAGTCACCAGAATTCCCAGAATCCCACACACCTTACCTCACTGCAATCTGTTCTCTCTCAGTGCTACTGAACAGCATGCCATGAACCTATTTATCGTTAGATTATTGTATAGCGAGTGCATGCCCCATGAACCAAGTGAAGGGGGACGCTAGCAAGACTTAGCATTCACCAATTATATTGACCAGCGTCTTGAAGCAAACTTTGATGTGCCTCAAACCCCTGGGCCACTAAACTCCCAATTCTTCTATCTGGTTGTGTGTCTTCGTTTCATCATTCAGATTTTGCAACCTTGGCTCCAGTCAACAACCATTTGGTTTCTCCTGCCTCTGTCCTCATTAGGCCTTCTGATAAGCAGCCCTCCCAGTCAGCCTGGGCAGGGCACCTGTGCAGGAACCATCAGACCGACTGCCCATATCCTTTGGAGGGAAACCAATATTGACTAGTCCCGCTTTTCTGAAGTCCACCTTTGGACTTTGTGAGCTAGTACTATCCTGGTTTTCCTCTGACCTCCCCAATGACTCCTTCTCTACTTCCTTTTCTGGCTAATTTCTTTTTATCTTTTTAATTTAAATATCACTAAGCTTCATAAAGAGTTCTCTCTGTCCCTTCTTTGCCTGGAAGATCTAATGCCACTTTGATCAACCAACTCCTTGGCCACAGACCATCATTTCCAAGGACTTGCCTCACATTCCATCAGGATGCCCCAATAACAAATTAAGCGTACCTCCAATTTTCTTATTTCTGCTTATTTACACCAGCAAGTCTGCCTTCGCCATGGTCAGGATCCACTCATGACGGACCTTGACAACCTTGCCTTGGTTCGGTGTTTTGATTGGATCTGTCTTGAAGTTTACCCTCTTACCTCTTTGTCATCTCCTGTAGGTGGTATCATTTTCTACTGATTTCCTCATAATCAAATTTAAAGGAAAGTAGATAGAGGGGGAGACATACAAGTAGAAAATCTGGCTTATAACATGGTTTCTTTGTTTTCCATTGGAGTCCCGTTGTGGGAAATATCCCTCTCCTGTCTCAGCCCCCACCCTCCAGGTTCTGGTTTCTTCTCTGAGAACCTAACTCTTTCCCTAATGGCTAATATCAGGAAAATCCACTTCCTTCTGGACAGACTCCAGCTCCTACCTACAGAGTTAGTCATTATTCTATGGTCTCAATAGGACAAATGATCTGAGGTACCACACAACAAAAACCTATAGGTGAGGCACCCAAAGGGTGAGGTAAAGGATGGCTAGATTTGAAACCAATATGGTAGAAGGTCTGTGACTAAAACTAGAGCCAAAATGTAGAAAGAGTATCTGTTCCACCTGCTGCTTGCTGACATTTATAGGCCAAATTCCTCACCCCTCCTGGATCCATGTCTTTTGCATGTGACTTTGCACTTCCTCCCATTAAAGAGGCTGAATATATTTTGCCAGCCCCTGACTTGGATTCAGCCATGTGACTTGCTTTGACTAAAGTAATGTTTCTTGTGTAACTGGGCTTTCTGTCTTGTACCTCTGGCATTGCTGTGAGAAGAACATGCTTGCCAGTCTCAGGAAGAAGACGAGAAACACAGGAAGCAGAGACAAACTGCCCCAGCCAGGCCCAGCCTCCATCAAGCCAATCCCCAGCCAACTCCCAAATATGTAAACAAGCGCAGACAAAATCTGCGAAGTTACCCAGGTGAGTTCAACCTATATAAGTAGACCCTCAGCTAAATTGTAGATCTGTAATATAAATTATTGTTATTTTAAGTCATTAAGCTTTGGGATGGTTCATTACGCAGCATTTTTGTAGCCATAGGTAAGTAATAGTTAACTCATAACGCCAGTGTTCAGTTAAGCATCCTATTGCTTTTCTCTGAAGGGTAAGCGAGGAATTCTGGAAGCCATAAGGCTGATAACTATAGTTGCAAATGCAGGCTCTTCTTTGCTACGTTATATAAATGTTTCCCTCCCACATTAGTAAAAATGTCCAATGAGATGTTTTACTGTACCACTAATTGTTTCCGGAGGTCAGTAACTTCAGCTTGGCTTAACTGACGCAAGGCATCTTCAACTAGGTGACTTCGTCTGACTTTAAGTATAAACGTAGGTGATGGAGGGAATTCATCCTCTCCTTGCCGAATCGTTTGCCCCAAGTATGCACTTTCTGTTGCATTCTAGAAAAAGAAATATTTTAAGAACGCTCATAGCAATATTAGGAAGTATTTACCATTTCAAATAAACATATTTTGGATAGCCATACACTTACGCCTGCCATTGCTATTTATACTCGTATTGTAATTATTTAAGGAAAAGGGTATCATGGATAAAGAGATCATAGGATCTGTGACACTATGGTGCCTAGGAATTGTGTACAAGGGATCAGTCACCATGGATGTACAGCTAAGTAATTAGAAGCTATCTCAGATCACTTATTACAGTAAACATGATCCTTAAAGGCAATAGTGGTATTCCAAGCTGCTAAGACATTCATCCACCATCAGACTTAAGAAGCAGAGTGTTAGCACCACAATCCTCAAGAATATAAGGGCAGTTTAGGAGCTCAGGGATAATGTGGATATGGGAAAAAGACTAGAGGAAAGACTTGCTCAGAGAAGATCCCCTCTTCTCCTTCAAATAACTATGATCCATATCCTGAATCTGCATGGGAGATCCCCAGAAATATGCCACCGGTGGCCTCATCTTGGACCTAGCATTGTTCTCAGTCACCCACATCGTACTTCTGTTTAGCTTTTCTGAATTCTCAACATTTCCTCACTACTTTTGTCCTCGAGCTTCTTTCTGCTAAACTCCGTTGGACTGGAAATCTAGTGTTGGACTTTCTCTCTTGCTTTGACCTTTTACACTCCTCCAGGGCTTCTGCTCCATCACAAGGATAAGAAAGGAATATTCAGGGGCCGGCCCTATGGCCGAGTGGTTAAGTTTGCACACTCTGCTTTGGTGGCCAAGGGTTTCGCCAGTTTGAATCCTGGGCGCGGACATGGCACCGCTCATCAAGCCATGCTGAGGCAGCGTCCCACATGCCACAACTAGAAGGACTCAACTAAAAATACACAACTATGTACTGGGGGGCTTTGGGAGAAAGAGGAAAACTAAAGTCTTTAAAAATAAAAAAAAAAATAATTAAAAAACAAAAAGGAATATTCAGGACTCACAAGCCAATGCAGCCCTCTTAGGGCCTATCCCACAATCGTGACAGTAAGACAGGTGGATAATAGCTATCCGCTTCCAGGTTTCCAGGCTGGGTGTGGTTGCTGTATTAGGACTCTACAAGCATCTCAGAGAAGTGTGCATGTGGCTCTGGGCTTGGGAAAGCCCAGTTCCAGATCTCTGCTGCCACTATATACTGACAAATTTATATGGGATTCCACTAGATTCTTCTGGTTTTTCCTTAACAGGTTTCTTGTAAAGAAGCTCCAGGTTTGTAGGCAGACGGAACAAGTGCCATTTCTGGTCCTTCCTGGTGATGGGTCAGCAATTCCTGTGGCCCAGGAGTGCAGCTCTGGGACACTTTAGTAATACTGACTGCTGAGCAGCATGTCTCGCGGCTCAGAGTGATGAAGTGGCCAGCAATGTCCTCCACTGGCTATAGCAGGGAGAGGTGTATGTGGCCTGCTGCACGCCTGCCTTCTCTCACCTGACCAAGAACTGGACTGGAAACCTGCATCTTATTTTCCAGTTTCTCTACTCCCACTCTCCATATCTTGTTTTGGCTTTCTGCATTGATGCATTTGGATTGGGGATCCAGTTTGGAGCTTACGATTTTGACTATGTCTATCCTCTCTCCTTCAGAGGACAGGACTCTGGAGTCAGCCTTCTAACTTCACACATGACAACTACAACTAAAAGTTTTCTTGTCCTCAATCCTTTCCCAAACCTTCATGATATGCAGCCTGCCTGGGTCCACCATCCACACAACCCTCACTAACAGAGCAGACAGGTTAGAGGGAACACTGCTATAGAAGAAAATACGAGAAAGGGAAGAGCTTGTTTAAAGGAAACTTAAGGGGAAGTTAGGTTTGAGAAGGAAGGACTCAATCTATTTGCTCCCGTTACCAGGGATGTTAGGAAAATAAAAAGAAAGAGGTGGCTGGGAAACAAAAGAAGAGATGACCCAGTCAAATCTCCTTGTAAACACGCTGATGACAGACAGTAATAACCACAACTAGTAGGAGAGTCCTCATCTACGAACGCTTTAGCAGGAGGGACTTGTTCGTCTAGGTTGCTCATTATAAATTAAACTGGAATTTATGGATTTATGGGGCATGACTCATTGGAAAATGTCATGTAAGCTATATAATTAGTAGGATATAAAACGGAAATGTTTTATGGCTCCTTTCGTGCATGTCATGTCCAAGACTTCTCCATGTTTCACCTAGATGGCCTGTATCCTTTGAATTATTAATAAAAGTAATGGGTATGATTTCTGATTCCTGTGAATCTTTAAAGTATAAACATCATAGTTGAATATATATGAAGCCTTCCTGAGGAATGGCCTAGAAAACAAGCCTCAGCAATCAAAAAACGTTTGGAACATCTTTAGTATAATGTCTGGGGTGGGGTGAGCATTATATATACTTAACTGAGAACTAAGGCTGATGGTGATAAGACAGACAAAATAGCATGTAAATGTTATGTGGGAATAATACAACTGCCAGAAAAGGAGGAGAAGGGAGAGTCAGGGGAAAACAGAATAAACTAACTGATTGACTCACAGGCATTCTCTGGGAATAAAAGAGTATCAGTGGGGACTTCCTAATTTAAGCAGATATGAAAATCTAAAGCCTAAAGCTAAGAACACAGAGTAACTAACCCTGGATTGAGGCAGAGAGGGAAGGGAGAGGGAGAGAGCAGTTACTAGATGTTTCAGTATTGCCCATAGTAGGAAAACAATATTATCTTTAAAAAGTGAGGACTCAGGCATTATATAATAATGAGAAACGCTATTAAAATTAAACTCAAGTATCATGATTAACCCATTCAAACAGGAAACGATCACAAAGCTTGGTAAAGCTCTGCATTGGTGAGAGTGTGTGAAAGGGGCATTTCATACATTGCTGGTAGTACCATAAATTGGTACAACTTCTAGGTACAGTGATTTGGCAACACTGAATAATTTAAAAGGATTACGCCTCATTCAGCTTTCCTGATTATATGATTGATTTTTCAAGGTAACCAAATGGTCCTGACTGATGAGGAAGAGTTCTTCTTTACAGAATTCCAGGTAGTAACTTTGGAAGGAATGATAAGATTAGAAATATCATCATTTTGCAAAATTTAAGCAAAACAGTGGATGAAATTATTAAATAAAAGGTTGATGGGAGACACTACAGTGGAAGAATCACGTGGTCACCACCTGAACCCACTGACGAATCTCAGCATGAACAAGAGTGAAGCAACCAGAAATAATGCATTGAAGTATGGAGAAGTGAAAAGAAAGTAGGCCTGGGATTTGCTTTAAAATACTTCAGCACAAATAGTAACAACTACAAAAACAACAAAAGTGATAAATGAAGAAAGTGTGGCAAAATGTTGATGACTGCTGAAACTTTGTGATGGCATTCATTACACCTTTATCTCTATTTTGTATATGTTTGAAATGTTACATAATAAAAAAAAGTAAGGCATACATACCCGCATTTGTCTAATGGAATCAGCTTGTAATAATTTAATTTTGGACAGAAAATTAAAGATAAATGGAAAATCGCTGAAAATAACAGGGCTGGGATTTTCTGGAGGTATCTAAAAAGTAAACAGAGATGACAGTTTTGATAATTAAAAGAAAAGAAAATCTCCATTTCTTTATCTTATCACCTTAAATTATCTCCCTCTGTACTATTTTGGGATCTGTTTTTAAGAATCCATATTACCTAGAAACAAATTTCTAAGAAAATGCATTTGTTTTGTGAGTGAAAGATGTTTAAGTTTTCAATGATCATCTAATTTAGCAAATCCAACATTTCCATGAGGAAATTTTCAAATCTTGGTTTATCAAAGAGATACTACTAATGTGTCCCCCTTTAAAGTATGAAAATTTTCAGAAGTAAAAATGTTCTTCTTACCAGGTTGTTATCCCTTAAGAACACTCTTCTTCTATCTTCATAAAAGTTCAAAAAATAGGAGAGCTCATTTATGTTGAAAGTATTTTCTGGTAGTAGACATTTAGCTTTATTTACCTTAAAGAGAATATGACCTGTGAATTTCATTTTCTATTAATAAATGATTTAATCTACTTTTTAAATATATGGCTATTATACAGATAATTAGAAAGAGCACTATAAACCCAAAACATTTGTCAATGATGAAATAGACTTGTATAAATCTTCCATTTTTTGATCTATAATGTCTCCAATTTTCATAAATATTGTAAAAGATATAAGATGTTGGCAGTGGAGATTAGTAAACCAATTCTTAGGGCACAGGTTTACTGGAAACAGTTTCTAGATAGTGAGAATAAAAGCACCATAAAAATTCAAGGTATTTTTGACAAATTCAGCACTTTCTCCATGAATTAATGAATATTAATTTAGCACTTGCTATTTGTCAGGCATGGGACAAAGCATAAGCGGAAAACTGTCCTGGCTTACACATAGCTTACTGTCTAGTATAGTAGTCAGCAAACTCTTAAATCCAGATAGTAGATATTTTGAGCTTGGGACCACACAGTCTCTTGTGCAACTGTTCAACCCTGACATTTTGTAGCACAAAACAGCCATAGGCAATATGTCAACAAGTGCATATGGATGTGTCCCAATAAAAACTTTTTTGGTGAGGAAGATTGGCACTGAGCTAACATCTGTTGCCAATCTTCCTCTTGTTTTTTTCTCCCCAAAGCCCCAGTGCATAGTTGTATATCGAAGTTGTAAGTCCTTGTTCTTCTATGTGGGACGCCGCCACAGCATGGCTTGATGAGCAGTGTGTAGGTCCATGCACAGGATCTGAACTGGTGAACTCTGGGCTGCTGAAGCAGAACGCGTGACCTTAACTACTATGTCGCTGGGCCGGCCCCCCCAATAAAACCTTATTTACCAAAACAGGAGACTACCCCTGAGAGTAGATTGCCAACTCATGGTCTAGTAGGTAAAAACAACAAGTAATCTGGCCTCAAGGATACAGTTCCTGGAAAAGGACTTAAGGGGTTCAGGAAGGCTTCCCAGAGGAAGCGGTGCTAGAAAATCAATGATCTAAATAAGCCTCTGTCACATCAAATTAATCCAAGAGACAGAAGGCAGGAAATAAGAAATCTAAGAATATAAATTAAGGAAATAAAAAAAACAGGTGTATAGGTGAGAAGATCAACAAATAAAAAGGTTGAGTCTTAAAAAAAACAAAACACTTCTTGGTAAGACTGATACAAAAAAAAGGGCAAATAACCAATATCAGGAATGAAAAATGCAATAAAACTACAGATTGTGATGTATACTTTTTCTTATTGAAATATGTCCATTATAAAACATCTTCTTAAGTCCTCATAAAGTTTCTGACCTTTAAAATCCCCAATTATTTTATGCCAAACATTTCCCTTTTATATACTACTTTAAAAAAATATTTGACTCCTTATGATTCTTATTTGTCTTCTTAAGACTCCAATTGGCCATTCACAATAGCACCAAAAACAATAATACTTAGGAATAAATTTAACCAAGGAGGTGAAAGATCTGTATACAGAAAACTATAAGACTTTGATAAACGAAATTGAAAAAACGCAAATAAATGGCAAGGTATTGCATGTTCATAGATTGGAAGGATTGTTATTGTTAAAAAGTCCATACTACCTCAAGCTACCTATAGATTCAATGTAATCCCTCTCAAAATTCCAGTGGCATTTTTCACAGAAATAGAAAAAAAATCCTGAAATTTGTATGGAACTACAAAAGTCCCCGAATAGTGAAAATCCTGAAAAGAAGAACAAAGCTGGAGGTATCACACTTCGTGATTTCAAACTATGCTACAAAGCTATAGTAATCAAAACAGTATGGTACTAGCATAAAAATAGACACATAGATCAATGGAACAGAATCAAGAGCCAGGGGCCAGCCCAGTGGCACAACAGTTGTGTGTCCATGTTCTGCTTCAGTGGCCCGGGGTTTGCCGGTTCGGATCCCGGGTACGGACATGGCACCGCTTGGCACGCCATGCTGTGGTAGGCGTACCACATATAAAGTAGAGGAAGATGGGCATGGATGTTAGCTCAGGGCCAGTCTTCCTCAGAGAAAAGAGGAGGATTGGCAGCAGTTAGCTCAGGGCTAATTTTCCTTAAAAAAAAAAAAAAAGAATCAAGAACCAGAAATAAACACTTGCATATATGGTTAACTAATATTTGACAAGTGAGCCAAGAATACTCAATGGGCAAAGGATAGTCTCTTCAATAAATGCAGTTGGGACAACTTGATAACCACATGCAAAAGAATGAAATTTGACCCTTATCTTACATGACTCAGAAAAATTAACTTGAAATGAATTAAAGACTTAAACATAAGATCTAAAACCATAAAACTCCTAGAAGAAAACATAGGGGGAAAACTCCTGGACATTGGTCTTGGCAATGATTTTTTTGGATATGAGACCCGAAGCACAAGCAACAAAAGCAAAAATAAATAAATGGGACTGTATCAAACTAAAAAGCTTCTGCACAACAAAAGAAACAATCAACAAAATGAAAAGGCAACCAATGGAAAGAAAGAAAATATTTGTAAATCATATATCTGATAAGGGATTAATGTCCAAAATATATACAGAACTTATACAATGGAGCAAAAAACCAAACAATCCAATTAAAAATAATGGGCAAAGGAACTAAACAGATACTTTTCCAAAGAAGATGTACAGATGGCCAACAGGTACATGAAAAGGTGCTCAACATCACTAATCATCAGGGAAATGCAAATCAAAACCACAATGAGATATCACCTCACACCTGTCAGAATGGCTATTCTCAAAAGACAAGAGATGATAAGTGTTGGTGAGGATGTGGAGAAAAGGGAACCCTGTGTATGTTGGTGGGAATGTAAACTGGTGCAGCCACTATGGAAAACAATATGGAGGCTCTTCAAAAAATTAAAAATAGAACTACCATATGATCCAGCAATCTCACTTCTGGGTATATATCCAAAGGAAATGAAATCACTATCTCGAAGAGCTATCTCCACCCCCATGTTCATTGCTGCATTATTTACAATAGCCAAGACAGGAAAACAACTTAAGCATCTATGGACACAGGAATGGATAAAGAAGATGTGGTATGTATATACACTGGAATATTATTCAGCCATGAGAAACAAGGAAATCCTGTTATTTGTGACAACATGGACAGACCTTTAGGACATTATACTAAGTGAAATAAGACAGAGAAAGACAAATACTGTATGATATCACTTATATGTAGGATCTACAAAAGGCAAACTCATAGAAACATAGAGTAGAATGGTTGTTACTAGGGGTTGGAGGATGCGGGAAATGGGAAGATGTTGGTCCAAGGGTACAAACTTCCAGTTATGAGATGAATAAGTTCTGGGGATCTAATGTATAGCATGGTGACTATAGTTAACAATACTGTACAGTCATGCATTGCTTAGGGGCAGGGACACGTTCTGAAAAGGCACCATTACGTGATTTGGTTGTTGTGTGAACATCATAGAGTGTACTTACACGAGTAGTAGGCTACTATATACCTAAGCTATATGGTATAGCCTATCGCTCCTAGCCTCAAACCTGTATAGCACGATACTGTACTGAATACTGTAGGCAACTGTAACACAAAGGTATTTGGGTCTAAACATATCTAAACAAAGAAAAGGTATAGTAAAAATACAGTGTAAAAGATAAAAATGGTACACCTGAGGAGGGCACTTACGATGAATGGAGCTTGCAGGAATGGAAGTTGCGCTGGGTGAGTCAGTGAGTGAGTGCTGAGTGAATGAGAAGGCCCGGGACATTACTGGACACTACTGTAGACTTCATAAACACTGGACACTTAGGCTACACTAAATTCATTAAAAAAATATTTTTTTCACTAATAAATTAACCTTAGCTTACTATAACTTTTTTTTTAATTGCTTTTTCTCCCCCAAATCCCCCCAGCACATAGTTGTATATTTTAGTTGTGGGTCCTTCTAGTTGTGGCATGTGGGACGCCGCCTCAACATGGCCTGATGAGTGGTGCCATGTCCGTGCCGAACCGGCGAAACCCTGGGCCACCGAAGCCGAGCACGCAAACTTAACCACTCAGCCATGGGGCCAGCCCCATTACTGTAACTTTTTACTTTATAAACTTTTTAATTTTTTTTAACTTTTTGACTCTTTTGTAATAACACTTAGCTTAAAATACAAACACATTGTACAGCTGTGCAAAGATATTTTCTTTCTTTATATGCTTATTCTGTAAGATTTTTCCACTTAAAAAAATCTTTTTCTTCACTTTTTAAACTTTTTTGTTAAAGACTGACGCAAACACACATTAGCCTAGGCCTACACAGGTTCAGGATCATCAATCTCACTGTCTTCCACTTCCACATCTTGTCCCACTGGAAGGTCTTCAGGGGTAATAACATGCATGGAGCCATCTCCTATAACAATGCCTTCTTCTGGAACACCTCTTGAAGGACCTGACCTGCCTGAGGCTCTTCCTGAGGAGATGTCACTCTTCAGAAATATGTCCATTGTGGTTTGCTTGGTTTGTTTCCCTTTTTCACCATAGATTTGCTTGTAAGCAGATAATGCACCATGAACGTTCCTCTCTATTAATGAAAACCTTTCAGTGCTGGGGGGCCATGTTTTAAAACTTTTCAAGGAGCTTGTCGAGGTCTGAAAAAGCATCTGCTAAACCTTTCACTGGGAATTATCTTGGGGGGTTCTTCTTCTTTTTCTTCTCTTGCAGTTTCCTTTTCTCTTCTCTCTTCTTTAACTATGCGTTCCTGTTCCAGTTCCAACAACTCCTCATTAGTCGATTCCTCAGGAACCACCTTTAAGAGCTCCTCAATTCATCTTTATCCACACCCAGGTTTAAGTTGTCTGCCCTCTCAACCAGAGCCTTGTTGATTTTTGCAACATCCTCATCCTTGGCAAATCCTTTGAAGTCATGGCTGAACTTCTTGAGTGTCTTCTTCCAGAGGCCAATCATACACTCCTTAGTGACATTACTACAAACCCAAGCAACATTCTTGATGCAGTCAAGATGTTGTCATCCTTCCAGAATTGCATCAGTGTTTTCTCAGTGTCTTCCTCAGTTGCAGCAATAACCTGGGCAAAAGGTCCCCCTCAATTAGTAGGCCTTAAAAGTTGCTGTAACTCCCTGATCCATTGGTTGGGTCAAAGAGGTAGTGTTTAGAGGGAAAAATACCACTCTGATATTGGGATGAAGATCACCAATAAAAGGAGAATGCCTGGGAGCATTATCAACAATAAGCAAAATCTTGAAAGGTATGTTATTCTCCAAAGAGTACTTCTCCATTTCGCTGGCATAGCAATTCAGGAGGGCAACTTGGTAAAGGAGCTGAGTCATCCATGACTTCTTACTGCTCCTGTAGTACACTGGCAGTGGGTGCTTATTGATATGCTTGAAGGCCCAGGGTTCTCAGATCACAAAGGGTTTCAATTTGTAGCCTGCAACATTGCCCCCAAGCAAGACTGTTATCTTGTCCTTAAAAGCCTTGAAACCTGGCATTGCCTTGGCCTCCTTTTGGATGGAAGTCCTTTCAGGCATCTGTTTCCAGAATAGGGAGGTTTCATCCATATTGAGTGTGTGCACTGGCAAGTAATTTGCCTCCACAATCAGCTTATCTAGAGTTCCCAAAAATTCTTCAGCTGCCTTCACATCAGCACTCACAGACTCATCACTCACTTTCATATTATGCAATGAATAATGATTCTTGAATCCTTTAACCACCCAGAGCTAGTAGTCAATTTAACATTGTAGTGGGGTCCACTCTTTTATTTCAACATCGTAAACAACATTTTTGCTTTGACCATGATCGTCATGGTGCTGAGAGGGATATGCTTCTGTGTCTGGTCTTCATCGAGGTCATAAGAAGTTTCTCCATGTCTGCTATAGGCCCTTGTTAAACTTTTGTTTGTCTCATTGCCCTCAGTAAAGCATATCCTTTAACAGCTTCCATCACTTTGTTCTTGTTCTTTGAGCGTGTAGCTATGGTTGAATGGGACATGCCTGACTGGTGAGCAATAACCATCACTGATTTTCCACCTTTGCAGTCCTTAATCACTTTTAATTTTGTTTCCAGGTCAGGCACTCAACGTGGCCTCCTACTGGCAGCATTAGCAGTGGATTTTGTACTCTTAGGAGCCATGATGAACAAAATAACAAAATAACTTGAGATTAAATCAAGCATAAGAGAAAATGATGCGATCAAGAGAGAGTAAACATGAGATGTATGAAGTGCTGCCAGCATAACATGGCATAGTTCACAGTGAACTTTATCTTATAAGTAGAAAGAGTACACTCTAAAGTAATGATAAAAAATATAGTATAGTAAATATATAAAACAGTAACACAGTTGTTTGTCATCATTATCAAGTATTGTGTACTGTACATAATTATATGTGCTATATGTACGTGTATTGCCTATGATGTCACTAGGCAATAGGAATTTTTCAGCTCCATCATAATCTTATGGGACCACCATCATACATGCAGTCCGTTGTTGACCAAGATATGGTTATGTGGCACATGACTGTACTATATCCTTGAAAGTTGCTAAGAGAGTAGATCTTCAGTGTACTCATCACAGTATAGAAATGGTAATTATGTGAGGTGATGGACGTGTTGGCTAAAGCTATAGCGGTGATCATTTTTTTTTTTAAAGATTGGCACCCGAGCTAACAACTGTTGCCAATCTTCTTCTTTTTTTTTTTCTGCTTTATCTCCCCAAACCACCCCCCCAGTACATAGTTGTAAATCTTAGTTGCAGGTCCTTCTAGTTGTGGGATGTGGGATGCCGCCTCAACGTGGCCTGATGAGCGGTGCCATGTCTGCCCCCAGGATCCGAACCCTGGGCCGCTGCAGCGGAGTGGGCAAACTTAACCACTTGGCCACAGAGCTGGCCCCAGTGGTAATCATTTTGTAATGTATAAGGGTATCAAATCAGCACACTGCACACCTTAAACTTACGTGATGTTATATGTCAATTATATCTCAATAAAGCTGGGGCGTTAGAAATACCAGTACATTAGTACTTCTGAAAAGCACTAACTTTTGTACATAATATTTTCTCCTTTTGAGATTGATACTTGTGAAATTTGATTGCCATTTAGCAATTTACATTTGTAAAAGCATCTTATTTTAGCTAATTATTTTTTAATTGAACAATACCAATTTAATTCTGCTCTTTTATTTAAAATGCTCCTGCTCCTCCCTATCCCCCAACAATCATTGGTTTATTAGTAGCCTAACCTTAGGTTCCTTCTAGATTATGTTGTTTAACGAAAATGCTGAATCATTCTCATGTTTGAGTATTTGTGCATCTAATATATTATATATACTATATTCCTCCAGAGTCTATCCAGTTAGCAAAACAAGCAAAATTTTGAATTATTAAGGGCTGAATACAATATTTTCTTTCTGTTGTGGAAAACAACACAAAATAAGACTCCAACTGACTGAGACCTAAGGGATTAGGATTGAGTAAATGGTAGGTACATCCCATTAGATGAACGCTTACCTTATACACTTTTTTCATCACTTCTAGAAGAGCTTTAACACTGCAGTGAGTCTGACTGGTTTCAACCCAACAATGTATTTGACAGATGATGGCAGTTTTAAGCATCTGGACCAGTGTGTTGAGAGAAGATTCTTGCAAAGATGCCCAACACTGCTCTGAGGGGTGTAAAATCAGCCATGATAAATATGCACCCCCCACAAAAATCCCTCAGTTTCTACTGGGTTCTTTAACTTAAGAAGTAGATCATATTTTTCATTTCTGATAGCATAACCCATAAAATGTCTTTTCCACAGATATCATCCTGAACAACACTTATTACTCACATGTGGAAAAAAAAATTTTTCCCTTATTAAGTATCATTGGAATTAAAAGCTCAAATTCAGGACTCTGAAGAAATTTGTTGATAGTTCATATTTATGCTTGATTACTTGATTGATTTCATGATTTTCAAACTCAAAATTCTACAGGGTATCTATAAAGTCGGAAAACATACGTAGGTGAATACTCACACAACATAATGTCATCAGGGACATTTTCAATCTGTAAAAAGTAAAATATTATCTATGTTTTCAGACTTTATGAACACCTATTATGCATATATTTTTAAATTAGCTCAATAACAATATTTTAATGTTACTGAGGTTACAACCTGGATTTTTGTACCTTTAAAGGACAATTCTCAGAAAATAAACCTATCAAATGTTAAAATACATTATCAAGCTAATATAATTAAAATAGTATGACCCAAATGCATGAAAGGCAAATCAGTGTAGCAGAGATTCCATAAGTGGACCCAGATACAAATGAGACTTTAGTATATGATAAAGGTGGCATTGCATATTAGCGGGAATGAAACAGATCATTCAGTAAATATGTGGGGACAACTGGAAACTGATCCAGAAAAAAAGGAACTTTAATCAAGATAAAGTCCATATGGAGCAAAGATTTAAACATAAAAATGAAACAATAAAAATTCTAGTAGGAGCATGGGAAATTTTTTTTTTTTGAGGAAGATTAGCCCTGAGCTAACATCTGCTGCCAGAGGAAAACTGGTTCTCAGCTAACATCCGTGCCCATCTTCCTCTGCTTTATATGTGGGATGCCTACCACAGCATAGCTTGCCAAATGATGCCATGTCAGGACCCAGGATCCGAACCAGCGAACTCTAGGCCACGAAAGCGGTGAACCCTGGGCCGCCAAAGTGGAACATGCAAACTTAACTGCTGCGCCACTGGGCCAGCCCTGGAAATTGTTTTTTTAATTTCAGAGTGAGGTAGATGTTTTGAAGTATGACCCAAACTCAGAAACCATGAAAGAAAATGTTAATATAGTAGGTTGCATAAAAATGTTTAAAAATAATTATGCATGATAAAAATACCACAAAGTAAAAAAAAAAAAATAACCTAAAGAAAATATTTGCAACTCATATTATACATAAAGGATTAATTGCCTCAATAGTTGAAAAGTTCCTAAATAAAAAAGAGAAATACTAACAACAAATGGAAAAATGGTAAGAGGGAAGAACTCATAGTTCCCAGAATATGGTATATGAACGGAACTGAGATATAGGCAAAACAACACAACCTCATTCATAATGAGAAAATTCGAATTCAAATTAAGAGATTCTTTTTTCAGAATGACAAAACCCAAAGTTTGATAATAATGTAGAAAAGTGTGTGGGCTGATGCTCTCATATTTGTTGATGAAGTGTAAACGGGTTCATCCTCTGTCAGGGTTGCCATGTTGCCCAACCCCAGGTGTGCAATTTACTTATATAGTGAAAATGGTGACCACTTAAAGTTGAGCAACCTGGTGGCCTTGACTTCTGCGGAGGGTCGTTTGGCAAAATCTCTCAAAATTTTAAATGCAGATATAATTTGACCCAGTAGTTTTGCTGTCTGGAATTTTTCCTGTGTGTGAAAATATATACATGTACAAAGAAATGCATGTTAGCACTGTTATAATAACAAAAGTTTAGAAACAACTATTTGTAGTATATCCTCCCAATAGAATGCTATTCAGCCATTAAATGAAATGAGGCAATTCTAGCGGTCCTATAACAGAATGATCTCCATGATATACTTTTTTTTTAAAGATTTTATTTTTCCTTTTTCTCCCCAAAGCCCCCTGGTACATAGTTGTGTATTTTTAGTTGTGGGTCCTTCTAGCTGTGGCATGTGGGATGCTGCCTCAGCATGGCGTGATGAGCAGTGCCATGTCCATGCCCAGGATTCGAACAGCTGGAACCTTGGGCCGCCGCACCGGAGCATGCAAACTTAACCACTCGGCCACGGGGCCAGCCCCACCATGATATACTTTTAGTGGGAAAAGCAAGTTACCAAAGAATGTGAATGGTATGCTATCATTAAAAAAAAAAAAAGAGGGGGCCAGCCCTGTGGCCGAATGGTTCAAGTTCCATGTGCTCCACTTCGGCAGCCCAGGTTCACAGGTTCGGATCCCGGGTACAGACCTACTCCACTCATCAGCCATGCTGTGGAGGCATCCCACGTACAAAATAGAGGAGGACTGGCACGGATGTTAGCTCAGGGTGAATCTTCCTCAACAAAAAATAAATAAATAAAGATCATTAAAAAAACCCAGAAAGAATGCATTTCTATATGTTTTTATATATTTGGTATATCTTTCAAAGGTTACACAAGGAACTCTATTCTGTAACTGCTTTCTGGGAGGGGAACTGGATGGCTTCTATTTCACTATATATATATATCCTTTGTCCCTTTTAAGCTTTGGATGTTGAACATTAGCTTAAAATTGTAAAGGACATGCCACAGTATTGAATAAAATAAAAAACAAGAACACAAGGTTTAACTGTTTTTTTCCATCACTTCTGGTCAAAACATCTGAAGTTTTAAAAGAACATGAGCAAAAAGTTTTAAAGTATGGATTTATCTTGACTGGATCCTCTATAGTTATTAAACTCTGATGTCAAAGCTATGTCCAAGTCTAAGAATTACACATGCTTTGTATGATAAGAGTAATGATTATAATAGCTTTAGGTTAATCTTTGCAATAATTCACATGCCACTTACTCAAACATTTGTGTACTTTGAAATCTTCTATCCACAATTTGCCACAACTTCTACTTCAGACAGTGACTCTGTTGAGAGTCCAAAGTGACAAAAAAGTAATCAAACTTACTCAGGACTCGTAAAGACTGGTGATTCATATTACAAACAGCCTCTGCAAATGGCACCACCAGAATCGCCCAGTTCCTAGAATCATGCATCACAGGACATTCTGGGAGAAGAAGGAAAACTGATAACGCTTCTTGGTGTGGAGAACGATACGGAAGAGCTCTGAGAAGATTATCCCTGAGACATGTAGTTACCTGCCGTTGAAACAAGATCAGGGAAAGGCTCAGGATATATCAGATACAGAGTCATTGTGAGGAACAAGCTGTGGGGTTTCATTCCACCGTGTTCCAATTGGAATAATCATTTAGTTTTCCTGAAACCTACTGTTCAAACTCCATCACTCCTTGCATCCCAAATGCCCCTGAAGTATTATGTGAGAGCCATTCTCCCTATTTTATGCTGAGGGGCAGGAAGGAAATAAAAGTGAAATCACATGAGCACGGACGCACTGAGTGAATCATGGAGGTTGCTCAATGAGAAGGATCCGTCCCCGGATCTATCTGACCTAAAGTCTACCATGGCAGAGGCAATGCCGTATGTTCACCTCACCAATCCCGTTTCCTCTTCCTCCTGGGCTCCTAGGAAGATGGCATTCCCAGCCTCCCCTGCAGTGAGGTGGAGCCATGTGACTGAGTTCCAGCTAACGGCATGTGAGTGAAGGTGACGTATGACACTTCCGGGCATGACCCTAGAACCTCTCATGGGATCTTCTATACTCTCTTTCCTCATTTCCCAAACACAAAAGATCCACTGGAGGATTTCATGGCTCCAGGGTGTAGCGTTCCAGAAAGAAGGAGGGTGAGTCACTCCTGAATGAAGCTGTGCAGAGGTGGGAAGGGTGATATAACATGCCCCCCAAACAGGCCACTCTGGCAGGAGGATGGTTTTGAGCTAAGGCACGTATGACAAAGCAGACGTGGAAGGAGCTCTCTGGCCTCCCCTTGTCTACCTGAAAACAGAACATAAATTCCCCTTGTGAAGGGGTCCTTCTGCCCCCAACTTCCTGTACCAGGAAGGGGATATCAACCTTATTAGCAGAGATGAGCCGGCACTGAGAAAGAGTCTACACAAACAAACCTTACTAACTAGCCCTTATCTACCAGTAGTTTCTCCATATATTTGCCTTCCCACAATTTGCCACCCCAGAAGCTCAAAGTCCTTTTCCTTTGTCGTCTTACTTATCTAGCAAATTATTGTTCTTTGCTTAAGATGCTATATAAGCCCAAATTCTAACCACCCTTTAAGTCACTCATCACTACGTACTTCCATTTATATGTGGGAAGAACATGTTAGTAAACTTCTGTTTTTCTCTTGTTAGTCTGTCTTTTCTCAGTGTAATTAAATGAATTACAATGAAACTAAAATGGGTAGAGGAAAAATAATTTTTTTCCTTCCCTACAGGTGCCCCCTATCTCAACTCTCATTGGACTATGATGTGAGAAGAAGCCTTTGTTGTGTTAAGCCACCGAGATTTGCAAGCTGTTTGTTACAACAGCTTATGTTGGAGGAGGCAATCAAGAGGATGTGACCATGGTTGGCCCTCAAGCTGAATCCTGGCACGGCACTCGGGGGCTCCTTACCCCTCCTCTTTCCTTGGAATGTACGCTCTGCCCACTGTTCCCACAGTGGGAACTGTTCCAAAGACACAGCCTGGAGAGGGTAGGGTGTGGCTGAGACCATGTGGATTGTGTACGTGACTAAACCCAGTTCAGGCCTCCCTGTAAGCTTTTAAGATTTTGGTGGGCAGGTACGGAGATATACTCATCTTGCAGCTGCCCAAGACAAGCCTCGTTTGTAAGTTCCCTTGCTTTTAAACCCACCACCTGCCAATCTGGAGTGGTCTGCCTCTTTCTTTGGTCTCTCCTTACCCTCCGTGTCTGGGGTCCAGCTTGTGAACCAACAACTTATTTATTCTAATAGATCTCAGTTACTCCTAACTACAGTATCTGCCTCTACATGTCATAAGGGGTAAGAAAGATGATCTATATAACAGTCAACTGTGAAGTACTGTAGATTATTATTAGGACATTAATCTTCCTACAATTTATGTTTCATATGTCCAGAAGAACGTGATTTCTGTGGAATGTAGGTGTATATGGGAAAACAGTGTCACAAAGTCAAATAACTGAGAAAAAGAGGGTCAAAAAAGCTAGATTTCTTTTGGTGTATGACATCACAGAATCTTTGATTTAATAATATGCATCATGACTCCATAATAATATGCAGTGTTCCCAAAGTTGTTTGCTAAGAACCCTTTGTCCTGGAGCCTTCTGTGAAACTAAATGTTCCTTGGAACTCAGAGTGGGAATAGCACTCCTAGGTATCTCCCATATCAGCTATATAAATTTATTTAAAAAATATAATGGTAATATTTACTATTCTTCTTCATCTTGAAAGTAAAAATATAGTAGCTACTGCATATTAAGGAACACTCTCCCCCTTTCCCTCCCAAATGTAGAGACCCAAATTGTATAAAGATGACTTTAAACTGAAGACATCTGAGATACAGCTGATGCATAAAGACGTCTTCAGGGTCCCCCCATCTGACTAAAGGCAGGGCCTTCCGAGAGGGAGGCAGCTACAGATGCCCTCTGGGTGGGGGAGCCTCACTGCCGGGAAGAAGGCCGGCCACTTCCAGTTGGATGAGAAATTGCATAGACAAACACGATCACAAGCTATCATATGTTCCATTTGTCCCTCTAAAAGCCCACTGTCTCCCAAAAAAGGCCATTTGTTTTCCCACAGAAGCCCTCTCGCCTCCCTCCCTTTTCTCTATTAAGTTGGGCTCCATACCCTCATCCCCAGCTGTTCAGGGAGCCCTTTCATCTGAATGCTCCTGTGTGCATGTGAATAAAACTTGTTTTCTTTTCTTCTGTTAATCTGTCTACTGTTAATTCGAACGCCCCCAAACACAGGAACCTAAATTGCTAGAGGGTAAGATTTCCTCCCAACACAACCCAGGATCACAAAACATTAAACTAGAATAGACCGTAAAGATGAACTCAACTTACAGGTAAAGAAAATGTGACCCAAACAGGGTAAGGGAGGAGCAAATTCATCTCAAAATAGAGAATGGGCTTTTCAGGCTCCCTTTTCATAGGTTCTTTACCTCTCAAGCATTGGTTTTCTCACATTAAAAATAAAAATATATCTACTGTACACTTAAGCATTCAATAAGAAATGCCAGCACCTAGTAGCGTCTGGAATATAGTGACCGCATAATAAACACTAGTCCCCTCCCCTATCATTCTTCCCTCTCAGTCAGCTCCCAACAAAATTAAACTGCAACCATATTGGTTCCTGTAAAGAAATTCTATTGTGCTGTTTCTCAAGTAAATATTGGCTATTACCATGAGAGAAATCCATTCCTTTTTTGTTAACTTCTTGAAGGTATCTCTTGCCATTTCTAAGTCCACATCAATGGAAATCGTTTCTCCAGATTCTCTTTGGATACAAGAAATGCAAAAAAAAAAACACATAAACAGATGGAAAGGAATATTTCTAAACTTCCTATATCATGAAGTATTGTTTTATTTTATACTACATATCAGATATAAACTTTTTCCTTACAGCTTGCCTCCTTTCAAAATAATTTACTTGGCACAAAAAAAATTATGAAATTTATGTTCTCCTAAAAGAGAGTAGTTAATCATTTATTATCTCTACAGTAGGTACAGCAAGTTTGGGCTGCAGTAATAGCAAAATTCTACATTCTGCGTCTGAGTACAGAAACAATTTATCCCCATGCTCAGCCTGCACACTGAGAACTGAAACTACCCTCCCCCTACATACCTTACCATCTACATTTCCATTACTTTGGGATTCCACTGTTTTAGCATGACTTTACTCTTCCCAAAGTCTCTTGCTCAGGCAAATGGCTTGATAATTCTTTATAGGAACATCCCAAAAAGACTCATTAATTCTTCAATAGAAGGCATCAAGACAGTTTATACCCTAAAATCTTTGAATCTCGTCTCAAAATCCTCACCTTGCTGTTTCCATCCATTCTGGATCATTGTATCTGTCTCCAATCCCAATCAAGCCTCAAACCCTCCCCCAGACTCTGCGCCCCCCTGGCCTTCGCCCTCAGAAATATTACCAAAGCTTTGTCTAGGTGTGGCCTTTCCCTGGGTTGTGTTGGTAATACTTGAGGAGCCTGCATTCTGCTGAACAAATTCTTTTTCTTTTTTGAGGAAGATTAGCCCTGAGCTAACATCTACCACCAATCCTCCTCTTTTTGCTGAGGAAGATTGGCCCTGAGCTAACATCTGTGCCCATCTTCCTCCACTTTATATGTGGGCCGCCTGCCATAGCATGGCTTGACAAGTGGTGCGTAGGTCCACACCAGGGATCCAAACCGGCAAACCCTGGGCCACCAAAGCAGAGCACATGAACTTAACTGCTGTGCCACTGGGTTGGCCCCTGAAGAAATATTTTATGTTTGCTGGATTAACTGATCTATTTTAATATGAGAGTTAAAACAGTTGTGCATGTACTAAAACAGAGTACTATTGTAAATTTCCCTTTAAAATATATTCTCCTTTGCAGCCTTTGACATCTTAAGATCAAACCTTTAGGTTCATCACTCCTGGGAGCGGGGCATGGATACTTTCCCACTTTAGAAAGACAATATCTTGACGTAGAAAAGATTCTCCTGTATGTGGTAAGGATAAGGATTAGCCTGAGGCCAGGGGGGGAAGAAAGAGGATACACTGTGTGGAAGAGTCCCTCCTTTCCAGCCTGGAAGGACGGACAGCAAGAAGAGGAAGGCAAATGGGAGAGAAAGCAGGCAGAGGGAAGCAAAGCCCTGATTTCTCCTCTCCTGCCTTTGGCTGGGATATGTACCAATGAATAGGGATGCTTTGGGGGCTCTAGAAAGATACTGTCTCATGAGCCACCAGGGGGAAGCCGTGACATTTAGCTTCCCTGGGCTTCTCTGGCTCCCAGCGAAGTTGCTGGACCCAGCAGTTCTTCCAGTCCCCGGGAGGGGTGACCGAACATGCAGCTGTGTTAAGAACCAAAGGGACTGACAACTGGGCTTTATGTAGGGACAAGGAATACCTGCAGTAGGGTTAAGAGAGTACCACCCAGCGGCCAGGAGGGGATCTAAGATGTGTCCAACTATCTTCTGAACCAGTGAGCCAACTTGAGGCCAAGTCAACAGGGAGGGATAGGACCCGACCTGGCGAAGGAGGACCGGAATGAGCTCCATCAGCTGCAGACACACCAGCAGGCGCTGGCCTCCAGAGCAGGCAGAGGCAGCCTGAGGGCACCTTTATGCTGCTATCCCCCCTCCCCTCCCTTATATCCTGTTTAATTAATTAAATAAGAGGCCATCACACTGACGTGGCTCTACTGCCATGGTGGCCTACGCAAGCCAACCAAAAGCGAAGCCTGGAACTACCTCAGAGTTAGAAAACTGAAATCTGAGGACAACCCATCACAAACAGCCAACTAGGCTTTCAGCTACAGTCAAATAATTTGCTTTCTTTGTTCCTGCACCTTCTCTCTCTGTCCTCCCCTGGCTCTGTGGGAGGAGCACTCCTAACGCTTCCGATGTGGTGCTGCATGATTCGAATCGATGTTTGCTCAAGCTCTTAACATTTGAAATATGCCTCACTTTATCTCTTAACAGTTCCCAGGCACAGTATTGCAGAGCATAGAGGGAGGGGAAGAAATAGAAGACCAAACGTTGAGCGTTTCACAAAGGAATTGTTTAAACTACTGGATCAGACCAAGTGTCAAACCAAACAGAAAAGTTAGATTTTCCTCTGCAGTAGTAAGACTAAAGATAAAATAAATAGGATGTATTTTCCTTATTGATCTCGCCAGAGTAAGAACTGCCAAGTGCAGTCTTGGCCTCTGAGGACTGGAGCCATGTTAGAATGAACTGATCACTCGCAGATACAAAGATCCCGAAGAAACGCTGTTCCTGCCAGTCAGATAACAGAGAAGGGCAGGCCGAGGAAGTGAACCATGTAAACGAGAAATGACAACTTACAGTGCTCTAAGAGAAAATTACACAATGGAAGAATTCTATCACAACCTATGGAGTGTTCTGTGTTGGATTTTTGATTCATAGATAACAAAATTCACAAATTAAAATGACTGACTCAAAACATTTGATTTTAAATATTCCCCAGTGTTTTAGGAGGTCAAGCTCATGTAAATATTACCTTTTCTTCAAAAAACTTGCAGTCAGACAAGCAGGTGATGAAAATATCAGGCTAATTTCACTGCAAAAGTAATAACATAGGGTTAAGTCGCAACATACTATAAAGCATGGTTCCTTGTATCTTATGTCTGAATATACAACTGATGACATGGAATCATTATTATTGAACATAACTACGCACCTAAGAGTCTTCTAAATTCGGGGTATACCTTGTGCATGTTACCGCTAAATCTCTTCATAAGGATTTGATCAAGTCATCTAGATTTAAATAAAACACAACTTTCTGAAAACAGAAGCTGATGAAGCTCCAAAGAATGAACTCTGAAGATATAAAAGCAGTCCGCCTTAGTGAAGGCTTTGATTCACTTCACCTAGCAAGGTGGCTGGGAGAGTGCCCGTGCTTGTATACCTCTGTGAAGTAAACGCTGAGCGAATGAGCACAGCAATGACTTCCTTCAACTCAGAGGTGGTGGGAGCAAATCATGGGTAAAATGCAAATACCTTCACAGCAAAGCCAAACCCTCTTTTTTGTTTTTTTCTTTTTTTGAGGAAGATTAGCCCTAAGCTAACTGCTGCCAATCCTCCTCTTTTTCCTGAGGAAGACTGGCCCTGAGGTAACATCTGTGCCCATCTTCCTCTGCTTTCTGTGTACAAGCAGTGCCATGTCTGCACCCAGAATCTGAACCGGCAAACCCCAGGCCACCAAAGTAGAACATGCGCACTTAACCGCTGAGCCACCCGGCCGGCCCCAAACCCTCTTTTTAATGTCTAAGATAAAACAACCGAGGCTTCAGAATAAATAGAAGTGGTTTATAATTTATCAGACAGAGCCACCTCTTAGCCACTTCATGTTCAGTGCTTCCTATTGTCACTGCCATCCATTTCTCTGTCAGGGACTGGTTCATTCGGCTTATTTCTGGCAGGGTTTTCTTGGAAACGCTTGAGGAGCTGGCATCCTTCAAGGAGGGAAAAAAGAAAAAGAACAATCAAGAAAACAAAACACACACGCATGCTGAGTGATAAATAACACAGTAAAGCTGGGGCACAGCAGGTGGACAGGCCCCGCCCTCTCGGACAGTGTGCTTTGCTGGAGCTTCGGCGTCAGGCTGGCCTGGCATCCCAACTCCTGGCCTTGACTGCTTTGCTTGGTCTGAGCCTTAGTTTTACCATTTAAAAAACAGGATAACACAAAACAACTGAAAACAAGGACTCAAACAGATACCTGTACGCCAATATTCATTTCAGTATCCCTCACAATAGCCAAAAAGATGGAAATAACCTGTGTCCACCAACAGCATCCACAGATGAATGTGGTATATACATACAATGGAATATTATTCAGCCATAAAAAGGAAGGAAATTCTGATATATGCAGCAATATGGATGAACTTTGAAAACATTAGGCTAAGTGAAATAAGCCAGATACAAAAGGACAAATATTGCATGATTCCACTTATATGAAATAGGCAAATTCATAGTCAGAAAGTAGATTGGAGGTTACCTGGAGCTGGGGGTAGGGGGATGGGGAGTTATTATTTAATGGTTACAGAGTTTCTTTTTGGGGTGATGCAAAGATTTTGGAGATGGATAGTGTTGATGGTTGCATAACATTGTGAATGCAATTCGTGCTACTAAACTGTACACTTAAAAAATGGTTAAAATAGCAAATTTTATGTTACATATATATTTTACCACTATTAAAAAAATGAGATAATACCTACCTCAGTGGGCTCTTGTTAAGATTAAATGATATTAGGTAAACAAACCTATGGATTCGAGTAGGTGCTCAATAACTATTAGTTTCCTTCTCCCCTTTAATCACCCACAGACTTCTACTTTTCTATCAGTGGTTCTTAACTTTGGCATGCATCCGAATCACCTGGTGGTCTTGCTAGAGCATAGATTGCTGGGCCCATCCCCACAGTTTCTGATTCAATAGGTCAGGGGTGGAGCTCAACACTTTGCATCTAGCAAAGTCCCAGGTGATGCTGACGCTGCTGGTTTGGGGAGCATACTTTGAGAACCCTGGTGTCTACTGAAACTAAATGGCTCAGCCAGAGATGTCGGAAATCACCGTGTAGAAAGAAAAATCTGTCTTTAATATAGTCTTCTGAAGACCTTAGTGCTCTGCTGCACATTATACCTATGCCTCCACTCAACTTGTTCTGTGTCAGGAAATTCTGCATCACTTTTGTTCATTGCTTAAATAAAGGGCTCTTGAAAAAGATGTGTAACCATGACTCCTAAAGTTCCCTTCAGCTTCTTGTTCTGAGTCCTGAGTGTCCCCTGTAGTTCAGTCCTGAGGAAGCTTTTCTTCCTCCTCCATTCAAGGAAACTTAGAACAATGAGGTGCTCCCTACTGGCACCTACATACCATTTCTTCCACTTTCTTCTTCAAAATCCCAGCTCCTCTGAAGGGCATGACATCAGACGTTATCATCTGCCTCCTCTTCTTCTACAGTCATCTCCCAATGTCCTAGTCACCACCCTCAATCATTGAAAACTTGAGCATCTTGCTGACTGTCTTCCTCAAGCACCACCATGCCTGTCATTGTTCCTGTCATTCTTGGCAACTTCAGAATTGATGAACACAATCTATCTCCCACTTGGGTCTCTCAATTCTTGATCATATCTCCACTCTTTTCCTCTGCTCCACCTCAGCCACTGATGCCCTGGATCAGGGATTCTAAACTGACACTATTGACATTTTGGGTCAGAAAATTTTTTGTTGTGAGGGGCTGTTTTGTGCATTGTAGGATGTTCAGCAGCATCCCTGGCCTCTACTCATTAGATGGCAGTAGCTGCCACCCCAACACACACACCGCCCTCCCATTATGACAGCCTAAAATGTCTCCAGACATTGCCAAATGTTTCCTGGGGGGCAAAACCACTGCTGGTTGAAAGCCAGTGCCCTAGATACAGATGATACCTGTACTTGATAACCATCAATAATTGTTCCACCTTCTAAATTTCTGTTGGAAACATTCTCCTCTCTGATCATCATATACCATCTTTCTGATTTACTTACTTTAGAGTGGAACCCTCAGTCCAACATTCTTTGATGCTGGAACAAGTTACGACTTTTGAGACTGTTGGGATGCAATGAATGTGTTTTGCATGCAAGAAAGGCATGAACTGCGTGGGGGCGGGGCCGCAGGGGCAGAATCTTATGGTCTTTGTGTTCCCCTAAAATTCATGTTGAAACCTAACCCCCAATGCGATGATATTAGGAGGTGGGGCCTTTGGGAGCTGACTGAGTCATGAGGATGGAGCCTCCATGAACGGCATTAATGCCCTTATAAGAGACCCCAGAGAGAGCTCTTGCTCCTTCTACCCTGTCAGGGCATAGCGAGAAGACAACCATCCATAAACCAGGAAACGGTCGGTCCCTCACCAGACATCCAATGTGCCAGCGCCTTGATCCTGGACTTCCCAGCCTCCAGAACAGAGAGAAATAAATTTCTGTTGTTTATAAACCATCGAGTCTACACTTTTGTTATAGCAGCCCAAACAGGCTAAGACACTTATTTTAGAGTGGAACCCAGTCCAGCATTCTCTGAGGCCTGAGCTCTCCAATCCATTGACTCGATTGTTCACTGTCCATCACCCTTCTCCTGTCTCCCTGACCCCGCTTAGATTCCATGGTCAGCACTATAATCAGTCCTTTGCAAGCACCTCTAACTCTTCTGTCCCTTTCCTATTGTACTTACCTAGCAGAAGTCCATCTGTGGTTAAACTCAACTCTGATTAGTCCATGATGCAATCCAAACAGCTTAACATCACTGGAGAAAATCATCCAACTGTGCTGACTGATTTCACTTTACCTCTACGACCACAAATTTCAAACGTGCCTTCGAGACTGTTTAGTAACTTCCCATGACATTTGCTTTCTCCTTCTCTGAGACAACTATTGTACGCCTTCCTTTTATTCCCAAACCTGTAACACTCCTCTTCCACTTCACTCACTCGCCGATGGGGAGCAACCAGGCAGGAACTAATCACCTTCCGCCATCCACCTCCCCTTACCTGCCCTCTTCCTTATTGGAACGGAATACATATTTCTGCTCAAACGCCTCCATTCTGCATTGGATCCTGCTCTGCTCTCCTATCTGGGACATTGCTTCTGCAATTAATGGCTCTTTCTCATGCAGCACCTATTTCTCCGTCTGAACTGGATGATTCTCACCAGCATACAAACATACTTACTATCACCTCTCTAAACAACAGCAAAACCCTCCCATAGCTCACAACAAAGCTTCTCAGAACCATCACAGTCATTGTCTCCACTTGCTCCCCTCTTATTCTGGGTCTACCCTACTCAGTCCAGTTTCATTCTTTCTCCCCAAAGATGATGCAATCTTAAGAAAGCAAAAACAAACTCTGTTCCTCTTACTTGACCTTTCAGTGCAAGGTGACAGAGCTGGCCAACTTCCTCCTTCTAGAAATACTTTCTTCTCTTGTTGTGATGAGCCACCCTCTCCTAACTTCCCCCTACCTCAGAGACTGGTCCTTCTCAGTCTCTTCTTCTGGCTCCTCCTCACTGCCTGACCTCTAAATGGGGAAGTCCCCAAGGCTGGATTTTGGCCCCCTTCTCATTTTTACTGTCTCTCTGGGTGACCTTTCATCCAGGCCCCTGGATCTAAATACCATCTACAGCTTGATAATTACCATGTTTCTATTCTGGTGCTGACGTCCTCCCTGAGCTCCAGATTCAGACATCCAACTAAGACTCTGAGGACATTTCAAGCTGACCCATCTCACATAACTGACCCCACCTCCCATTCCTGACTCCATCGCATATAACTCTTCACCCTTTTCTACCCAGCTCCGCCTGACTCGCCCTCTTTCTGTCCCTCGCACAAGCTAAACTTATTCTCGCCCCAGGGCCCTTCTATGTGCAGTTCCCACTACCTGAAATGCTCTTTCCCTGGATCTAGGCATGGCTAAGATGTCTGCTCCAATGTCACGGCCTCTGCCAGGCCTTCCCTCACTGACATTTCTAAAGAAGCCCACCTCAGCAGTCTCAAATGACACGTTTTGTATTCTTCAGAGCACTTGTCACTCTCTAACACAATCTTATTTATTCTGCATTTACATGTTTATTGTCTGTCCTTCCCCGCAGAACCCAAAGGCCATGAATGAGGGCAACCTTGTGGGTACTGTTCACTGTTAGCCCAAGCACGAGGGCAGAGCCTGAGACCCGGGAGGCCTCTGTTGACTGGCTGACTGAACGGCTATTACAGAGCAGCCAACTACATTCTCCTGACTATCCCCAGCACGGAAACCATTCCTCTGACCACTTTCCGTCCCAGAGAATACAGTAAGAGTCTATATGAGCGTCAAGTTTAAAACATTCCTGATAACAGAAAAAAGTACAAATTAGGAAAATAAGTATGCTTTTGTGTCCATGGCTACTGGTGTAAGCTTTGGGGCTAGACTGCCTAGGTTTGAATCCAGCTCTGCCACTTCTTAGCGGTGCAACTCTGGGGAAGTCCACCTTTCTCAGACTCAGTTGTTTCATCTGTAAAATGGGGGAAGCAATACCATCTGGAGTTGATATGAGGATTAAACATGTGGATGCATCTGGTGTACTTTGGTGCCTAACGCCTGATGACTATAATTGACATTGGTCATTACTGTTATCATCATTAATATTATTTAATAATAAAAAGTTACTGTAAAAGCAATGAATTTGGATTTTGGGTCTCATGTGCTAGGAAGCCAAATGAGGAAATGAGAATTGCAAAAAATTTTTAAAAAGCATTCTAGAGCCAGCCCTGATGGCCCAGTGGTTACAGTTTGGCACTCTCACGGCTTGGGCGGCCCAGGTTTGTTTCCCAGTTGTGGAACCAAACCACTCATCTGTCAGTAGCCATGCTGTGGCGGCAGCTCACATAGAACGTACTGGGGGACTTTGGGGAGAATAAATAAATAAATAAATAAAAAGCATTCTAACAGAGGATCTTATTATTTTAGTAAGAAATTTGATGACATATGAATGATACAAAGTTTCAAATACTGTTCTGAAATCTAGAGGAAGAAAAGTATTTTTAAAAGAAAGAGAAAGTATAATGGATACCTGAGAAGTTGTCACAAAGTTGGCATACGTTCCAGCAAAAATGTGTTTGACTTGAACATCCACAAGGTCTAAAAGAAAGTCATAAATCCATGCTTATGGTTTTTAGATGTAAAAAATATATCTTTTGTTATAAACCTAAAACTGCTCTAAAAAATAGTCTTTAAAAAAATCTGGTGTATTACCAAGCTAAATTTACTTATTTATTTGCAATTTATATTCTTCTCAACAGATTTTGACTACAAACAGCATAAAAGATTAATTTTGTGATATATTCATTTAGCTGAAAATTTAATTTTTCACGCACTTGCATAATGAAGCCAGGCTGCTGTGCTTTAGAAGAGGTTTGATTAAATACATAAAAGTGCATCATTCTGATGCTTAAGTAACCTATTTGGGATCTTCTTTTGTATGACCTCAGTCTTTAGAAACGATTACTAAATACTCTAGGGATCACTGCAAAAGAAAAAATGCATATTATACAAATTAAAAGTAACAGTCCTACGAATGGATAAAGAAGATGTGGTATTTATACATGATGGACTACTACTCAGCCGTAAGAAATGACGAAATCCAGCCATTTGTGACAACATGGATGGACCTTGAGGGTATTATGCTGAGTGAAATAAGTCAGAGGGAGAAAGTCAAATACCATATGATCTCATTCATAAGTAGAAGATAAAAACGACAAAAAAAAAACCACATAGCATTGGAGATTGGACTGGTGGTTACCATTGGGGAAGGGGGGAGGGCAAAAGGGGTGATTAGGGTCACATGTGAGGGGATGCACTATAATTAGTGTTCGGGTGGTGAACATGATGTAATGTATCCAGAATTTGAAATATGATGTACATCCGAAAAAAATAAAAATTAAAAAAAAAAATAAAAGTAACAATCCTAGAAGAACCCCAGTTCTAAGTACTCCTTTGAAAGGAAGCTGAATAATATTTCTCCTCCACTGGCATCAATTAACACAAAATCGTGAAATTGGGGGACCACTCATACCCTCAGCAGAGAGCAGGCAGCTGATGTCAAAGTTCTCTATTTGGGCCTCCGGGTGAGTGGAGCTGCTTCTGCAACTTGGTCCACGACCAAAAGACACCACCTGACCAGTGGTGTAGACATATGCAAGGGTGTGATAACTGCAAAGAGAGAACACACTATAATGAAGACCAGGGTCATCATGCTTTTTGAAGAAGATGATGTTTCTTAACACAAAACAACAGGTTTATCTTACACTAAGCATGCAGATCCCTGATCACAATGTCAGGGTTAGAGGCCACCAAACGATGTGGCTAAACAAATGGGAGGTAAGTATTAACTCATTACTAACCTTAAATATAGAATCTTATTGATGGGTCTTTACTATGGTTTCTATGCTTTGTGTTTTAAATGCAAGTACTTTTTTTGAGTTGGATAGATGATACTCAAAGTAGCCTCATAATTGCCTTATGAAAAAGTCTGAATATAAATGCAAACATATCTCACCTTCTACAAGCATGAGATTGATTTTGTTTTATCAACTCAAGTGGATAAGCACCATTATTTTTGTTAAAAACTCACCACCCGCCCCCATACCTAGTAAGGCGTCTATACACAGTAAACTTCCAATAAATTCTTATTAAATAAATAAAATGCCCAGGATAAAGAAAAAGTTGGAAAAATTAAACTATATTATTTGAAAGAAGTAAATTTTCAGAAAGGAAAATGATCTATAAAAAGAAAAGTCACATATTTGAGGGTTTTAAGGTGTGATAACATTTCATATGAGTCCGTTCTGAGTAATAAAATATAACACTTTCTACTCATGCTAAAAAACATTAATAAAGCCTATTACCTTCCACAATCTATCTGTGAAACTAGGCCATCAATTCTTTCCACGAGCTGTGGGCCTCTGTCCTGCGCACTGGGGCTGTGTCCCAGCTGTCCACAGCTGTTGTCTCCAAATGTGAACACTTTCCCATTCTGTTTAAAAAAGGAGGAATCAGACTAATTTCAGGTCAGAAAATGTAACTAAAAGTTAAAGATTGGGCCAGCCCTGTGGCAGAGTGGTTGGGTTGGCAAGCTCTGCTTCGGTGGCCCAGGGTTTTGCTGGTTCAGATCCTGGGCACGGACATGGCACCACTCATCAGGCCATGCTGAGGCAGCATCCCACATGCCACAACTAGAAGCACCCACAACTGGAATATACAACTGTGTACTGGGGGGCTTTAAAGAGAAGGAAAAAAAAAGAGATTGGCAACAGATGTTAACTCAGGTGCCAATCTTTTAAAACAAACAAACAAACAAAAAGACCCTTAAAGATTAAGTATCATAAGAGTTATATGTGAGCACTAAGCAAAATATAAGCTTTATATAAAGAGGAGGGGGTCTTATAGTTATTTCTAATAGTAAATGTAAAGTTAACACATTAAACATGGGAAAAAAAAAAAATCAGTGGAATTCCCTTGAGAACTAAGCACTCAATACGCAATAGTAGAACGAATGGAGGGACCAGTTAACGGGCTCAAGAGTAACACTAACATGTAAGCAGAGGGTTGCTTTATTTATTTGAGCATTACTCTGAAAATAATCTCTTTTTCAAAAGATGACTCTTGATTAAAACAACTCTAGCTTTCTCCTGCCAACTAAGAATAAAATAATCCAAACATGTTTATAAAACAAATAATAAAAATTATTTTAGCTGTTGAGTTTTTAAATAAGCATTTCAACCCCACAGCTTTCAAGTCTATTCCTCATGGCAATGGAGAGAATCCAAACCATTGGAATATATTGTATGGCCAGTATAAGAAGAGGAGGAAAACATTCAGGAAGCCGGCTTGTAACTGTGCCAAGTAGGAAATGGAACAAAGAGAGTTCTAGGCTGTAAAGTGGGTTATTGAAAACTGTAAAAATTACTTTGCTGCTTCTATAATAATTTCCATCCGTAGACCCACATTATGAATGAATAATTGCCAAAAAGGATTAGCTCCTGTAATAATCTAATTTAGTAGGTATCTAAAAATATTTCCTAAAGCTGAAAGTAGCTTTTGTCTTAGGATCTTGAAAATTTCATGCTTTATACTGGGTTAACTTCTCCCCTTTAGATATTTGTATACTGAATGGCTGTGCTGAGATATTGACCCATATGTTGCTTTCAGCAACAATCAGTACACATACCTTGTGGTAACACTTCCCTAGGATTTAAAAAAATAGCAAGACGTTTTGGATTACCTGGGTGAGCACCGCAGTGTGCTCATAACCACAGCTGATGTAAATCACACCCAGATTCCTCAGCGCACCAATCGAACGAGGCTTGTAGCTTTGCACTGTTGGAAGAAAGCAGCATCTTCAGAGCATAAGAAGCAGACTCAGATGTCACGAGTTTTTATATTTTTTATACTTTTTAATATTTTATCTTATAATTCATTAACATAATCTGTAAGTGAATAATCAGAAGTATTATTAGCAGTAATTAGCAGTCTTCTAGTCCAGTGGCTCCCAACTTTGCTGCACACTGGAATCCCCTGGAGGATCTGTAATACTGATGAGGCCTCGCTTCCATCTCCAGACATTCCAATTGAACTGGTATATGGTCCAGCCTGGGCACTGGGATTTTTAAATGCTCTCAGGGGAGACAGAATAATGTCCTCCTGACAATGTCCATGTCCTTTTCCCAGAGCCTGTGAATATGTTAGGTTACATGGCAAAGCAGAGTTAAGGAAGCAGATGGAATTAAAGTGGCTAATCATTGACGTTAAAACAGGGAGGTGAGCCTGGTAATCACGGGGACCTTTATCTGAGGAAGAGAGAGGCAGAAGAGTCAATGTCAGAGTAACGTGACTTGAGAAAGACTTAACCAGCCATTGCCTGCTCTGAAGAAGAAAGGGGACTACATGTCAAGGAATGCAGGTGGCCAGGAGAAGCTGGAAAAGGCAAGAAAATGGTTTCTGCTCCAGAGCCTCCAGAAAGGACCACATCCTGGCTGACACCTTGACTGTAGCCCAGTGGGACGGGCGCCAGACTTCCGATGGCCGGAACTCTAAGATAATAAATTTGTGTTGCTTTAAACTAAGTTTGTGATAATTTGTTACAGCAGCAATAGAAAATTAATACAGCTCCCTAGAACAAGTCTAATGGGTCACAAAGTTTGGGAACCACTGTTCTAACCTGTGAGACGGCCCTTTGCAGAGTCTTCCAACTGGAAAGAAAGAATGGTTTACTGTAGGAACAAGACTATCTTGTTACCTGGAACATTATTCCCGCTGAGGGCCAGCTGCCCTGCACTGTTGTTTCCCCAGCCAAATGAAGTCCCAGAGACAGACAGGGCAAAGCTGTGGGCCCCTCCTGCAGCCACCTGAGCCAGGGGGATCCCTTCCAGGGACCTCACCCTCTGCGGGCTGTCTTGGGAGGGGAACTCCTTCCCCAGGCCCAGCTGACCTTGGCTGTTCTTTCCCCATGAAAACACTTGGCCACCTACAAAAATAAAGAAGAGAAATTCAGAATCGCACACACATTGGAATACCAAATGCAAGTAGAAACTACCACCCTCATTCTAAAAACCTTTAAAGAATAAAACAGGAAGAAAGGAAGTTAAAGTATTCTGGCTAAAGGCAAGGGGGCTGGTCAAGATCACCTTTAAAAGTCCCTTCCAACAACATCCACTCTTCTCTCTCTGAGTTAAGGGCAACCATATTCTTTCAGCTGCTCAGGCCAAAAATCTTGATTCCTCTCTTTCTTTTACACTCTTTAACCCAGCAAATCCTAAAGCCTCTACCTTCAGAGTTTATCCAGAATCAAACTACTTCTCACCCCTCCATTGTTACCACCTCAGCTGCCGAGTCACCATTATTTCTCTGCTGCAGAATTACAACAGCGCCTCACTGGGCTCCCAGATTCCACCTTTGTCCTCTGCAGTCTGTTCCCCAAAGAGCTGTCAGGGTGATCTTTTAAAACTATAAGTCAGCTCAAACCCTTCAGGAGCTTGTTATCTCATCCAACAAAAGGCCGATTCTTCCCAGTGCTCACAAGCCCCATGTCACTAGTCCTCCCCAGGACCACTTCTCGGCCTCATCTCCCGCCTTGCTCAGGCTCTCCTGACGCCCGCTGTTGCTGAGCACACTGCTGGCATACCCCTACCTCATGGCCTTTGCATCTGGATCATTCTTCTGGATCTTGGCTTAGCATCATGTCTCCCTCCCTTCCTTCCTTTTGGGCTCTGCTCACATGTTGCCTTACAAGAGAGCTTCCCTGACCTCCTTTATAAAATAGAAAGACCCCTGCCCTCCACCCGAGGGCTCGCTCGCTCTCTGTCCCCTTACCCTGCCCCACTTTCCTGCACACCCTTATCTCTATCTGTTATACCACATCACTATGTGTCTCTTTAAGGGTCACTTCCTCTACTTCCCCCCAGAATATGAGCTCCGTGAACACAGGGTGTTAGGTTTGTTCACTGCTGTATCCTCTTTGCCAGAAACATTGGAGGCACTCAGTAAACACTTGAGAAAAAAACATTTTATGTTGAATCTGACCAGAAATGGACAATTTATAGCAGGTCAAAAATCAAACTCTTCTAATAATTATTTATCCAGAGAAATGCCAACACATCTCAGATTTTTGTAATTTATAATATCCAGTTTTTATATTTAACTCCTCTAAAGTTATTTCCACCACCGAAAAGAATTTTTGAGGGCACAACGCAAGATGTCAAACTCTGGAAGGTCTATGAGGACTCGCAGCTCAGCAGAGAAAAGTATCGAATGCTGGGCTCAACACAGCCTCTCCAGGCCAGACCAACGCGAGGACAACCAGTACCCAAGGAACATTCACATTATTTCCATAATCAACAGGGACCATTTGTAACAACATGGATGGACCTTGAGGGCATTACGCTAAGTGAAATAAGGCAGACAGAGAAAGACAAATACCGTATGATCTCACTCGTATGTGGAATAAAAAAAAAAACGAAAAAAAACCCCAACCTCATCGATACAGAGAACAGATTGGTGGCTGCCAGAGGTGGGGTGGGGAGGGCAAAGTGGGTGAAAGTGGTCAAAAGGTACAAAATTCCAGTTATAAAATAAATAAGTCCTGGGGAGGTAATGTACAGCATGGTGACTATAGTTCATAACACTGTATTGCATATTTGAGATCTGCAGGGAGAGTAAATCTTAAAAATTCTCATCACAAGAAAAAAAATTGTGTAAACTATGTATGGTGATGGATGTCAACCAGACATTGTGGTGATCATTTCACAATATACACAAATATCAAATATGGTGTATCCCAAACTAATATAATGTTGTATATCAATTATACCTCAATGATAAATAAATAAATAAATAAATAAAAGAAGGAAAGGAAGGAAGGAAGGAAAAGAGACTACTCCTTTTTGTACCCTTACTATCTGCTTTGGACTGTACAGGATATATTATGTACCTTCTCTCACTGAATCTTCTAAACAACCAGTAAGTTAGGCATCAAGATGCCTACAGATGAGAAAACTGAGACGCATCAAAGTTCAATAGCCTGCCCCAGATCAAATAGCTGGAAATGGTGGGAGAAGGAATCCTCCTGCAGCCACGGGGTCGCCTGGTCTCATAGCCTGCCTGGCGTAGTGGTTAAGCACTTAGGGCTGGGATGTAAGCAAGCAGAGGCTCAAATCCCACCTCTTCTATTTCTTAGTGTGTGACCTGGGGCAAACTACTGAAAGACTGGGAGCCCACATCTCCTCATTTCTGAAATGAGGGTACGAATAATACCGAGCTTCTGTGTTTGTTAGGTGATTATAGGAGATAACACGTGTAAAGCATCTAACACATAGGTGGCACATAGAAGGCAACCAAGAAATGCTGGCTGTCCACGGCCCCTGTGGCACAGCTGCAATTATGCCTATGACAATCCCCCAAGGGACACACGAAAGGATGGGGCATGTTAGTAAATATTGAGGCATAGTTTTGACATCTTGCCTTTTCTTTCTTTGATCTAAGTAAAAAAGACATACAGGCCTTTGTCTGTCTGAGGTTGCCAGTGTTGACAAGCCATTCAGCATAAAGGGCACAGTGCTGGAAATAACGCTGCTGCTGAGTTCTGAGGGAATCAGCCAACCAGATCATGTGAACAGAGACGGCTCTATGGCAATGAGACGTGAATCAGACACTACTTAGAGGATAATAAGAAAAAAGAAAATTGAAAAAAATACAAACAACAACGCATCTTATGAAATCTGGGGAGTTAAAAACTTCTAAATGCATTAAAATGAACCCCAATGCATTAAAAATCAACAGCTATCATTCATATTCAAACAATTACTCGCTTATGGACACTTGGTAGATCCAACAAGCCTTTTTTACCTTCTGATAATGCCAGGGAGTGGTAGTCTCCACAGGAAACTTGTATTATTTTTATGCCAGTCAGAGTTTTTATCTTCCTATAACAAAAATGATACAAAATCTATTAATCCTTGTTTAGAATGGGTCATCAAGTGAACCACAGAGATTTAAAGCTATCTCAGGTAATACACCTGGCCTAAGGAAACAATTTTATTTCCCTATATTTCTCTAGCACTTTCATTTCAAAGCCCTCAGACTGTTTTTTTGTTTGTTTGGGTTTTTCCTTTTTTTTTTTGATGAGGAAGATTGTCGCTGAGCTAGCATCTGTGTCAATCGTCCTCTATTTTGTATGTGGGGTGCTGCCAGAGCATGGCTTGATGAGTGGTGTGTAGGTCCACACTCCGGGTCTGAACCTGAGAACTCCGGGCTGCTGAAGCAGAGCACATGAACCCAACCACTATGCCACCAGGCCGGCCCCCTCAAACTGTTCTTAACATGACATCAACACGTACACAGGTACAGGGCAGAATCCAAAGTAGTTTATAATGCAAAAGTGATCTTTATGGACTTTTAATACATTATATAATGTACTAACTTTTATTCTTTACTTATTAGCCTAAAAGAAAAATAAATTTCTTCAAACATGTGTAGCACGGATCTTTAGAATTTATAGAACACTGTCACCTACGACACCTAATTTAAGCCCTGTGAGATAAAGAAACCATTAGGTTGAATCCCATTAAATTGACATTTTTGTGGATCAAAAACATAACTATCAGCAATTTCACATGCTTGAAGCTAGTAGAACTCAAAGAGGTCACACAGGTGCTGAGTTGTAGAGCTAGACTCAGACCTTGATCTTTTCATTCCGAGTTCAATGCTCATCCCCGCAAGCCACAGTGATCTCTCGTAAGATTTAACGACCAGAGGAGGTAAGAAGAGGTAACTTCCTAGTATTAAAAAACAAGCTTTTGAAAATCCTCAAGCATGTAATTCATGACCACACAATTCAGACTGCTGGTCATAACATCTGTCCAAGAAAGCTGTTTGTGAGGATGTGATTTTTCCCCCCGCTTCACTAAGTAAAACATTAGGACCCAGTGGCTTATGATAAGCCAAAAGGTTATGTTGAGAGGAAAACTCTTCCTCTTCCAACTTGAGTCCAGTGTTTGGGGGCCTGCGAATTAACTGACAATAGACAGATTAACGGGAGAAAAGACAAGGTTTATATACGTGTACACACAGGAGATCCAGTGATGGAAAGTTTATGGAAGAGCCTGAGTAAAGGTTTACCTATATATCAACTTAGCAAAAGAGGGTTTTTAGGGCTTCATTGGGAAAGTATGGAAGATTCTTTTTTTTTTTCCTGAAGAAAATTCACCCTGAGCTAATATCTGTTGCCAATCTTTCTCTTTTTGCTTGAGGAAGCTTGTCCCTGAGCTAACATCTGTGCCAATCTTCCTCTGTTTTGTATGTGGGTTGCTGCCCCAGCATGGCTGCAGATGAGTGGTGTAGGTCCGTGCCCAAAACCAAACCTGGGGCACCAGAGCGTCAGAGCACACTGAACTTAACCACTAGGCCATGGGCCGGCCCCTCTCTTGGGTTTTTTGATGCTGACTGGGCAATCTGTCTTCACAGCAGCTGACTTCACAGGAAACTCCCTCCAAGGAGGGTTAATGGCTGCTGTATTTTCAGAATGCTCGGATATAGTCAGATAAGAGAAGTTCAAAGAAAATTTCTTTCTGCATCTTCAGTAGCTCAAATGTTTTCACTTTAAAATAATCTTCATACCAACTCTGGGGGCCCAACTGGGTCCCCACAGTTATTTCCAATAGATAAGACTAAGTCGAAAGGGCCACATGCTCTCATTTAACCCTGCCCTTCTCCCTGTCCCTCACAGGACTCTGATAAGAAATAATAATTGCTGTTACAGGTTTTTCCTGCCTCTTCCCCTCACTACACTGTCATCACTGAGGTTCGAACTGTGTTTGTCGTAGTCTGTCTTTGTACTCGGCCTCGTGCGTGGTGCCTGACACATGAAATTCAAAAATATGGAAGGAAAGTGCGAACTGCTCACTTACTTAGGTGTAAAATTTATTCCCTTGACCTCTCCAGTTCCCAGCTGCCCTTCAGAGCCCGCGCCCCACGCGAAGACCCGTCCTCTGTGACAGACAGCCAAGGAGTGCTCCTGCCCACAGCTCACGAGGCTGACTCGTAGAGTTTCCAATGTCCGAATCGGTTCTTTAGGAACAAAAACGAGACAAGACCCCCCACAAGATTATTAATTTATCAAGTTTAAGACAATACTTTCCTTCAAAAAGAAGGGTCACCTGGATTTTTCGTCTCTTCCAAAGGACTGTTAGATGGAGGCATAAAGTCCACGCTAAAGCTGTGAAGGAAGTAAGCTCAATGGGTGTTACACTGTCCTTACGGGAACGTGGCTGCTACTTAAAAGGGTGGGCATCGCGGAGGAGGGGAACTTGTAAGGACTATGATTCTTGACCTCACGTTTCTCTATGATGGTGGTAGCAAAGCCCAGCAAAATAAAGGGAGCTGGAGAGAAGATGGGCTAGCCTCTGCTCCGCTCTTCTGGCTTCCTCGCCCTGAACAGCGAAAACAGTGAATCTCCTGCTCAGGAGGAAACCGCAGAGAGCCCGCCTTGTGAGAGTGAGGGGCGGATGCCAGATCCTCTCACAACGAGGAGCGCAGTACTGTGCCCCCAAAGGCAGCAAACCTGCCGCGAAGGAACACCTGACCACATTTCCCTACAAGTCAGTCCAATCTGCTTTCTCAAGGGGTTTGTCTCTGAATTATTACAGATTTGGAGTCAAGTACATCATTACCATTTTTAGCACTTAAGTTTTCTTTTTCATCTTTGTAATCTTATCCTTTTCAACAATTTACTTTCAAACCACGCAACAATAAAAATTCTCCCAAAGGTTCACCCATTCATGGAGGTAGAAACTGGAACCACTTTCCTGGAGAACAATTTGGCATTAAGTATCATGTTGTCCCTCATTTCTACCTGAAGGGGATCAGGATACGGCACCCAAAAATATGCCACTTTGGCATAAGGATTATTTTGAGCCAAAGGCAATTGAGAATCAACAGATGCAGGAAGAATTCTCAGCCCTCCCTTTATCCGCCTAAAAGCAGGGCACAAATTTCCCTTGTACAGGTGTCCCCTCTGTCCCATACCAGGAAGAGAAGAACGACTCTTATCACCAGAGTCGGCATCAACAGATAGATTCGCGCAGGGCAGGACTGCTCTCGAAAGGCAAGCGGAGGGACCACCTCTCTCTCCGGTCAGGGGAGGGCGGTCCAGTTTAGCTGCGCTCTCAGTTTCGCTTTGAAGGTGAACTGGAAACTGAAACAAACCCGAGGCGCGTCTGGAAAACGAAATTGATGAAGTTGTGCAAACCACAAACCATCACTCTGTTTAGATGGATTCGCGCAGGGCAGGACTGCTCTCGAAAGGCAAGCGGGAAGGACCACCTCTCTCTGTTCAGGGGAGAGCGGTCCAGTTTAGCTGCGCTCTCAGTTTCGCTTTGAAGGTGAACTGGAAACTGAAACAAACCCGAGGCGCGTCTGGAAAAGGAAACCGATGAAGCTGCATCCCGGGCTGCGCGGAGCACCGATCTCCCGCCTCCCGGGGGCCCGCGGCCCCAGGCCCCGCGCGCCCCGCACGTGGGTCCCGGCGCTCACCTGGCCGCTCCCCGCGCGGCGCGCCCCTCCGGCCCAGCTGGCCCCGGCTGTTGTCCCCGTACGAGTGGACCGTGCCGTCGCTCAGCAGCAGCAGCGCGTGGCGCCCCCCGCAGGCCGCCTGCCGCAGCTCGGGGCCGCCCGCGCCCGCCGGCCCCCGGCGCAGCAGCCCGCCGGAGCCCGCGTCCCAGCAGCAGTACATCTCGCGCCCGCGCCCGTCTGCCCCGTCCCGCCCGGCGCTCAGAGGCTGGGGACAGGTGTGCGCTGACTTCCCGAAAACCCGGAGGCTGGCTGGCTCGGCCCCACCAGCCGTGGTCTCCTCCTGCCGTCAACTCGAATCCAGCGGCACTGCCCTGGCACTTGCGTCATCCTGACGTCTCCCCGCCTACGGCTTTTGGGGGATGAAACAGGAGCGCCAAGTGCTGAGGAGCAGAGGGGACTCCGGTGGAAGTTCCCCTGGATTTGCGTTCGAGCTAAGACCCCTGTGAGCTGTGTGACTTTGGGCAAGTTACCTAACGATTTTGTGCCTCAGCTACCACGTCTGTGCAATGTGGACGGTTATGTTAGGATAATTTAGTAGATAAACCACAGTAGGTTAGAATTTGGCGCCCGAGATGCGAAAGCCTCATGGTGCCTACATTCTCCTATTTATAAACAGATGAATAAATAGTATAGTGTCAGGTGGCAACATGAAGAAAAACAGAACAGTAAAGGAACAGAGGCTGGGGGCAGAAGGAAGTAGCGTTTTTTTGTTTGTTTTTTTTAAAGATTGGCACCTGAGCTAACAACTGTTGCCAATCCTCTTTTTTTTTCTTTCCGCTTTTTCTCCCCAAATCCCCCAAGTACATACTTGTATATTTTAGTTGTGGATCAAGAACTAGTGTTTTTTGATAAGGTTTCAGCGAAGACCTCTCTGATGAAGTGACATTGAGCAGAGCGCTGCAGGAACACGGGAAATGAGGGAATGAGTCATGCTCATCTCTAAGGGCAGGGGGTGAGGGGGCAGTCAGAAGGTTTTGAACAGAGAAGTGACATGATCTGACTTCAGTTTTAAGAGAATCATTCTAGCTGCCATGTAGAAAATAACAGAACAAAAATGGATGCAGAAAAGCCAGTTAGGAGAGGCTGCTGGATAAATATTTGCTGCGCCTCTCCACCTAATGGCATCAAGCTTGAGCATGCGAATTTGTTCTGGCCAATGACATCAGGCAGGGAACATCTTCCAGGAGTCTGGGTTAGAAGGATGATGCTGGGACTAAGGTGCTACCTTAGAGGGGAGAATGGGAAGAAATGATCACATACAAGATGTTTTGGAAGTCAGAGTCCACAGAGTTGCTGATGGATGAAAGTGGGAGGAAGGAAGGAAGGAAAGGGGTTAGGATTACCCCAAGGTGGGTCTGAGCAACCGGGTGAGTGGTGGTACCCTCTCCGGGGGTGGGGTGCCTCAAGGGACGTGCCAGTTTGGGGCTGGTGGGTCAGGAGTCCAGTCTGTAATAACCCTGAGATGCTTGTTTAGGGGCGGAAAATTTTTTGCTTCTTTCCTTCTAGGTTCTTTTACTGGTCTAATAATTAAATCAGCATAAGACAGATTAACAGGAGAAAAACAAAAGCCCCCGGCAGGAGACCCAAAGACAGTCAGGCATTTGAGACTTACGTGAGATTCTGAGCTAAGGAGCAGGGAATGGGGGTCTGGACCTTCAGAGGGAAGGAAGATGGGAAGAGCAGATGTTTGGTGACGTGGCATGTCATGCCATGCAGAGAAGTCTTTCTGATATGAAAAGTTGTCTTTGGTATTAGCTTTCTCCCTGGTACAGGCCCTCGTCTAAATTGTTTCAGGGATTTTGGGGGAAGGTAGCTTTTCCTGAGTCTCTTGGGCCTTAATTGTCTTCAGCTGGAAATAATCCGCATGCCAAAGTGGCGTTTTGGAGGTGGCATATTCTGCTCCCCCATGCTTCTTACTAGGAGGCAATAAAGTCAACCATTTTGGAGCGGTGGAGAGAAGTCGGGGTGGAGTCACAAAACTGGGAGGCGTCAGCATAGAGATGATACTGAAAGCCAGACGGATGCTTGCGATCACCAATGGGGTGAGCATGGCTGGCACAGAACAGACGACTGCTCCTGGGAGGAAAGCCAGGAGGGACGGTGTGCGAGGAGCAAGGGAAGAGTAAGGGAATGATCAACTCTGTCAGTTGCTTGTCGAGCAAGATAAAGGTTGAGGGTTGATCTTTAGGTTTGGCAAAATGGAGGTCACTGGTGACTCTGACAGCGTTAGCTGTCGTCAGCATTATTGTTTTAGTATTATAGTATCCATTTGTGTACTCAGCTCACCTCTCTTTACTACTACATTTTAAGTTCTCTAAAGATGAGAATAAATGTTATTTGTTTTTCTATCTCAAGAGTGCCCGGCACATGATAGATGTGATAAGTATGTACTGGACAAATGGGTTGATGAGTGGTGAGTAAATGAATAGCATTTCCATTTCACTATGTACCATATATAACCTTTTTCTGAATGGTAATTTCCTAAATGTTAATTACTTTCCTGAGGCACAAACTGTAAGAGTTTGATATTATCAGCATAAAACACTGAGCCCTCATATTAAGTTATTTCTTAAAAAAAAATCTACCAGAGGGGCCGGCCCAGTGGCGCAGTGGTTAAGTTTATGCGTTCTGCTTCTCGGTGCCTCGGGGTTCGCTGGTTCGGATCCCAGGTGCGGACATGGCACCACTTGTCAAGCCATGCTGTGGCAGGTGTCCCATGTATAAAGTAGAGGAAGATGGGCACGGATGTTAGCTCAGGGCCAGTCTTCCTCAGCAAAAAGAGGAGGATTGGCAGTAGTTAGCTCAGGGCTAATCTTCCTCAAAAAAAAAAAAAAAAAATCTACTAGAGAACTAAATTGTAAATGTACTCTGCTCACTTTGTGTCCCTACGACCTAGCACAGTTTCTGCCACATAAAAAGGCCTCAATAAATGTTAGTGAGACAAGTGAATAAAATGTAAATTAAAGAAACCGGGCACAGTTTTATTGCTTGAGAAAGATATAATTCTCAATTCATCTGTGTTCATGCACTTGGAAATAGCTCCCATTTATTGAATGTTTACCATGTGTTGACTATTTTATATAAAATATCTAATTTAATTCTTTCATCAGCTTTTCTCAGTTAAGATTCTTTTGGTTCCCAAGAGACAGAAAATATTTCCTAATCTCACTGAGGCAAAAGGGAAATTTACTGGTAGATTGCATTATTATTCCAAAATATTTGGTGCGCCTCTCCACGTATGGCATTAAGCTTGAGCACTTGAATTTGTTCTGGCCAGTGACATGCGAGCGATACAAACAACCGTCCTGGGAGATGGTTTAAGAGTCAGCGCTTGTTTTCCCTACTCTCTTTTTCCTCTATTACAACAACCGGTGATTTTCCAGATAGAGATTGCTCCGTCATCCTGGGTCCCAGATTAAAGACAACAATCTAGCTGAGTGGCAGCTCGTCTAAGGAGCACAACTGAGAAATAAATCTTTGTCGTTGTACGCCCCTCAGCTTCTGGGGGGTGTTTGTTATTGCACAGATAGCATCAGGTAGCCTCTTGTGACAGTCACATCACTGAAGTCCATCAGCACGGCTGATTCCAGGAACTGCTGTCCACCAGGACTTAAACGATGTCCTGATGATTCCATTTCTCCTATCTCTTCACTCCGCCTCTTGCTATGGGGGCTTCATCTTCAGGCGCCATGCAGTGTACTCCTCAGTTCCAGGATCCCCTCTGAGATGGCAAGAGGGTTACAGCAGCCTTAACCTTTTTATCCAGCCCTCAGCCCCACAGCCTGTGGAGCATTTGCTCACAAACAAAAGTCCTGGGGTTTAGTCGTGGTGCTCTCAATGACTGATTTGGGTCTCATGTCCACCCCGAGCCAATCATTGTGGATGCCAAGAGATCCTGTCAATCATCTGGCAGAACTGTCTGTGAGCTGGGGACGGAATCTCACCCACGCGCAGGTTTCGAGAGCGAGGAGTAGGCAGATTCCAAAATGAAAGCTGGGCATGTTGCTGGAAGAGGTGGGGGATGGATGCCAACGCGTATCCTCTATAACAATTATGTGCAATAAGTATTATTATTATTCCTATTTTGTGGGTAAGGAGTCAAGGCTCAGAGAGTTTTGGTAACTTGCTTGAAGTTACGTGGCATGTAAGTGGCAGGATTTTAACACTGGTGAATTTGACTAGAACGCCTATTTAATTTCCACTGTAACACACTCTTTAGTCCCCGATCTCTCCTCTCGTGTGCCCTTTGGGTTAATGGCACATCCTCACAACCATTCCATGTAGAAAATTCCAGCTTTCAGACAGCATCATCATGGTGGCCTGACAGGATTCCTTTGTGTCTCCACTTCGATCTACAGAAAGTGAAACATCCATACCCAACAGAGGTTACATTGCCCAAAACACCAAGACCAGAGAGATCGACACATCTGTACATACAACGGTGCGTGCATTGGAGAACGGAGAGAAGGGGAACAGCAGAGGCAGAGCCCAGGACCCGGGACCCCCGGCAGCAGCGGCTGAGCCAGCCGCCCCCAGCCCCGGAGAACTCCGGCCAGCCAGCCGCGGCGGCACCTGTGGCCGCGGGAAGCGGAGCGGCAGCGGAGGCGGAGCCGGGTGATCCCGGAGCGGGTCGCAGAGCGGAGGCGCTCACAGGACTCCGACGTCCCAACCCCAGCGGCGCCCGCAGCCCCGGGGCAACAGGCAACCGCTGAGGCAGTGCCCCGCGGACCTGCTCCTTCCACCCGCTCGTTCCCCTTCTCAACGCCACCACCCCACCCGCACCTCGGCAGAGCTCCTGACCCAGGTGATCCCTGACACAGTGGGGGCATCAGCTATCCCTGTGTTTCCTGGCAGCTGCGAAGCCAGCGACAGCGAGGCATCAATGACCCCCAGGGGTGTAGGCAGCGACACCCTGAATAGAGGCTCTGGAGGGTGGAACATGCAGATCCTCAAACGTAGCCAGAGGCAGCTCAGGTAGAAGAAACCAAAAAACTGGCGCTATAGCGCCACCTACTGAAAAGCAAAAGAAAGGCCTCTAATCTCCAACTGATGGAAAAGTTTGAATCAAAACAAACCAACCCATGCCTAAATAAGAAAAGTGTTTGCCATGACAAATGCTCCGGCAGAGGAATAACTCAGCAAGCACCACAAACAACTACGGTAACGTGGCATCGCAAAAAGAAAATAACGGTTCTTCGGAAACCAAACATAAATTCATGGAAGATTGTGCTCTAACCCATGAAGAATTCGAAATAGCCGTCATGAAGAAACAGTGAGCTACCAGAAAACTCAGAAAGGCGGCTCACTGAGTCAGGATAAAATCAATGAACAGAAGACAATTCATCTTATATTCCCTTCCCTTTCCAAAATCCTCCCCTAACCAATTAGTTGCTGAAAGATGCAAGCTCATATCAGCAACGTCTCATTTTCCATCCGTTTTCTATCTCCACCATTCCTACCCTAGTTCAGGTCTTTTGCAATAACATCTCGCATGTTTCCATCTCTAATATCTGGCATCTCTAATGGATCTTTTAAGTTCTACCAAGTTATCTGCAGAAAAAACACTCCTGATTATATCTCTTACCTTTTTTAATGTTTGCAGGCCTATTGCTACAGAAAAAATAAATACGAAACCTTTTGTGTATAACTTAAGGCCCTCCGTGATCTGTTTGTAAATGACCTTTCCAGCTGCATTTGACCAACAATTACAGGCATACACACACGCGCACACACACATGCACACGTACACACGTAACATGCACTGGGACCACTGTCACAATGAAAAACTTGCCTTTTCCTACTTGCTTTTTTTTCCCAAATCCATGCCTTTGTTCATTCTATATCTTCTGCCTGGAATTTTCTTTTCCCCATTTCTATTTACAAAAATACATATGTCTCAAAGCCTCTTCTCTATGACGGACTTCTTGGACTCCACAATATCAGTGACTGCTTTCTGGGCTCCTACGACAAATGATGTCCATAGTGCACACACACTCCCCAGCCTGATACTAAGTTCACTCTGGATTGCTGTATTATTCCATCTCTGCCCAACCAACCCTGCCAGGGACCTTAATCATCTTTGTAGCCTCCCCAAAGCCTAGCAAAGTGTTACACAGTACGTGCTAAATATGGCAGCTGGCGCTCAGTGACTATCAGGGTAATTAATTAGGTAAAATTCATGGTTATTTTTTTTTTTAAATCTTTACTGAATTTCCGCTATGGGTATAACATGGAGCAAACAAAAGATAATAATTATTACTCATGTTGGTATTTACTTTAGACTTTACGAACTCCTTCCAGCCATTTTACCTGCTGTCCTCATAAGCACAGAGGAAGCAGGCATGAGAGGGAAGACTGTCCCTATTTCAGAGGAACTTCGGCTCAGAGAGGTGAAAGCGATTTGTCTCTAATTACAGATGAGTAAGTGGAACAGCCCATGGCTTTTCTTTCCACTACACAACCATGTCTAATGCGTTTCTCTTTCTCAGAGAACACCCAGGTAAGAAACAGAAAATCGATTGAAATTGACCATCATCATATCTTTAAAATCAAACTTTGAAGATTATTTGTACCTTATATTACACAGCAATAACCTGTTTTTCTTTTTTACTAATTTTCCCCTAAACAGTGATTTATAGAGGGCTGGAGAATGAGAGAATGGAAAGGAAATAAAATTTCCTATCAACCTACCACATGCCAATTTCTCTCACAATATATTTCCTCACTTAAACTTTGCAACCACCCTATTAAATACTCCTCCATATTATGTACCCCCATACTGATGTGAATAACTCAAGCCTCAGAACATTTTAGTGACTTGCTCAGATAAATAGTAAGATAAATGGGGAACCCCAGATTCAAACCATGCCTCCTTTCTCTTCCCTCTTTCCGCCAAACAGCATTGACTCAAAGTGAGGTGAGACGGAAGTGAGAAAGGGGATGAGGGAGGGGGATGAACTAAGAAAAGAGCATCGTGGAGCACATGGAGTTGAGGAAAGATGGACTAAACCAGTTAGGAGAGGGGAAAAGAGGCCTGAGGGCAATCCCTGAGGATCAGGTGGAAGGGCATCTGAGAAGAGAGGGGCCTGTGGCAAGTGCATTGCTTTCCTCTGCCATCTTCTTTCCACACTCACTTCTGCTTTAACCCCTGTGCTTCTGAGTTCAAAGCCCATCCTCTCTGCTACTTAGCCGGGAGAGCCCTCAGACCGGCAAGTGAAAAATGGGGCGCACTGCAGGTATTAGCTTCGTTTGTGATTACACTCCAACCTCCGTCCCAATTATGTCCAGGTGGCTCCCTGGCGAATGCCGTCCAGTGGTTCTTCACAAGTGGACAATTCAGATAGCTAGTAGAAGTCAGTGGGAGAAAAAACCCACCTACTCAAACTCTGACCTCTGAGTCTCCTCATAGATAAGAAATGGCAGTTTTGAATTTTAACTCTAGATGGCAGTGTTAGTCAATCTGAGCTCTTTTTTTACCCTTCGTGAAAACACTTGACCTAATTTTTATGGTTGGCAGATTAATGGCTGACATCTCTTTTCTATAGGTAGTCTTATAATTATCCTTAAAGATATTAGTGATTTTCTTTCCCATGCTCATTGCAAGATATTGGTATTTCAATCACTTAGAAAAAATATAAAATGTTACACTCACGTGTTATATTATCACTACATCATTGTCATTATAACGCATTGCATTATAATGCTACATTTATCTGGAGTCTACCAGCTCTCTTAGAGACCCAGAACATGGTCCTGAACTGGGAAGAAAGAAGAAAAGTGCCTCTGAATCCTAGAAATGGTTGCCGCTCAAGCCAAGGGCTTCTGAAGATATTGCCCAATTATGAATTGAGGACTGCCCAAGATTTGTATGGAAAACATTGTCTAACTTAATTTGTTAACCTGTGTGAACCAGTGGAGATTTCCCTGTAAGTTAGGATTAGTTTCACCTGCATGTAATAAAACTGCCAAATGATAATGTTTAACAAGATACAAGTTTATTTCTCTCACACATAAAAAGTCCAGAGGTGAGCAGCCAAGGGCTTGTGTGGCAGCTTCCTGGTTTTCCAGAGACTCAGGCACCTTCTGTTTTCTTCATTCAAGAACCTAACTACCATCTTCAAGGTCACCTCATTTTCCAAGATGACTGCTAGAGTTCCAGCTGTCACAACTGTATTCCAAGCAGCTGGAAGGATGAATGAGGCTACTGTCCCTCAAATCCCATCCAACATTTCTACATGCATCTGATTAATCAAAATTTGTTCACTTGGCCATAGTAGCTACAGAAGGCGAAAAAAAAGTGTAGTTTTTAGCTGAGCACCTTACAATCCCAAATAAAATTGGGATTCTGTTACCAAGGAATAAGAAGAGAAGAGATTTCAGGTGTCAATGAGGAGGCTTTCGACAACCAGCAAGGCATTTGAGATGTTTGGTCTGAACACACGCGGCAGGCAGGGCCGGCTTCCTGGGTGTGTAACCAGTGTGCTCGGTTGCACAGGCCCTGCTCTCAGAAGGCCCTGAGCTTAGTTTAATGCTCCGCTGCCGCCGCCTTGAAATTCTTAACAACTTTACCTTTGAACTTGTGTTTTGTAAGTGAAGTCTGCTGGAACACTGGGGCATGCAGGTGAGTAGGGGAGATCCACGCAATATGCCTGCTATTTCTTGCCACCGTATTCAAATATGGTGTTCGAGATGCCCCGTGAGCACCAAATTCCATGGGATCCGTGAGGTGTGGGAGTTCAATGAGGCTTAGAGGTCGTATGAGGTAAACAGGTTCATCTACAGCTGAGTAAATGGGGACACTGACAGCCCCTAGAGCCACACTCTCTGAACCAGAACTTGGCTTCCAACACACAGAGAAGGCGACGACATTCTAAGAAACACAAAGAGCAAGGAACCCTATCACACCCTTTCTCACTGCTGTTCTTTCTCAGTATTAACCAATCACTTATGCTGAAAATAATGACACAGGAAGAAAAGGAAAGTTAGGGCAACCTGTAGCTCCTTCTCCTTTCAGTCCTTCCTTGTCATTAGGCCGAGATGAGTGTGTTGGTAGAACACGCCGGTATCAAGAAGTGGAACAAAACAGTTGAGTTAGTTTTGTGCAGTGTTTCCACTCTTCTGATAAGGACCAAATATGCATATAAAAGCTACAAAATAGAAGTTGCATGATTTCAATGATTTTGCCTATGAATTAAATGCTTCTATCTGTGTTTAAAACCGGCACTGCGCAATGTAAAGACGAATGGTAAAATTTGTCCTAATAATTTAGAATTCTAATTTTTTTACTTAGAACAACATTAAATAGCAAATAAAAACACCACGACGAATTGGAAAAGAGATTGTGGAAGAAAAGAAAAAGCTTTATGTTTTAGTACTTTAGTTGCCCTTTTTTTCTACTTTATGAACAAGGAGCTTTGTATTTTCGTCTTGCAGTGGGCCACAAATTATGAAGCGGGCCCTAGTGGCAGTGTTTAATAATTCAGTGAAACTATGCACAAACATTTATTTTCTAGAACCTATCTAAACCTACTCTCAAGCCTCTGTGCTAGTGAGTGGGTAGGGATCTTAAACTTATCATGTAACTATCTCCGTCTCTTCTTGTTTGAACTGTTTTTTTCAGGTAAATACAGATCTTCTTTGACTTACTATGGGGTTATGTCCTGATAAACCCATCGTAACTTGAAAATACCCTAAGTCAAAAATGCATTTAATACATCTAACCTACCAAGCATCATTGCTTAGCCTAGCCTACCTTAAACGTGCTCAGAACACTTACATTAGCTCACAGTGGGGCAAAATCATCTCACACAAAGCCTATTTATAATAAAGTGTTGAGTAGCTCATGTAATTTATTTACTTTTTATTTTAATGAGGAAGATTAGCCCTGAGCTAACATCTGTTGCCAATCCTCCTCTTTTTGCTGAGGAAGACTGGCCCTGAGCTAACATCCATGCCCATCTTCCTCTACTTTATATGTGGGATGCCTGCCACAGCATGGCTTGCTAAGCAGTGCCATGTCTGCACCTGAGATCCAAATCAGCGAACCTGGGGCCACCAAAGCGGAATGTGTGAACTTAACCGCTGTGCCACCAGGCCAGCCCCTGATGTAATTTATTGAATACTGTACTGAAGGTGAAAAACAGCATGGTTGTGTGGGTGCAGAAGGATTGTAAGTTTATCGGTTGTTCGCCCTTGTGATCACGTGGCTGACTGGGAGCTGCGGCTCATTGCTGCTGCCCAGCATCATGAGAGAGGATGGTAGCCATATTGCCAGCCCGGGAAAAGATCAAAATTTGAAGTATGGTTTCTACTGAATGCATATCGCTTTCACACCATGATAAAGTAGAAAAATAGAAAGTCGAACCATGGTAAATTGGGGACCATTGTACTCCGTTTCCCAGACATTTTCTTCCCTCTCACTCCACCTAGTCCTCTGTCAATGTGGGAACCACAAAGAAAGTTTGGAGGGAAAGCATAAAACAGTGTATTCAAGTCAAAATAGAAGGCTATTCCCATTATAGTGTTCACCAGGAAAGTTCATCATTGTGTCATGAAGTTTTATGAGAATTTTCTCCACACTCGTGTCCTTAGCCGTCACTAACTTATAACGTGTAGGAAAAGTTGGATCCGAATATGGAGATTCAGATG